ATGTCCCAAATGGATTCACATGGCTAAAGCTTACACAGCTGGTGGTTACCTTTTGAACCAACTGTAATGCCTTGGATAATTACATTCTGTTTCTCAGGCTATTATTCATTAGTTAAAGGTCAAGAGCATTATTTGCAACACAAACTCAGCCTGGCATTGTATGGGCCAGCACACAGTCTTCTAGTAGCTTAGTCACTTTGATATGCATGTGAATGTCAAATTAGAGAACTAAGCCCTAATAGGCAGCCATTACTGCAAGTGAGGAGCCTTTGTGTAAACCTGAGGTCTAATCACTTATTCAATCACTAAGCATTGTGTCCCTGCTTCCCTCCACCCTGCCGCCACAGCTCCCCCGAAAAAAAAGCAGCTGATTTTCATTTCTCAAAACCATGGATACACTTGAATAAAATATATATTTCTTTCCATAGCCAGGGCCTAATTGGTTATCTGAAGTACTAACAAGGTTCTCTTGGTGACTTAAATTAAATGGGAATCCATTGTCATGTTAACTAGGTAATTAAGTGCGACACAGATGATCTCTAAGAACTTTCCCTTATCAGTGGCACCACACTACATCTTACAAACAAGTATACAAAATGTGAAATAACACTGGTGATTGCAGGCGGAGAAGGCTGCAGCTTCCCCTAACTACATAATCAGTGAGATGTTGAAAAGATAACAGGAGCGTGCCTAAAAGTAGAAACTGCCATCTTCTTCCTTAGCTCTTATGAAGCTCATCTCCGAATTGTCACCGCCGAGGACAATGTGGCATCGAGCCAGAGTGGCGGTGCGGATCAGACTTTTCCTCTGTCGCATGAACAAGGGAAAGCACCAGAAATTGATGTTTTAGCTTGTAATAACCAGGGGTACTGCTTTATGTGCTCACTAAAACATCTATTTTAAGGCACAATTTCAAGCCATAACACGCTGCTGTCTATATATAGTGGCGACATTTTTTGAAAAGACAACCCTTCTTTATACATATTAACAAGGGGAAAAAAGAATTCAACCCATATTTAGATGACTATGAATTCCACAATAAGCCCCAGCAGGATTCATTTCTTGTTAAAGGATTTTTTTTCTCTCTCCCTTTTTACAATTGGAGGCTTCTACAGCACCATTTTACTATTTAAATATGCTCTGCACTTCACAGTCAAGATCCATCAAAGAAACAATGAGGAAGTGTACATTCATAAAGTTCCAATAATGTTTTGTAATGGAACATTACACTGTAATGAACAACCAAAAATGGTTCATGGAGCCACTAAAGTGTCGCGAACCAGAGAAACACAGCTACTGCCATGTGCTATATTACTAATAGATCTGCCGACTGCAGTCAGAGTCAGAACCATTAAGGATTTTAAATTGTTCCTCCAGAATGTAAAGGGTCTATAATGCACAATTTTGTTCAACTCTAAAGAGTCATCTTGGTAAGTGTGTAGGGCAACTATTATCCTGCAGATCAGCAGCCCCTGGAGAGGTGACAGTCCTTTCACCTTGCACCTGCTTCTCTTTGGCACCACACGCCTCGCACATCCCGTCTCTGCATCTGGACAACACCAGATGTTCTTGAATAATTTTTCACACAGGTTAAAGTTCCTTCCCGTCGCAGCTGAACCTCAACTTGCTCGACATTTCTTCCAATTCAGACACATCAAGACAGGCTGGTGCAATTTCTCTTCAGATATTTCTTGCTTTAAAAACCTTTGCTGCAGCGCGGAGAAGGTGAAAACCTACAGGGAGGGACAGTGAAGAGGCCCCCTTTTCCCTCCACTCATTTCATTTGCCCCCTGCTGAAAAATAAGACTTTAACCTGATCCTGAAAGGTACCATGTCTCAAATGCATCACAATGTCCAAAAAGCAGATGGCTGTCTAGCAGGGCAACAATTCTTTCTCTGAAAAGCTGAATAATACATGCATATCTTGCTGTGATCCAGCGAATTCAATAGCCTATAGAAAAGGATTGCTCTCAACGTAAACCATTTTGCTAGAGGCCGTTCGCTTTCCTCAGGTCCAGTCTCCCATAAATAATTTGCCTTCAACCTTCACATGCATAAAAATTGCAACTTGTTGGTTATGAGAGAGAACAGTGAGGATGCACTTTGAATGCCAATGTGGCGATGAATAAACAATGGCTCGCTGCTCCAGGAGCAATGCCGAGCTGCCAGGAGACATTGCTTTGAGTTCACGGGCTCTCCTAATGGTTTTTGCCACAGACCAAGCCTTTCAGTCAGCTGTGAATGGGAGGCTGTTTTGATCTGGGGGGGAACACTTTAATAATTTCTAACAAAGCAACAATTCCCAAGGCACCTCGGACAACCTTGGCTGATTCGCTCTGATTATCCTCCAGCCACTCAACTCTCTTTAAACCATGACTGAATGAGCTTACTATGGCAACGGCCTTATGGTATATGAGGGAAAGACTAACACTTACTTTTAGAGCATGTCATGTACGGCCGAGGTCACTACGACAGGCAACTGGAGGGATCATCACGCTGAATAAATGAGCTCTTTACACATTTTTACACTGAATCCTGGCAGTTTTTGTAACAACCTACACTGAGAATCATAAGCAATACAAACAATAAAATAGTCAGGATCCTCTGCAGTGCTTCTGAACAGATATGAGATGTCTGAGAAGCAAATCAAAGTCTGTGATCTCCTCTGAATGCAGTAGGAGATTCAGCCGTTCCTGCAGTGCTGCAGTGCCACCTGGTGAGCAGCAGGCGCCACTGGTGAAACTGCAAGAAGATAGTGTGCTTATACAGCCTAAGTTTCCAAAATGAGAGTCAGGACACAAGATGATTACAAGAATAAGAAAGAGGAGGGAAAAAACGTGCAACTACTTTGATTGTTGTGCGACTTTTCATTCATTTTTGCTTTTTTCCTGTGGACTAACAGATAGTTTGACCTCTTCAGAACTCAAAAAATGTGTACAAAAAAAGAGAAATGCAATAGTTTAAAAACAAATCAGAATCTCCAAAGACGAGGTGGTCTTTGGAGCAGCAGTAGTTAAAACTATTGATAGAAAAGTCTTGCATTAAATCCTGATGCTATAGTTAATAAGATCTTTGACAGTCAAAAAGGTCAAATCCTGAACACATGAAAATTCTCAGAATGAACCCTTGTCTTTAAAACAGTTGTGTTTTTAAACACACTTACATGAACAGTAACACACATCAGTTTCAGTACTGATAAGGTTATCTTGTCACGATGCCTGAGTTAGCGAAGTAACGTCAGGTTTAACTCGGGGTTTTCAGTTTGCACCCAGTGTAAGGTCAATTGTCACTTTTTACACCGTCAAACACAATGCTGCGTTTTAAGCTGTGTGTTGACAGTAAACCATGAAAGGGGAAAGACACTTACAGAATCCTGAATAGAAATCTAAAGGAAAATTCTGCCCAAGATGACGGCTGTTTAACACAAAAGCTGAACTTTGAAACATCCAGCACAACATGTTGTTGCACTGTTACAAGCACAGTGTCGTGAAACTGTGCACATGTGTGTTTTCTTTTTACAAGATTTGTCTGGTGATTCTATGCATGCAGTTTTTTATGGCTCGTGACCATTGAGCTTGTTGTGGAGATGGCAGTCTGGTCTTGTTAGTCTGACATAACTGCCCGTGGGCGTTACCAAGATGGCTGCAGAGTGGTGAGATCTGCTTATAAGGACTTTGACTGAATGCCATAAGAAGTGCTATTCAATGATAATATAGAGCAGTTTTGTTGTCTGGAAAGTGAAGCCAGTACAAGTGCTTTAAGCCTTAATTTTTCCTGGTGACCAGCAGGGGGCAAATTCCAAGGGCACAAAAATAAGTTTAATTGTATAGAAGTCTAAGATAACATGGTCCTACTTCTTTCTTGATCTGTTACCTCAGCAAACATTTTCCTAATGAGTTTATGATCTCAATCACTAGTTTCAAGACTTTTTCAATAAAGCATGGTCTTCATTAAAATAGATGACAAAGTTGGGTAGATTTTAGGGTGGGGCTACCTTGTGATTGACAAGTCACCACCATACAGGCGTGAGTACTGTCCTTGAGTTCATAGTCAGATCCACCTCTTGCTCTTCATGTATGGTTTCAAAAAAACAAGATAGTGACAGCCTAATTCCAAATTCAAGGCTTTAAGACGTCCTCAAACTAGTGGGCAACGTCAAAGCCACTGTCATATAACCGCCTATGAATTATATGCATGTGGTTCAGTAACAACTTATACTCTATCTGATGCAGTAAATCCTCAACACACAACACGACGGCAGCCACGCTTGTGCATTCACCATAACAGTTTGTTATGTAAGGCAATCACTTGTTTTTGAGGCTTGCTATTAGGTAGGCGGTGCACGCCTGTGTTTTGACTGTCGCCAGCTATTTCATGAATCAGCAACAGGTGTTACACAGCTGACAGAGTACAAGATGTAGGTAAAGCATTTTTATCACAAAAGGCACTATGTTTCCAATTCTGCTGCGGGGCTGGATAAAAATATGTATATTTTGAGTCAGCATCCTTTGTATTGTTGTTTGTCGATGATATGCATTTTACATATGATGTTTACACGTGCGTTTTTTCATTCTTCATCTCGTCACACTTTGCAGACTCATACACCTAGTGTTTGTGAAAATGACAAAGCTGCAAATGTCAACATCTGTGGAACAAGGAGAACGCAATATGTAAACAAACATCACCAAACAACACAGTCACTAGTTAAATTGGAGCGCCGGCCTTCGAACGCCGCAGCCAATCACCGGCAGTCGACTTGCACTGTGAGTAACGTAGATGCCAGGTTTTGATAAACAAAGAAATGCGTTGAATAAAAAAAGGGCATATATGGTTCTGCTGCATCAATTTCTCTATGTTCTTAACTGTCCAAATTAACAGCGGGGCAATATTAGAGAACTGCAAAGCTAACTAGAGTGCTCTTTTTAAGGGTGGATAAAGCACAAAGTCTACACATAAACAGTTCTCCTCTAAAATACCCATGACACAACAAACTATAATCATTGATAATATATCTTTATTTTATTTTTTTGACTATCACTAAAATAACGCATTTAACATGTCTTAACAGAATATCCTCATCTAGATGTTTGGATTTGAAATAGCATCTTTAATGAATAAAACAACATCATATTTTCATGTAAAACACCACATTGTTAAAAGTTCCCTATAAAGAGGAAAGAAAGTTTTCATTTTTGTGACAAAACCACAATGCCATACAAAATACACTTTTTCACCTAACTGAATGAGCCGATTTGCATTTATGTCAAGCATATTTCGCCATGGTAGCTTTGACCTTAGCACAAATTATAGCACTCATTGTTATTTTAAGATTGCATTATACAATGTGTGATAAAAGGAAGGAAAAAAAAATGTGAAAGGTTAGAATCCATGAGGTTATCTTCCGTTTTGCCCCTCCCCCCAAAAGTGCTAATTAGCGTTAAACAATGATTCCGAGCAAGCCATTTCTTACAGAAAAAAATATATATGCTGTATATCAAGAGGCTTCATGTACACCACGTTAAGACAATGTGTTTCATACACAGTTATCCTCAAAAGTGCTTGTTGAAGTCTGAGCAGACTAGAATAGAAAACAAAATGTACAGTACATTGGCCACATGTTAGCTTTGTGTTATTTATACAAATATAATACATTTAAAATGAATGTTATTTAATACACATTCCTAAACGTTAAAATCATAATAATAATAGAACCAGTTAATATACCTTGTTGTCCCTTGTCACGTTGTTTAGACATTAAATAAAATACACGTCAGCCATCTTTTTCTCAAACATGCTTCTCAACTGTTGCTCTCGGATCTTTTAATTTAAGACAAAACCTGCATTCGATTGGATTCCTCCCTTTCCCAGAAGCCTTTTGCAAAATATGTAACTACCGGCGGTGCTGACAGTAGGATCCCCAGCAGCAGCCTCGCTTCACACTTTTTGTAGCAGCTCGTGAAGGTTACAACAAACACACTTTCAACACAACAGTCTGTTGGTGTGGCTGAGGATAAAGTGCAGTTCTCCTTTGGCCCCGATGTGGAATCAGATAAAAACCAGTGGTCAGAATCACTCGTAGACACCGGCCTCTGATCTCAGTGCAGCATGATAAAAAGCCTCATGACCCAGAGCCTTGGACAGCAGTCTGTGCCCGCGGGGAGACATGCAGCTCTGGCCAGGCAAATATCCTGCCACGGCTTTACCGGATCTTGTGGGTTTAGGTTTGGGCGCCACGTAATACCCCTCCATGTGGTCATATTGTGTGGGCCTGACTTTAGTGCTCTGAGTCCTTCTGTTGGGCTGAGTGGAAAAGGATCCCAGATGTTCAGGATCCAGAGGGGATTTGGCATGATAATGATAGTAGTGACGATTTTCTCTGGTGCTCTGCGACCGCCCGGGTCTCCTGAGGATGCTGGGTTTCACAACACCAGAGTAGCTGTTGACAGCGTTGGTCATCATTAATCGATCGCGGTCGTGACCCCGGGTATGGCTTCTGTCATTGTGCTCGATGTTCTTGAGGTTGGGACAGCCTCTTTCCGGGAGTGAGGGGACCTTGCGGAGCGGCGGCTGCTGCTGCTGCTGCGAGGAACTGTGTTTGATTTGAATCCGCCTCGATGGTCCCGATTCCACGCTGGACCGGTGACCAAACTGCTGCCTGGTGAACTCAGCATCTGCCTTTTGTGACCTCGGGGAGGTTGGGGATGTAACTACAAAGTTTTGGCTTTCCGCCTTGTCGGTGGAGAGGAGGCAGGCGTTTCCGGGGTCTGACTTGCTTCTGGTGTGCATTATGTCTCTGTTTCTGGTGTCAGTTGGCGAGACGGGACTCTCGCAGGGAGACACAGCTGGATATGTGTTTTTAAGTCTGGATTTATTCTCCTGCTTGACTGGTTGATATACGACTCTTTCAAAAACTTCCGAATCTCTAGCCTCGTAAACTACTGTGTCCCTGCTTTCTATGTAAAGCTCTCTGTTCACAGGAGGGACCCGACGTGGAGAGTAGTTGTAGTAATCTGGCTGTCCGCTATCTCTTGTGGAACGCACGGTGTAAGACTGGCTGTGTCGGATACCACTTTCCCGGCAGGGCTCTATGTGATAGCGGGAGCCTTCAACGGGGCTCATATCTGGATAGGGGTTGTAATGGTAGTCAGCATGTGTGTCCTCAAACTGCGGGCGTACAGGGTGAAGACCGGCTTGAATCATCCTCTGATAGGGAGCCTCCTGGCTTGTTGTTTGCTCGACATAAAACATGGTGTCAGGGGGCAGGACTTCTGTCTCTGCCAACTCGTAGTGACTAATCTGAGGGGCATGGAAGGAGCGAGCCCTCCGGATGGCCGGGTGCCCGCCTGCCCTATCTTCTGACCTCTGCCACTGGCTTTGTTGCCTAGGGCAGCCGCTGATAAGGTGCTCATCTCTACGGTAGCGTCTGTACTGAGGTGACAAAGGGTGCCGTAAACCTAAAGTGCTGTAGCGGCTTTCAGAGGACTGCCTGTATAAGCCTTTTGGCCCGGAGAGGTGAGGCGGCAGAGCATCAGGCCGAGGGCAGTGAGGTGCAGGCATTCGTCCTGCTTGAATCGGCCGGTGATGATGATGAGGAGGAGGATGATGGTGGTGGTGGTGATGATTACTGTAGACGTTCTCCACCATGCCCAGAGGTCTGTCCTCCTCTGGGCTGTAGTGACGGGCCGAGGGGGGCTGTAATGGACGTGGAAAGACCTCCTCAATGGAGGCAGGCATGGAGGTCTCTGCCAGAACAGCGCGGAAGTTAAAAACATTGATAGAGTCTGCGTTGACGTATACGGGAGAAGTTGACGGGCTCTGAGCCGAGCAGACAGGCTGAGTGGGCGTCGAGACTCCAACGCTCTGATAGGTGTGCTCTGCTTGTGTCATATCTCGAAGCTCTTTTTCCTCTCCGTGGTCCCTCCTCTCTGCGCTGCCTTCGTCTAGGCTCCCTGACCCGAGCGGGCTGACATTAGGAGTGAAATTGCACATGCTCTCCTGTCCGTCAGCGACCTGTAGCGGCTCTGAGCAGAGGTGCGAAGGCAGGAAATGAGCTGGATGGGGACAGCAGTGGGCCTCCACGGGGCTGTGCGCCGATGTCTGCCACTGGGAAACAGACGGGATATGAGGGCCACAGTACTCCTGAGGGTACACCTTGAGATCAAGAACGGAGGGCCGTGGCAGTCTGTCCTGGGCGTGGGGCACTTCCTGTCTCTGCAGAGGGTGCGATGGGGTGTTGCTTCGTCTTTGGGAGCCACTGCTCGCCTTCTGGGCAGATTCGGCCAGAGCCAAAGCCAACTTGCGTGCAGCACTCGTCAAGGGAGGGTGAGGAGGGAGAACAGACACTGAACTCATAAATCTATCTGTTCCTGGGGAGGGATAAGACAAACAACGCTACAGTATGACAGGACAAACAAAGCTATGGTAAGACATGATGGGACAGGACACAAAAGCTTTCATAAGAAACTACAAAGTGCATTATTATTTAAAAAGACACTAACTATAGAGTTAATATTATATGATGTTAACCAGGAGAAGCACTGACCTGGATCAGGCAAGTTCTGTGCAGATTGACTGAGGTCTGTCGTGGCTGACGCCTGGCTCGCTGTGCTGAGTGGGCTGCAGTGTTGATAGGGCGCTCTGGGCTGTTTTCCATCTGCCACTGCAGCTTCACACTTATCCACTGGGGGAGAAGAAGCCGGCAGAGGGGGCAGAGAGGCGGCTGCACACTGAACATCTGCTTGCGTCTTAAATGATTTCTTCCTGAGTTTTGGAGAGAGCTGCTTGGAGGTAACCTTCTTCCCACCTTTACCGAGAATGGGGCTAATATCTGGAGACTGTGAGCAGCTAAAGTTGTTGTTCGGAGAAGAGATGGGCTCTGATTCACTGGAACACCCTGCGTTTTTCCTCCATTTATTTCCATCTTTGCCGTGCTGGGGTCCGGGGGTCGCTGTGGGTGGGCTGCACTGAAAAGACATGGGGTCAAAGTCCAAAGTAGAGATGCCCGCAGCCGGCGGGAAGAGGTCGAGGTCGTCTTCCTGGTGTGGAGGTGAAATACAAGCTGCAGTGCGGACATGATCAGCACCATTCGGACTGTCGTTCAGTGGCTGAGTTCTGCGCTCGTTTTTACTTCCAGTATTGTGTAAATCGTCTTTACTGACAGCAGAAACGGCCTCACTGGTTGAACGAGGTCTGAGGGGACGGTAACTCGGAGGTTCCCCTGGAATGGAAATGAATTCATTTTTATACCGAGTATTCAGTAGACAGAAATATGCAATTAACATAAACCACTGGGAGACGATCTAAAGTGTGCAAAATAAACAGTTCTAATGAATCATCACCTTCAAAATTGTGCAAAGAGGTGAGAGATTCTTCACTCTTGGTAGAGCGCAGTGTGCCGCTATCGCCCCTTCCACCTGCAAAATGTTTGAGCAAAACAGTCCTTCTCAACAAATGAATCAGCACCTCGAAAACAACAGCACATCCAAGTGTCAAGATTAGTAGAGAAAACTGACAAACTCAAATAGAAAAAGAAGCTTTTAGAGGTACAGAAGCCGTATGATTTCCGACAGCGCAACAGCAGCAGTGAGCTGACCTGGCAGTGCAATGCTCTTTATCTCGTTAGGCTCACTCGGGTGTCGCTTCAGCTTACGTTTGGACACAGAATGGGACTTGCCCAGGTGGAAAAAGGAGAGCCAGTTCCCCACAGGAGACTTCTTAGCCTTGGCAGGAGGCCGCTTGCCGCTGCAACACAAAAACAAATCATCTTCAGCGCTTGCAGTTGCCTCATCGAGCACAAATAGAAGCTGCCACACAGGAGAAGAATAAGAAACCTTAACATTAGAGTTGCAACTACCGATTATTATCATTGCATTTAAATGTGATTAATCATTTAGTTTTGAAAAATTCAGAAAACAGTGACAAAGCCAGCGGCCCAAGTTGCTTGTTTTGTTATGATTTTTTTTGGCTAAAGACATAAAATTTTGAAGGATGAAACACAGAAAAAGCAGCAAATCCTAACAGATGAACAGCATTTTTGCTTCATGAATGGCTTTACTGATTAATCGACGATGAAAATGGCTATCTATGCTAACTAGTGATTCAGTGCATATCACATACACCGCAAAGCACAAAGATGGAACAACTCAAATCGCAAATGATGAATGTAAAGGTATGAAGAAAGGGATCAAGACGCAGAAGGATTCATGTCAGAACAAACACGGAGGACGACTCTGGCGTAGATCTACCTCTCCATCGGGAGCTCGATGACTGTGTGGAACTTGCCGAGGAGAGCTCCAGGTCCCTCCCCGACCTCGATGTAGTCGCTGTGTGTGAGGCAGGGGGTGGTAGCCGGGGAGCCCAGCTGCACCTGAGTGCGAGCCTGAGCCTCCTCTAAAGACAGCAGCTTAGTGGACGGGGAGCAGACCATCAGGGACTTTGGTCTGGATAAGGTGTTGTTACCTAAAGTTGAGGTGTTCAGTTAAGTGTGTTTCAGAATCATACAGTCGCTGTCACTTTGATTCTTCCTTTCTGTTTAGACATTACATGAGAACCTACCAGTACTTTCTCTTATGATGGCGTTGAGTTTGGGGCTGAAGAGAGCCTCAGTGTTGTTGAGGATGAACTCCACCACTACCGACTGGATGCGCACCTCCATGAACGCCGCCGTGCCGCTAAAGCAGGCCGACTCTATCTGTCTGGACCTGAAACACAGTTACAGAACAGCACAACCTATTTCACAGCTCCGGACCGCTGAGACGTGCCCCAGTTCACTGTCACAGAAAGGCTGGAATGAAACAGCAACGGCAACGGTGCCGCGATCGTGATAGTCACCTGAGGAGGTTAGGCGCCCAGACGATCGCTAGGTTTTTCGTGTGCATGTTCGTGATGGAGCTGAAGGTGGCGAGGTGGGAGAGGTGTCTCATGAGGAACTCCAGAGTCCTGTAGAGAGAGAGACGATGCAAATATTTACTATTATTTTACTCTCAGATGGCAAAATTGGCAACTTTAGGTCACAAGAGAGGCTCATATAGGTCAGATACCACTGTTACCCCTATTATTACCAGCAGGTGGAGTCACAACTAATGAGTTTAGTGCATCTGGCAACATGAAGAATGATTTTAACTTTGAATTTCTGTATTCAGTGGACATCAGAGTTGTGGAATTTCAGAGCTCAGACATGAGACTTCTGTTCTGTTGTGAATTCAAACACAGGATTGTGGAGAAAGAAAGTGCTTTGGATGCTTGTTATCTTCACTACAGAGACCGTTTGTTCTTCTCTGATGTGGAGCATCTTTTTCAAGAAATCACATTTTCCCCCCTTTTGGCCACCAGGGTGCAGCCGTGAGCTTTAAACCCGACCTGTAATGTGGAGGAGGCAGCTGCTGGATGACATTGTGGATTTTGACCAGCCTCTCCTCGTCTGTGGCTGCAGACACGGCCTCCTGTGAAGAGACAGAGGATAAAGCGCACATCACTGCGAGGCTGATAATCACAGCGGAGGGAGTTGCCTTAACATCCCCACTCTCTCTCTCTCTCTCTCTCTTTTTTTCCACCCCTTTTATATTCCGAGCAGCCAGTGTTTCAGCTCGCTTAATCTGCTATTCGGTTTTAGCATCCACATCCCCCTGCTGTTCCTAGAAAGCTCGGCATAATGCAATGACCCCATTTTGAGCAGCACTTTAAAATGAGCTGAAATCTTTATATTGTTTCCTCTGTTCCTTTGTTATTACAGAGTTACTAGAAATCCATCCCTTGGACCCTTTTATTCCTCGCAATACTTGACCCCGTCTCCTGCATTTATCCCCAGCATAAATGTCCAGGCTCTGCCGCTTTGGTCCTTACTGAGAATCTGTCGTAGAGTTGGTAGGTGAGCAGAGGGTTGGGCAGCTCTCTGAAGTACAGCTTGCAGAGGGAGCCCACTGAGTGAATGTCCTGTCTGAAGACGTCTCTGCTCAGGTCTGGGATCTGCTCGGAGTCAAACTCGTGCCTGACGGAGACAGAAAGAAAAATAAGAGGATATAGAACAGCGTGGGAGTCGTCCTACTGCCCATCTGTCAGCATGAGGCAGAAAAACAAGGAGGACTTTTCAAACTATAAGCTACTTTCGAGACACACGTCATTAATTTGTCACTTAATCTTTGATGTATTCTAATTTAGCCATAGACACCCGCAGAACACAATATCATTCCTTCTCCAAATAACAAAAGTAAAACCTTCATTCCTGTATTTCATGCATTAAGTCCTTTAATAGGCTTATTGGTCATTGTGGAAACATTACCAACATGTCAACTGCTTTTTATCTACGGCATTTTCCCAAAATGACTATTTCATGTGCTGGCAGTCAAGTTTTTCGAGTGAGGAACGTCCTTTTCATTCGCTGTCAAAGCCCATCAGCTTATGTGGCTCCCAATTTATCTACTGATGGGGGTTTGTTTCACAAATTCCTCCTGGCAAGCATAAAATACACGAGAAGACCATTACAGCCATTCAAAGCGCACAGCTTGAAACAAATTGTATTTGATGGATTTCAGGAGAGGCGGCTCAAAATCAGTACTCGGAGAGCAGCATCCATCATAGCTGTCGGTAATGGGCTCTATAATTACAGCTCTTTTAATGATATTTTCAGTATATATGCTGCGACTGCTCGCTCGTGCAGCAGCTCTGTGCATGCGGCTACAATGAAAGGTGAAGACCATATATAATGGATGATGATAATTTGCTATATGATCTGTGTTTTTAGAGGAATCATGTTATTTAATACATAAAGAACAGAGGTGCTGCTTGACATGACCTTAGATTGACTCCTATTAGATGCATTATACATCTTGGAGACGGTGTTATTTACTGTAGAAATGAAACACAGCATGGTGCACAAAGAATAACAGCAACAACATCCTGAGAAAAGATTACATGACTTCAACTAAATATGAATGGAATTAAATTGTGGACCCTGATTCCAACCCAAAAGATCACCACATGATCTTATGTCCAGATCACCCACCTCTACTCAAACCCACAACTTCTCTCTGCTGACTCACCAGCCAAGACCTTTATCCTTGAAAACACACATTTACAGCACTACCCTACTCATGCTGTTTGAAGGATTTTTGGAAAGGATGGGGGCCAGGTTTGGGATCTGTACAAGTCTGGCATTGCTCAACCTCAGGCACTGTTTGGAGTTTTGTCTGATTTAATATCTTGTACACAACAAGCGCAAACCTCAGCTTCTGAATGTTGGAAGAGATCCCTGAGAGTCTGTAGATCCCGTCCACGACTCCGTGCTTCTCTATGAACTCCGAACAACTCTTCACAACCTGTGGGACTGCAAGAGACAAGACAGTCAGCAACGTGCTTTAATTCATTTAAGACACCTTGAGAAAAAAAAAAAATCCTTCCTAAGCACATAAGAGCACAACTATTAAGCTAGTTTTAAATCATGTTAAAAGAATAAATCTGGAAATATTTTGTTTTTAAGTCTGCAAAACCAGCATGTAATCCCACTTTAAGTTTTGCTTGTGCAACTAAAGTCTGACAATCTGTATGTTATTCCTCCATTGTTCAGGAACTATTAAAAACACATCCCTGAGCCACTGGATGACATCTTCCTTCATCCCTATAAATACAAGCACTGTAGTTTATTTTAAGTGCATCCAAAATACACAACTCTACTGCTGTAAATATTCACAAGTGCACCAAATATATGTGCACCATTTAGTACATTTGCTACATCACCGAGCTGTTTTAGGACATTTAAAAAAAAAAAGAAAGAAAGTGCTTATTTGTGATCTTTTTTTATTGTTTTAGCTATCTGCTACAAACGCCACAAATATGGTTGGAAAGCTAAACATGCGTAGAGTAAATCTGCAGGTTCATAATGTTATTATCTAAAAGGGAAAGAAAACTAATTTCTGCTCTTTATAAACTGTTCCTCTTATGTTGAAATGATCTCATGATGAAGGGTCATAAATAAGTAATGCCCAAAGGCTGTGAATCTAAGGATACCTTAGAACAGAAACGATGCAACTTTAATCCAATAATGTCCAAAAGACTGAGCATAGATTGGTAAAATTTATGCAAGCTCTCTGTCCCTATGGTGCCACAGAAGAAAACACACAGAAGAAACACCTTTTGGCAAATCTACAAGGATCTACGCAGGAGCATAAATTCACAGGGCTTTCTTTGGGATTACTTCTTATCTGCTGGCAGTTTACATTGAATTATTAACTGCCAGCAGGTAAAAATGAGAAATAAAAGGCTCTACTTTGGGAATATTTTACCCTCGTGTCCTGAGTTGTGGAGATGTTCCCCCAGATCGCAGCCAAACACTCGCTCTCGGAGGATACCGCGCTGCCGGAGCTTCTGCGGCGGCGGTCGAGACTTCATGAAAGACCTCAGGAAAGTCACCAGCTTCCCATGCTTCTTACACACTGATTAAGACGGCACACACATACACATAAGAGCCACTTTAAATCAATCTGACTCATATCCTAAGAGCAAGTCTTAAATAAATCATCAAGCGCACTGAAGAGTACCTGGCTTCGGCACTGAGCTCTGAACACTGGGGGGGATCTTGTCATTTATCAGCTCAACACAGTCGCAGGGGAAGAAACCAACCTGCAAGAAGAGAGAAGAGTGAGTGGACTAAAGAGGAGAGACAGAGATGGTGATACGCTTGTAAGTTCAAAGGACCAGTGGGAGTGCAAAGCTGTGGCAGACTGTTGTAGGGTGAAGGTGCAGAAATAGGTCAGGAAGAATGAGGGTGCAAGCTGCCTCAGGCTGATAAAACAGCTAGTTTGTTTTGTTGTCATAAACATTCTTGAGTGTTGCACAGTTACAATCACAAACTGCCTTTCATTTTGCAAAGGTGATTTAAAAAGAAAAAAAAAAGGGGGTTCACCTCATGCAATATTAGAGTATGCTAAAAAAAATCTAAAACATTTTTAAAATATGATGCTATAATGTTTTATCATTTTTGTTTAATTAAAAAATATAAATACAAAATAAATTTAAAAAAATTAGGGGCTCACCTTTTGCAATATTTAATGATTTTAAAAATGTCTAAAATATTTTTAATAATATGGAGTTCACTTCATATAATATTTAATTATTTTAAAAAAATTTTAAATAATTTGGAGTTCACTTCATATAATATTTAATTATTTTAAAAAAATTTTAAATAATTTCGAAATATCGGGTAAACCTCATGCAAAATTAATATATTTTAAAAATTTTGAAAAAAAAACATTTTAACAATATGGGATTTACTTCATCCAATATTCATGTTATTAAAACTTTTTTTTTTTTTTTAAATATGGGGTTGACCTTATACAATATTCAAATATTTAAACATTTATATAAAAAATAAATATATGAGGTTCACTTCATGCAATATTGAACATCTAAAAAATATATATTTTAAAAATGCAGGGTCCACCTTGTGCAATATTAAAGATGAACTTAAACGACTGATCTCACAGTATGAACTGTCCAGACTCCAGAAGCATTATCTTCTAGCCAGTTTGCAGTCAACCTTATTGTGTATTTTATACATCCTACAACAGATATTTTACCTGAAAGCCATGCTTCCCTCTCCACCAGCCTGTGTCTTCTTTAGGAGGCATGTCGATCACTGACACAATGTCGCCCACCTGGATCACAAAGACAGTGAAGATAAGAATAAAGTTTGACCTCAGCTGAATGAGAAGGAATCATAAAAGGATAAAAAAAATATGCAAGACCTCCTATGGGATAAAATTTACTGAAAGAAGAAAAAATAATAGTTAAAACATTGATTTGAGTGCGACTGTATTTCTCTTATATCCAGCGGTTACCTCAAAGGTCAGCTCGTCTGTGGCCTGGGCCGTGTAGCGCTTGGTGACGTGGGCAGCAGCGATGGCGGGGACATTGATCGAGGCTTCTTCAGACACCAGCAGATGGTTGCCTTTGTTGTCGATCTAAAAATAAAAAAAGTGTCTTTAATAACACCACAGATGCACGTTAGCCTAGCTTTGCTCAGAGATCAGAAGCGGGGAGCGGGAGCTGGTAGCGTTTCATTAGAAGCGAGACAAGAACAAACAGAGTACAGTAAAGATAATGCTTCTTACTTCACTGTTTTCTCCCACCTGATATTTTATTCTTTTAATTAGTGGTTTTTGGAGCAGAGTCTGAACAACGCATCACAAGTAATCATGCATTTATTATGGGTGGGATTTTTAAGCAAACACTGCAGAAACCTGGTACAGAAAACACAACATAAAGCCCAATTTCACACAGCATCTCCCACATCTATGCAATGTTATCACAACTGCTCACTAGCTAGTCAGCTGGCTGATGTTGGGGTTAAACAATGACAGCTAGACTGATTGATGCACAGAGCTGTAATGTATGCAGTTTCCCTCCTTCAATATTCTTTCTTTGACTGTGGCAATCAACTGCATTTACAAAAAAGTTTCAATAAGCTTGGATAATCACACGCAAATACCAAGCAACTGTTTCCATTCTATACTTTGCAGTGTAAATCTGAGGAAACCACTGAAGAACAACTCATACCTCCATCCATGTGAGCACTGGACCACAGTTGATCTTGTTGTCAGCGATGGCAGAGAAGCGGGACAGGTAGGTGGCCAGCATCGTTGTAACAGCCTGAAAGGTGAACACAAGATCGTCAAGATTTAGAAAAGACCAACAAATTAAGCAATTAGAAACAAGGCAAAAGTAGCTGTGCGTTACCTCGACGGTGTCCTTTAACGTGTTGAATCGTGGCAGCTCGGTGAGCTCGGAGTAACGGCGGTCATAGATGCACAGGTGCAGGTGTTTGTCCAGCACCCGGAAGTCTTCATAGGATCGCTTCACCAGCCAGTTTTTACCCTGATAAAGTACATATAAGAAGCTATAGTGCAACTGAACACTACTTAAGAAATATATGCTGTCAGACAAAAGCAGTGTTTACCTGGCAAGTGATCTGCACCAGAAAGACCAGCTCCTTGGAGTCCGGACCAGCCTTCGGTGCTTCAGCCTGCCCCTCTGCGAAGGCCAACTATGAGGGGAAAAGGAGCAGAAAACAGGAGAGTCAGTGGAGCTAATGCTGAGAGGGCTAGTACGCTAAATAATGGATGAGGATAATACAACAACCTCTCTTTATATGACCTGCTATACAAGAGGAACATCATGTCTGAACCCATTTCTCCATTAAATAGTAAAACCACTTTTACACTGAGTCTGGAAGGCAACAAGGAATCATGGGAAGTAGCGCCTGAGAGGAGATGAATGTCAACATTTTGTTATAGAAAGTCTGACAAATTCTCTTTGAATAGGACAGCGTTCGTGATACAGTCTATCCAGGAAGTAAGACGAGTATACTTCTTCTGCCACCCATTTATTTTCTTACTTCACCATAAATCCCGCAGTCTGAAATGTATAATAGATTAGCTGCTGGAGCTCGGAGGAGGTGTAGATTTAGCACAGATTTTCTTCTTCTTCCTTCCCACCAATATTTCATACGCCCCTTAAACCGAGAAGATCAAAGCCTCGCCGGAGTTTGGGAATTTGTTTGATAGACGTTACTGTAGGAGCGACTTCAAAGGCCTCGAAGCCAAGGGAAGTTCTGGTTATTTATAACTGGTAGCAACTCATCCACATACTCTGTTACACAACACGCAAGCGACCTAGTTACTGCTCAACGGTAACACGGCAAATCAGGCTGACAGACGGAAACACGCCGAGAAATTACTTCTTGAGTAAGTCACAATGGGAGAGCGAGGATTTGTCTGAAATAGTAGTCCCAAGCAAACGGCTAAATTAAGCACCGAAGGGGGGCAAGAGGCCAAAGGGATGATGGGAAGAAGGATCAGAATTACAGATAAGCCACAAAACAAAACAGCAAAAAAAATCTGAAAGTTTCCACTGAAGGCACGCTTGCTTCCTCTGTGATGCTCACACACCTCCAAGGCTACTCATCTCAAACTACAGCATGCTACTACAGCCCAGCCCTCCAGCCCTTTGCGCAAGAAAACACAACTGCAACGTGTTATTTATTCATAAACATCTGCCACCAAGAAGCTCAAACGAACGCATACTCATCCATATGTCCGCGTTACCTGCCACTAAAGCATCTCAGACATCCATCCGCAACTGGAGGAAGTGCTTCTCTCTTTGTGTGCAGCCGCAGTCCTGGACCACAGTAAGCCCCCCTCCAAGAAGCCAAATCTTGGCTAAGAGCTCGCAGGAGTTTAAATGCAGCTCCTCACTCGCCTGTTTGCTGTCCCCCTCGCCGGCTCACGCAGGAAAAAAAAAGCTCATTTACAGTGCCTTGAATCACCACGCGTTCAATTCAAAGCAGAAAATATGAAAAGAGGATGCTTCCCACTGTGTGTCTTACCCCCCTTCCTGCCTCCCTCTTTTTTTCGATCTCTTCCCCCTCCTCCTCCTCCTCTCCCTCTCCTGTGCTCTGTCTCCATCACCATCCCCCCCTTCTTCTTCTTCTTCCCTCTCTCTCTCTCTCTCTCAACCGCTCTCCTTTCTCCGGTGACAAAAGGGGGGTTTGCCAGTAAATGGGCTCAAACTGGCACACGCAGATGCACAAGCTCATCCATCATACTGAGGCGCGAGACGGATAGACGGCCCTTCGTCATTTCAAAACAATTCTCATTCATTGCGCTCTCAAGGCGAGACTGGAGCTAATCTGGAAGAGGAATCAGTCAGGCAGGCTGCAGACGGCGGCAGTCTGCTGTCCTTGTGCTGCTCTGCAATCAGGACACATGAGACCCTGATCAGCGGCTTTCCCTCCTTTGCTGTGAGCGCAAAGTCAAACAAATGCATCACAGGAGATACAACAACAACAAAGACTCATCTCTGATATTAAGCCGAAGATTTATCACAGCGCACGGTGACGCGCGCCTGCTGTGTGTTTGTGCGGTGCAGCCATTAGTGTCAGACTGATATTTCTCTTAGAGCTCGCCTCAGCTGTTTGTCTCCTCCTGGAGCTTTTCAAGGTCACTGAAAGTGTTGTGCTGCTTCCTTTCCCTCCACATCACTGATGGGAGGCATCACGGTCACGGCAAACCACAGCAGGAACGTTCAACCATCAGCATCTTGGGATTAAAGTCCCGTCCAGCCTGCCACACTGTAGCTCATTAATCCTACACGTAGGGATTCAGCACCACAGAACGCATGGAACTGCTCAGGCGCCCTTTTGTGTTAACCTACGCTGGCAGCTTCAGGTTGTGCAGAGGAGACTGATGCACTCTGCTGGCGAGCAAACAGAACTACACCGAGGTTAACCAGGCGGGTAATAACCACTTCCACACATGACTGAGCAACCCCTAGTGCTTCACTGCTTCTCATTATCACCGAGAAACTCCTTCTTAAGCTTATAGAATATCTATACGTCCAAACCATTTGTTGGCTGGTAAAGGTAATTAAATTCCTAATACGGAACTTCAGGACCGCAGGATTTTCAGATTAAATATTTCCAGCTAATGTTAAAACATTTTTTTCCTAAATTTACTTGAATTTGTGAAAACAAGCCCCAGAGTCCACAGAAATAAATATCAGTACAATAATAGTGTTTATATGTTGATGTTTTGCAGATAAGGCGCAGTGGTTAGCACGGTTGCCTCGCAGCAAGAAGGTCGCCGGTTCGCATCCCGGTGAGGGCACCGGAATCTTTCTGCATCGAGTTTGCATGTTCTACCCATGCAGCGTGGGTTCTCTCCGGGTTCTCCAGCTTCCTCCCACACAGTCCAAAAACAAGTTGAGGTTAATTGGTGATTCTAAATTGTCCGTAGGTGTGAATGTGAGTGTGCTTGGTTGTCTGTCTCTAAGTGTAGCCCTGTGATAGACTGGTGACCTGTCCAGGGTGTCCCCTGCCTTCGTCCTAAGTCGGCTTGGATAGACTCCAGCCCCCCCGTGACCCTAATGAGGATTAAGCGGTGTATAGATAATGGATGGATGGATGTTGATGTTTTGTAGATGCTGATGTTTAGCCTGCTAGCATCTGCTAATAAGGGTTAAATAAGTAAATGCCATTAGTTTTGTATGAATTTTCAAAAATATAAACTTTGTGCAAATTCATCCTGAGGGAACATCTGTATCAAACTTCATTGAAATCTGTCCAGCAGTTATAGATATATTTGACTCTGAACAAAAAAAAAAGGAAGGTCTAAGGATTGCCACATTTAAAAGGCGTCACCAGCTGGGAAACATGACTATGTGCTCTGAATTTCATGGCAATCCATCCAACAGTCATTGAGATATTTCAGTCTGGACCAAAGCAGTGGATGAACATTGCCATCCCTGGAGCAGTACTGGTAATTTGACTAAAAAAAAACATCCCAGGTTGATTGTAGTCTTTTAAAAATAGTCTATAATATAGCATCTACCTTCCACCCACATGAAACTGTAACCGCATATCCTCACACCTGTTATTGTTTTGGCAGATTTTCTGTCTCCTGCAATTCCTGGAGGAAAACAGATGTCTGAAAGCTCTAATGTGGCGTTTCAGGAGGGGGAAAAAAAAAAAGGAAAATGCAATAATGAAGACAGACTGTCCCCAAAAGACAAACAAGGATATTGATTTAACTGCCACAACGCATTTTCGGAATCATGCATTTCTGAAGCAATTCACCAAAATGGCCACTTGAGACTGAGCCAAAGACACAATTACTAAACATACTAACTCTGCAGCTGAAGTCACGGTGTTAGTATTTTCAGGGCTCACCTGGACGTTGCCAAAATCAACAGTCTCATAGTGGAAATGGGCACACTCTGCCAATCTGGGGAAGTGACCTCTGGGGAACGTCAGCCTAAAAAAAACAAAAAAAAAAACACAGAACAACAGCAACTCATCAGTATTCAATCACTGTGATGGAGAGAAGAGCCAAGTGAAAGAGAGCAAAGAGGAGAAAGAGGAGGGGAGAGATTAGGCCCGAGTATGAGAACAGAGTTGGAGATGCAGCAGGCTGACTCGTCTGTCTGTGTGTGTGTGTCGCACCCATCATTTCATAGGTCCTCATTTCACTGGCCTGAATAAGAGCCCTGGTTTACAGCCTATAATAGCAGCAAGTCTGTCACGGGGAGCACCTACTTCTTCATGTTCTTGACCTTCATGCTGGCCGTGCTGACGCAGGAGCGCAGGAGGGGCTCGGCTGGGTGCTCTGTGATGTCATCACTCCTCGCCTGCAAAACACAGCAGGCGGACGTCAATAAGTGTCGGTCAGACGCAAGACAACTGCTGGAGAACCGATTAAAGCCCACGGGAATTAAGTTGACTGCATAAAACAGTGGTGGTGCAGCAAAAGACACAGGAGACACACTTTAGACACTTGGTATAAGAATAGAGAGCTGAATGGGACAGCTGTGTCCATTATTGTCAGTCATGCAGCTTTTCTTGCTACACAATGCTACACTATACTCTGCAATGCTTTTATGCCATTTCATGCTGTGTTGCATTGTGCTATGATAACATGCTATGCTTTGCTTGTGTTGTGTTATGTGAGACTCCTACACTATGTTATGTTATGCCAATGCCATCTATACTGGGCTATTTTATGCGGTGTTATATAATACTTGTGTGACGTTCTGCTTTGGTGCAGCTATGCGTTGCTATGCAGTATACAAGTAAACTATAGTATGTTGTGTTATGCTATGCAGTGCTTTTATTATGTTGCAAAGCTATGTTACATTAGGTTCCTATATTATTTTACATAACTTTCTGATTTATTATAAACAGACTTGTGACCATTAAGGACCCTAAAACATGCATTCTGTCATTCAGTGCTGTTAGTATCAGTTGTAACACGATTGGAATGTAGTTGTATTGTGTTATTATGACAGGATTTTTTTGTTTCTACCAAAATGTTGACAGTGAGCAAGAGATAGTAGGGACGTAAGGGTACACAAAATCACAGTTCAGAATAAATCTTAGTCTTTGGTTCAGTATGTTTTTGGCACAAACATTTTAAAAAAAATGAAAATATTCTAATGTGCTGAATTGGCTGTGAGTCATACTGTAGCAGTTAAGAAACTAAAATGCTGTATAGTGTCATAAAGAAAAGACTGAAGAAAAGCTTTCACACTCAGGTATGAAGTAAATCAAATGTAATCTGCCTATTAAGACAAATGCAGCACATTCATATTAAAATAAATTAACCATTAAAGCCAGCAGTGCAATTTCAGCTTTCCCTGCATTTCTCTTTTTGTCATCTACCTCAGTGCCACTGAGTACGAAGCCATCTTATCTGAAAAAACTGGAATTGTCACTAGACAAAAGCGACTGGTGGCTTGCTATACAGTTTGAGCAGGTTCTGGCTTTGGAGGAAGGCCGCTTAAAACTCCAACTCAAGAAAATACCGTCAGTTGACACATAGTATGCGTTTAATAAAACTTGCACATTGTCCCACCCAGCTTTCAAGGCCAATCCTGCGAACATAAATGAACTAATGGATGGAAACTTCTTAAAAGTTCCAGTTGAAACTCGCAATTTAGAGTTTCTGTTCTGGACTTCTAACAATCAACATAACAAACACAAGCAATTTCATACCATATCATTAGCCTCCTAATCTACAGAGATAAGAAAGTGTGAAAATGTAAAGAAAGACACACTGAGGATACGTAACAGTCTTGCATAGCTAAACCATTCGGCTGCATAGAATGGTCTGGTTGCAATAATGGAAAACAAACCCTCTTGCTCATGTTTATTCCTTTCACAGTTGTGTTGGGTGGAGCTAAGCCAAGGACGCAGAAACAGTTTGTCTTTAAAATAGTAATGTGGGAACTGTTTTGGTGAAACAGAACACATGACTGTCATTAAAATGGCCAGTTCACTGAAAAAAACTGTGACATGTAGATGGCAGAGGAAGGGAACTGTGTGAAAAGCGCATCCAACTGCAGGCTTATACCCTAAGTCTACATCCGGTGAGTCAGACTACACCGGAGTGACCAAAAGCAAAGTGACAGAGGGAGGAGGCGACATCACACACACTGTCATTACGCCTTTACCTCGGCCGTCATCACTCACTCTGAGGTGAGACATCGTCTAATGCAAATTTACACATCCTCACTTCTGTTACTGTGACAACTGACTCTCACATGTCCACCGTATGACTTCAGTGACATCATGGTGTGAATCACCTACGCAGCCGGTGTAGTCTCGTGCAGGAAAGGCAACATGTCTGTTGGTGTTTATGTATTTTCTTGTATAAGCGATGAGTCAGAATCATGTGTGTGGGTGTGTACCATGGCAGTGGATGTCTCCTGTGGCTGTTTCTCTTCTGGAGGATTACTGTTGGCAGCTTGAGGTAAGGCATCGTCTTTGTCCAGGTCCGTAGATGGTAGCACATCACTGCAGAAAAGCAGGAATATAAAGAAAAGAATGATAACATGTCAACTACAGGAGGCTGAGGTGTTCAATTAAGGGGTGTAGTTTTGTAAAAAACACACCAGAGGGAGCAAGTGAGGGAGAATTTATAATATGTGTCTTGGGCTCAAATCATGACATTGCAGCAGGATGGCCCAGAAAACATGTTGTACAAGGACTGTGATGTTTGAATTTCATCATTATCATTATTAAATTAAATCATTATTAATTCAGGCAAACTACTAATTTGTACCAATCGGGTCTATTTGGGATCAAATGCAGCAACTCATCCTTCATACAAATTAGTAGGAAGGGAAAAATGGCGAGCATCTTCAGGAGGGTCAACAAAAAGCCACAGGGTCTTTTGAATGCACTCAGGAAAGCAAAGCTCGTCTATTCAGAGAGCCATAAAGGCAAATCCACCCACAAGGGAGTGCTTCAACAAAACCTTCACTTGAAATGTGACTCAATGTATTCGGGAGTGAAGGGTGAGGTCCATTCAGCTCAACTTTTATGAGCAACAAAGAGAAAGAGGAGAGACGGGGCTTGGATTTGTAACAGTGATTCAGCGTGATGAGATCAGGACACGAGGCCAAGAACGCAGACACACAGAGTAATATATGTGATCCACACTGACACTACGAATTACATAAGCACAATGTAAATCTGGGAGACGTATAGTGAGGCCTGGGCCTGATGAAGCTCGAAACAGGGACAGTTTGTCTCTCTGAGTCACTCCGCGAACTGGGTCATGTCTTAGCCTTAACGTTGCACTGCATCTACTTACATTCACGCCGCATCTGAAATGCAAACACACGTGCACGAGGCCACGCAAGTACTCTACACATGCATGCATGCATCTCTCAGGGCACATGTATGAGGTTTTACATGATTCAGATCAGCTGATGTGAAGCAGAAAAAAAAAAAAAGAGTGTAACTCACCCCTCAAGGACGTCACTACTTCCTGGTTCTCCCTGGGGTCCTGAGGCAGCATTCTCAATCACCGCGGCAACCACGCATCCAGCCTCCATGATGCTGCCTTGCTGCAACAGCCCGCTGTAGAGAAACGTGAGTGGGAGGAGAGACAAGGATAGAGTGAGAGGGAGAGCGAGCGAGGGGTTGGTAAAAGGAAAAAACAAGAGTAGACGAAGGGAGGAAGAGTCCGATGCTATGAAGCCGCCAGACGTTAACCCACTTGAGGCTGCAGCGTGCGCGACTCTCAAGGCTACAATCCACAGAGCCCAGACTGTAATCAGTGATGACATCATGCTACAGCACCAGGAGCTGCTTCGGTGATAAAGCATGACAGGCTGCAAATTCACAGGATGGTTTCACGAGAATATCAGCTTCTTTGTAGCCGAGCACTGACAGGTTTTAGCTGGAGAACACGCACATGTATCATCCTCAAGGAAATGTCAGGACTGTCAGGGAGGCTTCAGCATGAGTTTGCTGATTTGAGGTCATTATTTTTTGCTTTAAACACCCAGAAATGCACGCTTTTTGCTCCTAAAACACTGCAAATTTAAGAAATGTCTGCCCTGAAGTTAACATAAACTCCATTTATGTAAGCTTTCTTTCTTGTTTCATCCCATCTTTCTAACAGGGACTGCTGTCATCTTCTTTCATCAAATTACAACAATGTGTTTTCAACTTAAATCATTTAAAGTGTGGTTCAACTGGTTTTATGTACGTTTCCTCTTCTGTCTTTTGACCTGTACAGAGGCCCTCGGTCAGATTTTAGCCTCGACTTTGAGTTCACATTGTCTCACATGGTGCCCATCCATCCTTTATCTATATCTGCCTATCCTTATCTGGGCGGCTGGAGGGAATCCCAGTTCACATTGGGAGGAGGAGTACATCCAGTCTGTCAGAGGCCTGACACAGACCACTAAATAATGTTCATACTTTTGCGCGGGTTATTTTTCTTGGTCTCCGCTTTTTCCAATTTAATATTTTCTTAACACTTCATCACTGAAGAGCATGTTGAAATGACGTCATAAAAACAGTTAAAGGTAGGAAAAACAGGAGCATACGTCCGACGTTCACCCCGTTGTTTTTGTAATGAATATTTTTCTACATGTGTTATTTTCACGCCATGGGAACTGCACCGGCCCCGATCGCTGACACCCCTCAACGTGCTCCTCTCCTTATGTACTGTAAACAAACAGAAGGAATGTCCTGATGGAGCAAACGTGACTCTTCCTTTAGAATCCTCCCATAAACCGGCCTCTGAACGTATGTGGGTGCTTAGCGTTAAACAATGACTCAAGGGCATGTAGGCACAAAAACAGGTCCCTTCTCACACCTCTGAGGTCCACCCACAGCACTAAAAAAAAGTTCCTCCAATTAACATCGAAGCAGTTTTACCTCCTCCCTAAGGAGCTCGGCTAATCAACACAGAAATGTTTGGAGCAGATTCATCAGCACCCGACTGTCCGGTTGCTGTAATAGCAGTTTCCCATCAGCCAGCCCCCCTTCTGGCCCGGAGCCTCGCTGAGCTGCTGTTGACGGACTTCCACAAAGCCCCCTGACTCAGCAGAATGTGAGCAGGCAGACAGGAGCATGGGCCAGATCGGAGTCCACTCTATCCACATCTCGCACTGTAACTCCTCTCCAGCAGACACCGTAACCTTGCCAGGGGAGTGCATTACACGGGGCGGCAAATTAATTTACTGTTTTGAAGCGTGACGTCAAGCGTTTGTAAAGGGTCACTTGGGGGGAGAACGTCTTTGGAAAGTCACGCGAATGTGAAAGCGGCGTGTCACCAAATGATGTGGAACTGCAGGCATTGTAATATGATTAGTGGCTGTGTAAGTCTGCAGGACAACACAAAAACAAAGTTGCACTGCACAGTCATCAAGAAATAAATGATCTTATTCGAGATATCTTGGCTAAGTTGTGCAAAGATGTAGCCGTTGCATCCTTTAAGAAATGTTGCACAGCACAATACCTGACCTTGTTGATTGTACCACATCAGACAGTGAGTCTTTTCAAGTGTAGGAACATGTTGTGCTGCACATTGCAGAGGAGGCTAGCTAGCGTTGTGCTTTAAAGCTGCCAGAAGACAAACAGAGTCCTCTATGCGAAAAGACCTTGTGGGAGAAGAGCTGGAGATGAGCGCTGTTGCGAGCCCCCATCAGCATTACCAGCATCACAAAACATGAAAAGTGGACTATTTTGGAGATGCCCCAAATAGCTTGAGCTATAAAAAGACTGTGCCGTCACGATTGTAAAAAAAGTCATTTTAGGTGACAACATGGTGACACTTGATGTAGAATCACAGTTGACAAAACAGAACAATGTCAAACAAGGCACCGCTAAGTCCCCGACACTGGCTCTGCGTTGGAAACCTTGGAAATAGCGCCCGCACGCAGCTGCAGAAATCATTTTTCAGTCACAACCACTCCAGATGCGTGAATAAAGAAGCCGCTCCACCTGTCACACTTACAGGAAGAGGCGGCGTTCTGATGTCACACGGCACAAAAGGATGTCGCCCCTCTATCTGATGGCCTACATGGCATTTTCAAGAAAGAAATAGGGCAGCCTACACGAGCTTGCACGCTGTTTATGAAACCGGTATCAGCAAGTGTGCTGACAAGAAGAATGGCTGCCTGTATATTTGTAGCTACAAACACACAGCAGATGTGTCTAAGTGAGTCACAAACACTTTATCACATATGAGAGGAGGGAAGGCGGTGAAGCCGAGGAGAAGGAGGGGGACGTAAAAAAAAGAAGAAAAACCCTTTCAGCTTTTTTGTATGACAGTTAAATGCAACTTTCATGTTAATATAAATCATCTATGGATATTCAGGCAGCATGTTTATGGGCTTTTACAGGTGATTAAGCAATTTCAAGAACATCGAATTATTTAAGACGGGCTGTAATTTAACCCACTCACATTTTCACAATGGAATTAACAGGAGCGGAAAGGTCTGATGAAACAGCCGACTAATGAATGTTCATCCTAATCGTTTTTAAATCCCTGCTACTATATGTCAAAATACTACTTAAACATGATTTTGAACCAGGCTGTACAACGACTATACGGATACATTAGCATTCAGCTGGAGTCGTGTTTCTGGCTACCTGATGAATGGAAATCCAATATTTACTCTCTATTTGGCTGTTTTGCTCTCCAACATCTCCTTAGGGAAATTGCTGGCTCTTTAGCTACTATGTTTTGTTTGCATGTCTTTCGGTGCTGAGCAGCTCGTGTGCAGCAGCATTTTTTGTGCCTGCTGTGACAATGCAGGTGGAAGAAGGTAGACGGAGCCAAAATAGTAAAGCTGCAGGCCGGAAAACAAAAACAATGAGCAGAAAGATGCTCTGCAGAGACTGCAAAGTCTACACGATGAGTGACCCCCTTTAAAGGTCCCATATTGTGCGTCTTTTTTGGCAAATTAATAAACGCTCACGTGTCAACACAGTGTGCTTTTCAGCTCAAAATACTGCAAAGATGGTTCACTTCATTGTGACTGTACAACTGCTGGTTTTAGTTCTGTTTTGCTCTTAGAAACCAACGAGCCGCTGCTGTTTCCGCCCCCTTAAAGGAGATTGGCATTCACAGCTGTCAATCACAGCTTCAGCCTATTGGTTAGTTAGGTGTTTGGCAGCACCCAGGTTAAATTATTACTTTTTTGTGAAGCTGGGGAGGCCAGCTAGCTGTGGAGGAATGTCCGAAGTCAACATTTTCACATCTCAGCAGCTTTAATGTTACACCTCAGGTTTATAGCGACCACTAAAAACACCATAAAAAAAAAGTGTTTTCACCATATTGGACTTTTAACTGCGCCTTTGACGCGCCTCGATTTTGCTGCAAAGAGGAAGTGACAGGCCAGCGTTGTGTCATCGAGGGTGAAGTTGGTTCCTCGCTCTCATCCCGAGCCGTGGATTGCAGTCAACACAAGCGCAGTGGTGAAAGCCCCTGCGGTTGCCATGGTAACCCCTCTCCCGTCCATCGTGACTTGATGCTCCTCCAGACTGAGGATGAGGTAGCGGGCAAACGCAGCCTCAGCCAGCGCTCTGCTGCTGCTGCTGCTGCTGCTGCTAAAGCCACAAAAACAAAAGCCGTCGTCGCTGGAGCTTTGTCACTCGATTTGTTTCCTTGGCTGAGGAGGAGGAGGAGGAGGAGGAGGAGGAGGAGGAGGTGACGGCGGTGGAGGGAATTATTTGATCCTATAATCTTCTTGAAATCTACCAGAGCGAGATTAACTTTATTTCATTGCACACTGAGTCGGTGACACGGCTCAATCATTGCCTCGCAACCTTCAGAGTCACAGTGATCCCTGATGAAGGGCAGAGTGCAGGGGGTGAACTGCAGACCGACTAAGACCCAAATATTTAATCAACAAGCCGAGCTGTCAGTCAGGCTGACAACCTAAGCCTTACAGTGAGATAAAGGCCTTTCTGTTAGGCGGCACAAATTTCCTCCCTCTAAAACAAACGATGAAAAAGAAAATTGTGCAAGACTAATATTTTAGGAACGTTACAGTGATTCTCAGGAGTACAAACACACCACCGTTTTACAAACTCAACACTGAGACTCCCACACAGTGATACTTGATCTCCACCGAGTACGATTCCAACAGAATCCAATACAGCTTCCCTGCAACAGTTACTAATTTTGTAAAGCTCAACTGAGGCAACGCACTGACGAGGCCGTAACTGAGTTGTAGTATTGAACTGCATTACATCACAAATTACAAAACATGTGCTTATTATATTGAGCCCACACACTCCAACACACACACACTGGCAGATGCTGTGGATACAAGTTTCACAATAAATTACAGGGCTGAGGTTATTATTGTATCCAGATTTTTTTTGTTGTCTCGATTAACCACAAGATAAACTCCTTAAACGGCATATGTTGGCCTGCAACATACCCCAAACCCCCAAAATTCACTTTAGTATACACGTGAGACAGAAAAAAAGCAAATATTCACATCTGTAAAGCTGTAACTAGTAAATTTGGGGATTTTTTTTGGCTAAAAATTGACATGAAATCAAACTGGTATTTAATCAACTAATCATCCTTATCATAAGCTTAGTCGTCAAGTCTTGTTTATCGTCGATAAAGGCTTCATAATATGATGTTGGGTGTTTTTTCTTTCAGATTATTTTCCCTGATTAACGGTTTGTTCAATAAAATGGTAAAATACAGTGAGAAACTGCCCCAAAATAAGGTTTTAAAGCCCTGAAATAACATGTTTTGTCCCACAAACTGCCAGACATAATCAGCTTACAATCACATCTGAAAAAAGCAGAATTTCACATGTGCGAAGCTGGAACCAGTCAATTTCAAGATTGTTTGCTTAAAACTGCCTTTGCCAAATAGTCTGTCATCAAAATACATTACTATCTTTCTTTGCTGTCAATCCTAAATGGAAGACTTCATGAGGAAATGCCTAAAAAAAATTCCCCTTATCTTGTTTGAGCAACAGTCCAAAACCTACAAACATCCAATTTGTATCATAAAACACATAAAAAGCAGCAAATACTCACATTTAAGCAGCTAGAACTTGAGCTTGTTTGGCTGTTTTGTCTCCGCATCTTCCTTCAAGTACAAGAACTGGCTTTACAACATGTTGTTAATCTGCAACTAATGTTTTATTTTAAGAGGTTCATCTGTAATCCTAAACTCATTTGGCGTATAAAAACAGCAGAGAGGGAGGAGCATTTTTACTTTTTTAAAAATGGCTTAAATGAGTAGTTTGCTCAGTTGACTCAAGGATTAATGACTAAGTTAGATTGTCCCTAAACATGCCCACACACATGCAGGAGCTTATATTTGCAGCATTAATGCTCAGTCTTCTTAAGATAAACTATCTATACGTCTACATATATAGATTTAAAAAAAAATGAAATTACAAAGGTAGAAGTGTGCCAAATGTGGCACAGATTTTCATTATTTTGACATCAACCATTCCAAGAAAAAAAAAAAATGCACCAAAATCCTTTAAATAACAGATAAACTCAGATTTGTTTTTCATAATCATTTCACAGCCGTCTCCTGGGATCTACTGGGAAAAGTTTACCACCGGTGTACTCTGACCTGTTGGGCCTGACAGATCACCGGTCAGCCCCATGCGCAAAAAAAAAAAAAAAAAAAAAGCGCACACGCACACACAAGCACACGGTCATTAGTCAACTTCATTGGCTGATCAGCTGTTTGTTTTTTTTCTTAAAAGAAAAACAAACAGATGTTATGATCACACCTTAAAGGCAGCTTCATTAGATTAATAAAGACAAACAGTGTGGTGGTGACGATCCCTGCTCACACAGCCAGCCTACCTGTAACTGTGCGCGCCGCTCCACTCCGCTGCCTCCTCTATGCTGCACAGCGCTGAGCTTCTCGACGAGGAAACATGTTGTTGTCAGCATCGCCAGAGACACACACACACGAGCCGCTCATCTGAGGTAGACGATCCGGGGAGAAAAAGCCCCGATCGGGCGCGGCATCGCTGAGGCAGCTGGTGGAGGAGTCTTCCTTTCTTGCTCGCTCTCCCCGCGGCCGCCCGCACTGAGCGCTGAGGAGGAGAAAAAAAAAAAAAGGCTGCACTCGGCAAGCCGGGAGCGCGCGCACGCCGATCTCGTGACCGCGCCTGGGATGTTTTAGCCTCAGGGGCTCCCGGACCTTTTCAAAGTCAAGGACCCCGGTGCGAAGTAGGCGTGAGGGTACGTGCAAGACCCCGGTTTGGTGAGACGCACCGGCCCGAGGAGCCCCATCTGGCAGATTGTGCGGTGTTAGGTAATGCTTGGTACTGAATTACATAAGACCCCAGTGTAGGTGGGTGGTAACAGTGAGAGGAGTGAAACCTGGTGTACAAATCACTCATCCTAATACATCATCTCGCTGTGCTGCTCCACTCAAGGAGATAATGTGGGATGCAGCTATTCCTCTTTATTTGCTGGGGGCCTCAGGGGACCATTTAATTATCTCTAAATGTATTTCCTTCTTTTTTTATCTACTTATTTATGACAGATCATTAAGTTCATGCTAATAAACAGTTCCACATCAGATGAGAAGATCAGGAAACCTTTGCTGTTTTACAATATGGCAATAGAGACCGGAAGTAGAGAAACATCACTTCCTGTTGTCATCCACGGTCGGCCATTGTTGTTGCCAGTCAGGATTGTTAACCGTCTGTTGTCCTTCAGTTAATACTTTGTTTCCTCATGTAAACTCTCACAACACTGTCCCCTATTTTTTTATAGTTTAGTTTAGGGATGGACAGATACCTCTTTTTGATTTCCGATACCGATACTTCAACTTTGAGTATCTGCCGATACCAATACCAACACCGATACCATCTCTCCCCCTAAACTTCTTTGGAAATACCTTATTTGCATGGATACATTTGTTTAAGATGGCTTTATCAAAAGCCTCATACTATTAAAGCATAGACTTTGCTTTTCTAAGACAGGAAAAATAGCCAAAAGCATGTCTAAAGTGAAGCTGTAGCTGCTTTATTTGAGCTGCAATCAGACTACAGTGTGCACTCAGTGCCATTCACATATTTAGAACAGATCAAAATGACACAGCAACATTAAGCTGCAATTTAAAGGTTAAATTACCAAAACTTGGTACTAAATAATAGTACCACTAATAGCCGCTCTCGGCTCTGCGCATGAGCAGTAGGAAATGAGGCCGGAAACGTTGTGACCTGCTGCGGGATGGTATCCAATAGGAAGGGTCTGTCTGCAGAGCCGGAGAGCCACGTACAGGCTGCTGGTAGAGGGCTGCACGTAGAGGCTGGACTCGTCTTCTACGGCCGTATAAGTGCACAGCTTGTAGTTCGGGTGCGCGACGTAGTTTTAAAGGGTGATTTCACTCAAAATATACTTCCAATTTAAAACCGCTCCCACGGCCCGCCGGCGGGACGTGACCACTTTCCAAACACATTACAGCCAGATGTGCGCATGCTCCACAATCACGTTTCCCGACAACATACACATTAAATGAAAGCTCAGAGTCTCGTCTTTCCGATGATATAAACCTTTTTGACCTGCAGCAACCACAGCGTTGACACAAAGAGCTTTTTGTACAGAAAAGCAACATGTTAAAATCCGAGTTTTCTTACTTTTGAAGGCTCTCTGCAGCTCAAACATCGCTCATTCCTCACCAGCTTGGTCTCTTTCTGTCCGGACACAACCAGTCAACTTCATCCCATAAAATAATTCGGTCCGTAAAACGTATTAGATCCTCAAAGGCACAAATTCTGAAGTAATGTCTTCCCAGCTTGAGATCAGCTCCGGCTGTTTCATTCATTTTTTCTGGCAAAATCAGCCTGAATCTATTTCAGATCGCGCTGAAAGCGCTACAGGCAGCTAGACGGAAGCCTCAGCTTTTGATTGACACCTAGCTTGGCCAATAGGAGGGCTTTGGGGGTGAGTGACAGCCTGAAGGGCCAATGGAGTGTCTCATACAGTCAACCCGGTACGCACAAGTCCCACCCTTGTAGATTCGACCAGTCGGGTTGCAGACACTCTCTGAAGCTGTAAACTTGTAGCCAATGAGCAGACGAACACGTGGGTGTGTCGGAAGGCAGGATTGTGTGTGTGTGTGTGTGACGGTATCGGATCGGCCAGTTACCACTGTGAAGGAAATCATCCGATACCCTAATTTCGTCCAGTATCGGCCCGATACCGATACCCAGTATCGGATCGGCGCATCTCCAGTTTAGTTTTTGATCACATTAAACTATATGTAATATGTTAATTTGTGTAGTTGAGATGTTATTAGAGGGATCTTGCTACACTAGTGCTGAACGATTATGTCCAGTTCATGCTTTCTGCGTCTGTATGTAGAGGTCAATGCAGACTTCATTCATGCTATAATATGTATTTATCGCATTACTCCTCATATTGAAGACAATAAATACACCAGGCTTCCATGGATTCTTCTGAAAGGCTGAGAATTTGTGCTTTTATAGTATAGATGGGTCTGTATCATGGTGGGAATGTGATTATTTCAGTAGTTTGCCGCAGACACAGCTCAGGATATCTGGAGAAATCAGCTCCTCCAAGGTTTGGCAGCGACTACTTCAGTTACAACCCTCTTACTAAAGAATGAAAAACGCCGTGGACGATGACATACTTCTACACAGTCTCCTCTGAAGACATGTTTGTTTTAAGTATTGTTTGTTTTAGGTATCGTTTGTTTGCTTGGCACATGTGCAGTGCAGACAGTCTGTCTTTGCAGACACATGTACAGCAAGCATGAATTAGCTTTTGCTTAAAATTATGGATCAAACTTTCAAACAATTTCATTACTTGGTTGTTGGCCACGTCGACAATCAATAATCGATGATCCGTTAAAATAACTAAAATACCGTGGACACTCCTACATGTGCTGATGAAGCCATATTTAACCACTGACATGTCATGTTTGCTGCAAAATCAACTCAGAACTTGAAGGACAGAAAAAAATAAACACCAGGTTATTGAAATTTAAATCAAATATCAAAACAAATGCATACACGTCAGAACTGTAGTTTAACCGTTGTCCAAAGATCAGAGTCCAGTTGTTGCTGATCATTAGCAGTGTTAGCAACATTAGCGGCTAAGCCTGTGTTAGTGTTTAAAAATCCTAGCTTAGCTTCACCTAGCATTAGCCTCAGGTAGCTGGCACACCGTCTTCACAAATTTATCCTGCAGAGGTCATCAACACGACAGTTAGCAGTGAGGAGCGAGGATGTGCGCTTGTTTTATGCGACCCTTATGGGTGGTCAGCAAACACACCTGTAACTCCACCTGGGGGAGCAAGCAGGTACTACAGCAAATCTACGGTACATTCTTTACGTTAAGCTGCACACCCCTCATCTTATGCTTTATCAGGTGATATATTTTTAATTTATATAATTATTAACCGCAATTAATTGGTTGCCAATTAATCTTAAACATTCTTAGGTGAAATATTATCGATCTGGCCAAGTGCAATATACAACGTGCAACGTTTTGATAAAGGTCAAATGTGTCACACTGTTCTATTATAAATGAAGCATTGTGATGCTACTCAGATGACCCAGTTTACAAATCATATTGTCCAGATGTGAGGAATAATGATATTTTGGTGCAGACCACAGCAAACAAATTAAACTATTATTTATATATTTGGGTCAGTGGAAAAGAAATGCAAAAAAGTCCTTTAAAAACCCACAAAAAGTGTGACTTATATCTGTCAGAATAATCGCAATTACATGTTTTCTGCATGTTATTCACCATTTCCTCCATTTCTTGTATTTACTGTATGCAAGATGAACTAACTCCTAAAACATTTATCTGGCAGAGGTATTTACATCGTCTCAATTAACTCTAACTGAGAAAACGTTCTAAAATGTAAAATATTATTTCAAATGTTACATTTTTCTTTTTGATATCACACTTTGTATCGCTGTAAATTGAATATCTGAGGCTAACAGGTCTTTGGTAAATGATGCAATATGCATTTTTCACAGTTTGTACTGTTTTAGAGCAAACAGTCTGTCATAGTTAAGAATAAAGAACAGAAATCAGTCCTAGAATAAAGACAGTGACTTTTTAAAAATAAAAGTAGTAACAGAAAGTGAAACATACACGGCAATCAAACCTCTCTATTCAACAGTTGGCTGTGAAATTTGGGCAACATGGCATCAAAAGGTCAGTGTTTGACCAGTGGATTAACTGAACTTTTCATTTTTCCTCAGGTGTATGCAGATGGCTGCTCATTTGTTTGCTTCCCAGCATGCCAGAGGGAATTTGAACAAAAGCACAAAGGTCATTCTGACAGACCTCATCCTCTTTCAGGTTATTTGTTTTCCTTGTTCTGGCTCGGCCGCTACACAATTCATACCTTAACGTGTGGGTGGAGATGGCAAACCGAGGTCAAAATAATAATCACTGAACAACAACCGAGCATTTAAACCCAGTCTTTGATCTTCCTTGTTCCAACTTAAGTTGCATTTTTCAGACGTACGAGTAAATTAACTGATAATTATGTTTCCTTTTTGGAAGGAAACTGAACTTGAAACCTCCTGTGCTGCTCCTTCCTGTGTGTCCTAGAATTAAAAAACAAAAAAAGCCCATGACCTGATTTAGCGTCTTCCTATCGCCACACCATCTTCCCCGCTCTCTGCCCAACACTTACACCCTGTGTCCAGCGGATGAACTGCACCGCCCTCTTTGACAGACTGGAGACAAAAGCACAAGCAAAAAAATAAAAACCTCTTTTGATTTTTTTATTATATCAAAATACAAAAATTTGAGAGGAAAATTTCGTATGGGACTAAGCATTTGAAATGATATGGTGACATGATTACAACACTGCTTTCATATTCTCACAGACATGCCATAGATAGAGCATAGATCATGTGCTAGGCCCATGTCTACGTCATGATGAGCCACCGGGAGTGAGCCTGTGCGTTTTCCCTAGAAAGGCTTGTGATGGCGCCTGTCGCTGTACATCCACAGGCCAGTTGGTAACAGGCCAGAGTGGTTTTTTTTTTTGTTTGTTTTGTTTTGTTTTATACATCATAGTTCGTTCAGGTTTCTGTTTACGCAAGAAAGAAATGAGATCCATGGCAGTTGAACATGAAGAGTGAGTAAGACATGATCTCAGACGATACAGAATTCACTGGACAGCAGTGGCAAACGAGAGAAAAGTAATACAAATATTTTACATAAGGCTTTGGTACAGCACCATACAGTATGAGTTAATTGCTCACAAAAGAGTTAAGTGAAGCGTAAATACCTGATGCAGTGACGGAACAGAATGACAAGTCTAAAAAAGTGACAAAAATAAAAAACAACAGAAACATCAGGTTATCATTTTAAAACAGAGAAAAGTAAAAAAAAATGTTTTTGCTTTGAAATATTTACATATGAACATTAATGGAGACAGATTATGCACAAAATAAAGAGAAAACCCAAACATATAATACAGAATGTAAACATGTGATGTACAGCACAGAGTTCAGTGGATGAAAGTGAAATGAAATGTGGTAAATTTTCTTCCTTTAAGCACTACTTGGTTTGCTTGAGTATGAGCAATTAGCTAAAACAGTCAACGATGTAGTGCTTATTGTAGCCTACGATAATAATACATTCTAGTTTCTCAGTGCTGGTACACATGAAAAAACAGAGAATATAGAAAATACTACATATTTCTATTTTCCGTCCAATAACAACCAGCTCGGATGTCCATGAATGATTGCTAAATAGGCGTTTTTTTTTTTTTGTATTGTCTCTACATGCAAGATTAATACAATAAAAAATCAAATCTGTTCTAAGTATCATCCTACCAGCACCTAGTGATGCACTAAAAGCTGTAAGCAGAAAAATTTGGAACCAAAAAAAACCCAAGAATAATTAAAAAAAATAAAAAACTGAGCTAACAGTACGTCCAAAGCAGCCCTCTTAAACACTGTACATGTTTCTGTTGAATATGCAAAGGAAAAAAAACAAAAAAACAAAAAAACAGAAGCCCGGAAGACAACATCCATTCGTTAAAAAACCCATGGGGAGGATGCACGAGCTTTTTCCCATTACCTTTCCACCAGGAGAATAAATACAAATGTGGTTGGATGACTACTCATGGCTATACTGTACAGTACTAATAGGAATTTCTAGCTTCAAAAAGGTGGTGGTGGGATGACATGAGACGGTTACGCCCCTGCAGTAGTGTGCTTGAAAAACAGTGCTGTTAACCAAAGACCTACAAGGAAGAGTGTAGAAAAGATCCCCCTCGTGTCCTCTCCGATTCCCTCCCATGTGTCCTGCGGTGGGTTACTAATCTAAATCAGGTTATGTTTTCTCCTTTTTAGGCTGGGCTAATATTCTGAATATCATCACAAATATACTTTAGAGAGGGTACCTTGGAAGCACAGACAGACATTGCAAACACACGATAGAAAACAGGTCATCTTGAGTTCATTTTTGAATGTCACAAGTCTCTATTATTTGAGGTTATACTACTACTTTTTCCAGTATTGTCTATCACTGTCGTCACACCATGATACTGTTATGATAAGGACCTATAGTGTCTACCGGAGCTAGTTTAGTTGCTCACACACGCACACGCACAGGGCCGAAAGAGATGCTTGTGGAAACAGAAAAAAAAAAAAAAACAGAAAAAGAAAAAAAACAAAATCTTTAGACCTCTATTCTACAGCACCACAAAGTTAAACATAGCACCAAGTCGTAATGTTCAAAGCAACTATGCCCTAACACACTTTTCTTCGTCAAACTAATGTAAACACAATTTCCTCCACAGCACGTATTGTACATGACTAGAGCATGTCCGTGACTCTTAGAAAAAAGTTTCCTTCAGTTTATTTGCTTTGGACACGTGAAGGCTGAGAGATCTGGAGTGAATCTACATGTGTGCTCATGAACGGGCAAAATACAGTATTGTTTTTGTTTTCCAGAAATATTATAGAGGGCAACACACTTCTGCTTCTAAAGCTTTTTCCAATGGGCATTCACGTACTATACATCAGAGAAAATACTACTCAACTTGTGCAGCCAGCGGGCTATGGCAATAATACACTGTACGGTACTAACATTAAGTTTTCTTTTCTTCTCAGATAAAATAATGTCTGCTAAAGTATGACAAATTAGGCACCTTAAAATGTTTTAAAAACATTATCCACTTAAAGCCGTACTGTAAGCAAATACTTTTATATATAATCTAATTTCTTTTTCCGTGGGATCCCTCCCGTCTTTTTATACATCCTCATATCAGAACGTCTTCCTGTAAAACATGGTTTGATTTATCTTTACAAATACAATACACACCATGTACAGTACATAACAAATATAGATTTTTTTTCTTTTCTCCTCGTATCTTACACGAAACCAATTTGTTAAAGTAGAATATGCACTTTGACGCTCACTTTCAGGCAATCACCACTTTCTCACTTGTCAAAAGATTTCATTTAGCAGACATTGAGTCGATTCATTCATTTTTTTTTTGTTTGTTTGTTTTTCGCGGAAAACTTCTGATTTGTTGGTAGCAGATGGAAAAAAAAAAAATCAGTTTGATATGTCTCTGAGTGATTGAACTAGCTTTAACGAAACAAGGAAAAACTTTTTTTTTGTTTTCGTAGCCGTAAGAGCAAACGGGAACTTGGCTCAGAACCTGTGTGGGACAGTGATACAGGAATTTGGACTTAATGTGCCGACTGGATCCGATCGCAGCTGCACTTTTAAGCAGAATATTGGGTCATTCAATGTACTGCGACATTGGGACATTCATTTCCTGTACAGCAAAACATACATTCATTATCGGTTAGTGTCGAAAAATTAACAAACATACAGAGAAGTAGCTAGCAAGTAATATACAGTTGTTAAAGATAAACAGTCAGGGTGGCCATTGTTTGAATATTTCCCATTGCTTGTTAACAGCTTTATGAAGCAATCACATTCTCCTCCAACAGCTGCTGTTAAACATTAACATCCTCACTGTACCGCTTTGCATGAAATCTTGTTGCACATACAGAGCTTCAGTACTTTTCCACTACAGCAAAATGTATTGATTTATTTGCCTTTTTTTCCCCCCAATCTAAATGTCTGCATTTTTTTTTTCTTCTGGTTCTGTCCTATTACTTGGATATACACAGTTGAAGCAGGTACCCATGTCAAAAAGAAAAACAAAACAAGAGTTATGCATTCCTCTGTAGCATTTTCTCTCATGTGTCCTTGGCAGAGAAAGTAAAACCACACATATAATACCGGAGTCCCTCACTCCCCCAGAGAGACGAATATGAGAAGGCGAAGGAAAAAGGCAGTTTATGTTAGAAAAAACAACAGAGAAAAAGGCAAAAAAAAGGCACCTCGAGACGTGCCACATTTCACAAATGATTCCTTAACAATGAAATACATACTACAGTACACTTCACAATTCCGTCACCCCCGTTCTTCTGACCCTTTTAAGTCCAACCTCTGTTGAGCAGAAAGTCCCAAATTCGTTTGAGAGATCTCATGAAGGCTATGATCTTTGTCTTAATGCAGCGCTGCAGCGATGAGTGTAAACACACTGAGCCATCCAGCACTAAAATTAAGACACTGTCCTCTTATTGGTTGGCATCGGATCACAAATCAAAATAAACACAATATGCCAGCTATTATCGATAATAAAAAGCTTCTAAATCAGATAAAGTTAGGCCATATTATCCATTTGAATGAGAGCGGTGTGTGATATAAACCTTTTTATCCATACGTTTCATATGTAAAAAGGTCAAGTACGTACAGTATACCACAAGAATTACAGCAACTCTGCGTTTACTCTGAGGTATATTTTGTGGTAAGAACCCTGTGTTTAAATACTGACACTATTTGTATTGTAGGAAAGGTAGACTCATGTCCCTGTCCGAGGACGCACCAGGCTTAACAGTACGCTGTATCACTGAAAAACCTAAAGATATGGACCCCTCAATGACCAGTGAGTGAAAAATCTTTCACGTGTTGTGACATACTCAACCAACACATTTTTATTACTGTAAGAGGAAGCTTAATTCCCTTGTTTTACTATTTATATACATTATATATTTTCAGAGCATTTTCAAGTGAAATTCCTCAGAGACGAGTAGTGGTGACAACTGAGAAAAGCCATTGTTCTTGTCTTCAGATGGGATTTCCAACCCCCGGAGTATTCAGCTCGATGTTTCCCGCTCCCCAGATGAACTTTTAGAGATTATAAGAAATGTATTTGATAGTGAGGTGGAGCAGGGAGGGCTGCGGCGGGGCTTTTTCAGGGGACGTCAGTTTAGTCGAGTCCAATGGCTTGGTGGGCACACGGGTCAGCGTAGAGTCCCATAATTTGGGCCCTCAGAGTCTGCACTGGCCAGGATGCCTGTCTGGTCCTCCTCAGACTGCCTGCGGTGCAGGAAGGAGGTCAAATAGAGATAGGGGTTCTTCTTGTTTTGCCTTTTCCTCTTTCTGTGGAAGCTGAGATCCTTGCCCTCTTGGGGTGTCTGAGATTGCTGCTGGGTCTGAGAGGGAGACACGTCTGCAACACAGGCACAAAAGTAACACAGCAGCCGCATATTTTACCACCAATCTATTGTCTCTTCGCTCGCATCGTCAGACTAACCTGTTCTCCTCCTGGAGGTTGTATTGTTATTGTTGTTGGCAGCCACTCCCTTGGCTTTAGTTATACAGTGGTGTAGCAGTGCTGGTAAGCTCTCAGACCCGGCAGTATCACTAGACGCACCTAGAGGTTCCCTGAGAAGACGAGAGACAGCACAGCATACATTGCTCTGCATTAATCCAACAGTCGTGTTCAGTCACGTGTCTGAGCATAAAGCCAATATGGCACTTTCATTGCTATGTTTCCAGTATGATTTGATGAGCTCTTGAGCTTCTACTGAGAGCCCTTTCACTATGATGATGAAATTCCACTTTCTATCTGCATGGATGGATGATAAAAGTTAGATACAAAGAAAGAAAGAAAGGCAAAGAGAGAAAGAATGAATAAAAGAGAAAGTGAAACAAAGAATAGTTGACATAAGGTGGCAGTGGATTTGGTGAAATTATTAGCTATACGTTTGTTCTTCAACAATCATTACATTAAAGACCCAGTCCAAGATTTATAACAAATTACCATCTTACAGACTACATGTTTATTCTCAAAGGGTATTTACTCCAAACTGTCAGAATCTAGTTTGTTTCCACAATTTGAGGCCTCAAAAATTGTACTTAATTGCAACAACAGCACTAAAAATGGAAGCAAACACACTTTGTGGTTGCAATTACTGCAAAACTGAGTCTTTAAATAGTGACTGCTTCAGAAATGCGGGCAATATTTGTCGCTTTGCTGTATAAAACTCATAAAATGAAAATAATTTCTGGAACTATAAAATGACTGTTCCTGTAAAAAAGTCTTATTGTAGATTAATTTTAAAATCCTGCGGTACCACTACTTGTACCATACTGTAGGTCAGGGGTCGACAACCAATGACACGAGAGAGCAAATGCTGCAATACAATATATATAGATTAGAGACTTTACTGTCATTGCATTTAACATGCAACAAAACTTTCTTTGGCCTCTTTCTCGTAGCAGCATACAAAGTCCAAGCAGCATAATATAAAAATATAGATAAATAGAAATAGTATCAAATATTAAATAAGTTAAACGTGCAGCAGTCCAGCCAAGCAGCATGTTGATGTTATTACATCAGAGGCAATATCTGTGTATCACTACTTAAATGTTACACTAGTTAAGCTAAATTAGGTTTGTGATAAAAGAGCTTAAACCATCAGAACGAATTTATTCATCTGTTAAATCTGCTTTTACACACACTTCATGCTGAGAAGTCTGTTGGGCTGCTGTTGGGAGTGAACACCTGAACGCAACACGGCGAGTAAACCTATTTTTCAACCCAGATGGACAACAGTGTCAGGGGTTGGTTTTGGAAGAAGAGGTGAAGGTGTTCAGCATAAGACGTCATTTTGAGAGTAAACATAAAAAACATCTGAAGAGTTCATTTGCAAAAACAGACAACTCCATTTTTGTAGATTTTCAGAAAACTTTTTTTTTTTTTTGTTCGCTTGAGATAACATCAATCAAACTGAAGTTGAGTGGATTTGACTCAGTAGACTGACATGACAAGAGTAGAGATAACTTAAGTTTGATTGATATTGTCTCAGGTAGACGATAGAAAAGTGGATTTTCTGAAGGTTTGTGAAGACGGAGTTATCTGTTGTTGCAAATAAACTTTTCACTTAAAAAATGATAACTGGAGCCAATCAGAGAAAGAAAAAATCTGGATTTTCTCCTGCGTAGGGGAATATTTGGCAGCCCCTAAAACGGCTTGGTTAAGTGCTGACGGACAACCACCATGTCCGAAATATTAAGAAGCGAGAATAGGAAATATATATTTTTGTTTATCAAATGCTTCAAAAACATCGAGACGTGGCAAAGATCAGACTCATCGCCTTCACTTCGTGCTCATGCATACTGTCATGTGCAGTCACAACCCCAAAGGCCCATTCTAAGACAGGAAACAACTAAAAATGGCACGATTATTTGTGGTTGCAGAAGGCAGCGATGACATTTTAGTGTACTGCAAAGTGACTGAAAGCATCTGAGATGAAGAATACCCATGGGGAGCAGTGTTTTGGCTTGATGGACTGCTGAATAAAGACGCCATAATGTTGAGGATTAAACATTTGTCTCTATTCTTAGAACTTTTAAAAGGCACACTGATGAAATACTGAGAACAAAATGCAAATGTGTGCAATTTACATTTCACTTATTAGCAGCCTGCATCATAACTAGTGTGAATGAGTAACTAAAAGGGGGAATCCTGTGCAAATCATAAACTTGCAAACTCTACTACTGCTGTAAACAAGGTCAAACTTCCATCACTGTTTAACTATCAGGGCAGGCTTTTGCAAATCGTCGCTCATCATAGAAAAGGTTGCCGACCCCTGCAGTAGGTGCATCCAGTCAGCGTTTCTCTGACTGTTTGCTCAGCGTGCTGACATCAAACTACAGTACGTGTGCGAATGCAAACGGGAAGGTGTTTCTGAAACCTGAAGAACTATTTTCATTTCATGAGTGATACATGCTAAGGTAAATGAAAAATAATCAATGTTTAATCAGCACAAAAATAATCACATCAAGTATCTTCAGTTTCACAGGCTGTTTTGGAAGCAGCTTTACCTCATACCGAATACTCTGGTTTTGTTGTCCATCTCTCATAGAAAGATGCAATAAAGTTCAAATAAATAACCTCATAAAACGCTTAACATTTACGTTCAGGTTCATGAGGCTCAATGTTGGCTCAATGTCTTTGCCTTTCAAACAACTGAATACAAACAGCTTCAAAACCTGACTTAATGCTTTCATTAAGCCAAGTTGTTGTGCCAAACATGTATTGTTTCAAAAGGCATAGGAACACAAAGCTTTAGAGATGCTGTCCATCATTTGTCACTGTGGAGAGAGAGATTGAGAGCCATTAGCAGAGAGGGGGAGACAAAAAAAAAAATCTGAGAATTGCAACAGTCCTGGACAGATAGAGAACATTTTCCATTATCACATAAACTGTGCGCAGAGGCCACAGTGTGTGTTAAAAAAAATGTAGTACATTTCCATAGACATAAACACTATACAGCACACTTTCATAAACATGAACACTGCGTACAGAGGCTTCACCATGCTGACGGGAGGAGATGGCAGGAAGAGGAAATGGCCGTTAAAGAACAAGTCACATGACAGGAGGAGGAAATGGCCATTAAAAAACAGTCACATGACAGAAAAACGAAAGCACTTAGGACAACAAATGTGACAAAGAATTTAGTTTGAGAATTGTTGTTATTTGTTTGGTCGTAGAGAGAAGTTTAGAGAATGCATGCATGGCATTTTGCACATGGAACAAAACTTTAAAGGGGAATACTCCAGTCTATCATTCGTGTGCATCCTCTATTGATTCAAGGCTTTTTTTTTTTCTTTTTTCTTTTTTTTAGTGCAGGGAAACATGTCTGTATTCAAACAATGAAAAAGACAAAGTCAAATGCTTCTCCACAGTCCAAAACCAACTCCTTGTGCTTGCTCGCAAGCCTAATTACTGTAGCCTACGCCACAGCAGGCTTTACTGTGCCTTGGAACTGTATTGACAAATGTGTCCTGCAGTCATTATTACCATTAGTCGTACTTCACTTGAATCCAGCACAGAGGCACAACCCAAAGCGATTCCCCTTTAAAGGAGAGAGTGATTAGAGCCCTCCCCCTGCTGACCCCTCCCCTCTCAGACATGGGTCCGACCCTTACCTATTGCGGCGTAGGGGACCGGGTCACAACAACGCTGCCCAGATAGCTGAGATCAATCAAAAACAAATCAGGTAAGACCCTTACCCTCTATAAAGCAGCAGCCCTATAAGCTACTTTCCCTTAAAGGCCAGTGATAGTGCAGGAGCGAGTCTCCGCTTCCAGGCTTTAGCTACCATGTGGCTGGAGCTTCTAGGGTTGTGAGGTGGGTGTGAGGGGGCACAGGAGTGTGTGCAGTCAAGAAGCTATGTGGGGCGTTAACGAGCCTCCGCTGTTGTTTTTTTGAAATGTAAGAAATCCTGCATTATGTTTGAAAATCTGCATCGCTAATCGATGGAAATGTTGGATCCAATGGGAAAAAAATCTCCCAGCATTTCCTCTAGTTGAAAAACTGACTTATGTTGAGTGAGTTTTTTTTTTATCTCTATGGGTAACACTCTATTAACGTGCCCTATGGAATGGGTTTTACGAGTTGTCACTAATTTAACTTACTGGTTGATGATTTACTAATGCTGTAGAGGACAATTAGAAGCCATTAAAAAGAATTATTTTGGGTTGCCAGGTTGTGGCCAGCTTTTATCCTCACTTAATTTGTCTTCTTAGCTCTTTAATTCATCAGAAAGGACCCTCTAATGGACAATTTAACCCCTGACCTTCTGGAAAAGTGCTACAGAGCACCTGGACAAGAAAGTATTTAAGAGCTTATTATTATTATTTTTACTGGTCAGAATTTATTGCTGGACCTGATGGTTTGTTACCCACTGTTTATAAAGCATTTATAAGGTGTAACTAATGGCTTTATTAACAGTTAACAAAGGTTTCACTTATGACTTACAAAGCTGTTACAAGCTCTTAAATAAACAAATAAATGCATAAATAAATAGTCAGGTTTTCCAGTTCGTGAAAAATCTCTTCGCGTGCCGAGTTGTTGATTAGAGCTACGTTTACACAGTATGGTTTTTTTTCTTTCTTTTTTTTTTTACTGTAACAAAAACAGTCTCCATACAGAAGAGCTTTTCAGAAATAACAATAGACTAACATGTCTGAAAACGCACATCACATGACTATTGGGCGTGTGCCTGCTGATGTAAACAGGAAGCAGCGAGTTGGATGCTCAGCTGTGGTCATATTTCTGCATCATCACTTGCAAAAATCTCAGTTTGTCCGTGGCTACAAATCAGCACTGCAAAGGACAAAATGCTAAAATAAAAAAAGTCTTAAAAAATACCAACGTATGTGTGGACAAATCATTAATTATGAGCAACAAAACATCAGGTCTGCAGCTTTAAATCTTAACATTTCATCAGTAAAGTACCAAAAGTTTCTCTCATGCCAATAAGACAGACACTAAAATTAGTAAATCAGTCCGACAGTATTTATAAATGTTCATTAGCCATTATTAGACGGTCCAAGATAATAATATTAAAATAACTGAGGTGTGTGGTAAATAGGTCCAGATGCTGAGCTGTTTTTCAGATGATTTGTCAAATTGTTGAATGAAAACACCTAAAAAGACAAATCACATGCCTATCTGCAGGAGGATAGAAACCATGAGTGATAATGGTTCTACAAAGCATTAGTAAACAGCTCATCAACCATTAATAAAGCCAAGAGTTACAGGTTAAAAATCTAATATAACAGGTGACATATCATGTGCTTATAGTGATACTATGTGTAAAAATGTAAAATTTCATCAAATATACATTATAATGTTAAAGTTAAGCCAGAAAAACTTTGACTGGTGCCTCCCTCAAGTCTTTCATATGTCTGTCAATAATTTATCTCATCAAATTTTATTTATATCCAGCTGTGGAAAATACTTCAACTCAGAGTTTTGATGTTTAATATACGGGACAGAAAAACTGAAAATTTGAGGGATTCTGTAGCCAGTAGTGTTTCATCATAATCTTCCTTTTAAAGTTGATTTAAATTTGCATTATGATCAATATTTTATGAGGTTAAATATGAGCTATCAAATAGTAAAGACAAAAATACTTTCACATGCCATTAAACTGTCAAAGTTTAGAGAGCTGTTATTTTTAAGAGCTGACACAATGTGTGCTAAATGCAATTACATGCCTTCTGCATATTAAAGTACAATATGCATCTTAATTATTCCTAAATGGAAACATCAAAGTCAAACTGTGGATAAATACTGAGGAAATTTGGAATAGAGAGCAGACGAGGAGACAAGTCTCCTCCTTCAATAAATGTGTGACTATTCTCTACTGGAATGGATCACCTACCCTGAGGCTGATATCTGGAGCTGGGAGGGCTCTGAGGGTAGCATCTCCTCCTCTGTCCTTCTCTGGGATGGCCTCTGCCCGAAAACATCCCTGCCCTCCGGAGGGGGAGAGGGAGACTGAGAGGGGTAACTGGCTGCAGTGGAGGCATAGGACATGTGGGCGTGGTAACTGGGGCTGGGTAGCTTGGCGCACTGGCTCTGAGTGGGAGAGGCGGTCAGGGAGGACCTCCGGGAGAAACTGACAGTGGCCGAGGGCTGCAGGGTGATCTCAGGCATCTCCAGAGACCGAGAGGTGCGGAGGATGCTGGGGCGCGGAGGGGGCCGCACTAGAATATCTGGAGAACCCGGCTGGGTGCTAAGGGGGCTTTGGGAGAGTGGAGAGAGTCGGGAGGGCTGGAGTACTAGCGGGGGTAGGCTGGGGTCTGCCCGGCGCCCTGCCCTCGGGCTGAGCCAGGACTGAGGGCTACTACTGGGGGCTGTGCTTGGGCTCCCTGCACGGGCTGCCGGGTCAGGGTAAGGCAACACTGGTACACCCACACCGTGGGCCGTGTGTCTGAGCTGGCCGAGACTTTGGGCCTGTTGCATAGCTAAACGCCTAACCGGAGGCCCTGGGGGCCTGTCTCTGCCTGGGGGAGCCACAGGGACCTCCAGCTGCAGGAGTCCAGGGCTTGTTGGATCCTTTAGGGAAGGGAGGTGCAGGCGACTGGGGGGGAGAGAGTGAGGAGGGTATGGGGGTGGGTCAGGGAGGTCCTGGGGATGATGTAAGGGATGGTGTGGTGGGTATATGAACCGTGGGCCCTCTAGGCCCAAAAAGGGTAATTCATGAGGCTGCCAGCTTTCAGGTGAGCGAGGAGGAGGGCTGTGTGTGTGAGACAGAGAATGGCCAGAGGCAGTGTACTGATGGTGCTCCATCTCTCCACTCTCCTCGGGGATGGAGGGGTAACCAAAGGGCCCCTCGGCGGTGCCTGGGGGCGAGGACAGAGCGGAGCTACGCGGGCTGATGTCAGGCATGTAGAATGGTGGTGGAATCCCTGATTCAGCGCGGCTGCCTAGATACCCATAGAACGGGCCCTGGGGAAAGCCCCTGTAGCGGGAGGCCGGGGCCTGCCCTGAGGCGTGAAGTGCACTGCCCTCTGCAAAGCTCATACCTTCCATGGGCCTGTGTAGGCGGGGACTGTAGGTGGGGGGCTGCGTTGACTCCAGGCTGGAGGACGTTGGGGAGAGCTGGGGCCGCAGCGTGGGCATGATGGGCGGCAGAGGCCCGGGGTCAAAATCATTCTCCTCATCGGACTGCCGGAACTCAGGGTACATGTCAGACTCCTCAGCGAAGGGGAAGCCCTGGATGCGGCGGGGAGGCGGGCTGGTCTCCATGACGAAGCGGCCATCGGGGCCGCGGCTTATCAGCTCAATAGGCGTGGTGACCTCTGCCTCGTGTTTGGACACACTGTATTTCTTGCTGGCTATGGCACGCTTGGTTTTCTTGTAGAAGGAGAGCTCTTTGTCTTTTTCTCTCTGAGGGCTTGGCAGCTTCCTGACGTACAGGCCGGGGCCGTGGGAACCCTCCGATGAAAGAGAGCGGGGTCGAGATGGAGGGGAGCTCTCTGGACTTATTTTCCCCGATGATAACCTGTTAAAAAAAGAAATTCAAACACAAGGCACTGGCTTAATTTTAACCATACCAGATGGAATCCAAAGTGGGCTGAGTATTTTAAAAAAGAAAAGAAAATCTCTGATGCTGGAAATAAATAGGCATGATTGCAGTTTCATTCTTAAAATGAACAGATGACACAATACAAAGCCGAAGCACTCGATTAAAGCAGCCATAATGAACTACATTATGATAATGACCAGTTTATGGTAGCAGCAGCATCCAGAGAGGGCAGCAGCTAATGAACCAAGCCACAGTGACGGGATGAGAGGAGAACCAACGACGCAACCATGACAACCACATCGCAGATCTATTGAATCTACATCTTCTTGAGCAGACGTGAGACCAATTTCCATATGCTGCACCAAATGGTGATGTGAGGGAAGCAGATGACATCTAACCAGGCCTCATTTGCCCACACCAGGAGCAGCATACTCAACACTTACGGTACTGGGTCACTGAATCCGTCAGGTAGACATAAATTAGAATGAGTGCATATACACAGTATTGTACTGTACATGCAGCAGAGCTAATGCAATTTAATCCTTGTATGGTGCGTGAAAGTCTGTGCATGCAAATAGGCCGGGAGGAGGCTCCGCTACAACTACAAATAACCATTGTCAGCCAATCATTTCTATGCAATGCATTAACCATGCAGCCAAGCCAGTGCAGTGCAGCACACTCTGTATTTTGGTGCAGGCAGGCACTCACAGGGGGCTGGCCGGCGGGGGCAAGAAACTGCTCCTGGCAGGCTCGTCCCAGCAGGGCTCTACCCCTGGCAAGGGGGTGAGAGGAGGCCTGCGATGGGAGACAAACGACACGGGCCTGGTTCATCTCTAACTATGCTACTTGCAAGAAGGACTACGTTGGTAAACTCCCTGACCTGCCTGGACCATTTCATCAAAAAACAGACAGAAGTGATCTGACACTGATGATATACCTAGAGTCACAAGCAAACAAACATTTACTCTGGAATGGGATTTACACAGATTATTGTCAGAAATGAGCTTCTTGCAGTCATACATGTACACAGAGATTTACAGACAGACAAGTACACACATGTAGCTGATACTGTACAAGAAACAGCATCATTAAACACTGAGAATCATGCAGAAAGCACACAGCGTTTGAGGTTAAAGAATACAGATGGATCAAAAATCAATACACATACTGCAGCTTGGGCACTCTGGGTAATGTGCTTAAAATGCTGACTTTGCTGCTTTGAACTCTCCTTAATTTGCCCGTGATCCGCTAGAGGTTGCTACTGTCCATGTTCTTCCACACCGTCCAAGTAGCCTGAACATGTAATCGGGTTTTGTTTTGTTTTTTTTTATCATTCACTAAGGCTTCTTCTTAGATATACCATCTATTGCCAATTTACCTCTTATCTAAAAGCACAGGAGAGAGCATGCTGTGTGAAATAATCTGCTCCAATAACAAGGCTTTATGAAGTTGGCTCCAATTTTACTGTTTGTAGGTTTTGTTATCGTGTACTGTTAATGCCTTGTCACAGCATGCATGGAAAGTGCTGGAGTAAAGAGAGGATGAACAGTAGTAGCCACCTCTGGCAGACTGCAGGGGCTCCTGTGTGGCTTTACTTACGGCGACTCAATGCTTTTCCTGAAGTGTGTCACCGACAAGGGAGGATCTGAGAGGACAAACACATTTAAATTTAGCATTTCCTTTTGCCAAACACCAAAAGAAGAAGTCAAACATGGACAGATTGGGAGCACTGGGCCTCTGGTCACCAACAAAACAGGCCCCGAACCTACCCATGAAGAAACAAGACACCCCGACTGAAAGGGACAGAACATGACTACAAACTACAAGAGCTTTAAACCTCTGACCCTCAAGCAGTTTCTGCTCCTGTCACATTTTTACAAACATTTTTCGCTGTAGAGAAAACGAAAACATGCCTTTGTGCAGTATAATGAAGTCACAATGCCATAAATCATACAAAAGGAAGGCTGAATTCCTTGACTATTCATTTTACAAAAATTGAAAACACCCAGAACCAACATGTACAAAACTCTTTCAATTGCCCACAGACTACAGATTACCAAAACTGATGAAACACTGCCTGCACTTCAGGCAAACAGTCCCTGAATTTTAGACGTGTCACTGTTGTGAATTCCTAATAGCTGCACAATTGCACAGAGAAGTGCAGAATTTGTTGATTTCTCCAGAATCTGGTTACTCAAAATTGATTCTTTTAAGCTAATATCTAAATGAGACATTAAGAATCAAGTGATTTTATCATAATTTAAGCTTAGATTTGGTTAATTTTCCAAATTAAACTGAAAGTCACACATGATAAGTGTAAGGATCGTTGGGAAGTTGAAAGTATTCTTCCTGTTTTTAGACTTTCCTGCTCTGATAAATGATGTAATTTGGGGATTGTTTTAAATACAACTTGCCATGATTTCATGGTTCAGAGGGATAAGTACTGTTTGTGGTAATTATAGTCCATTTGTGTCGTTTTGTGTCCAAACAAGAACATCCAGGCCAACCTCATGGGTCTGTTAAGTAACCCATCCACAACGAGACACGACCTACGTTTAATGCATGTAAATTAAGTACACCGGGAGACCAACCTGGTTTACGCTTGAGTTTGCGACGGTGTTGCTTATTGACGAAACAAGCAGCTAGAGTGCTGAACAGTACGGCCGCTGCCAGGAAACAGATAGTTGCCACAACACCGGCCACCACAGGACGCGCCAGCCCCTCATCAGGCAACTCCGCAGGAGGGAAGGGATCTGATGGGGCAAAAGACACAAACACAAAAACTCAGAAATCTGTTTCTTGCTTGAGCCAAGCATTTCTGTGTAAAGACCCTCACCTGTGCTGGACACTCCCACTACATTGCTGCTCTCACTGATCAGGTCATCCATGACGGCCATCACTCGAAACTCGTACCAGGACTCCTGTCAGACAAAAATACCCTTTTTAAAAACTACCTCATACACTAGTTGATGAGTACAGCTTACAAGGGCGTGGCTAAGTCCACTGTCATAATAAAATATGTAATAATTCTCATTATTATTGTTTGTCATAATAAGGGAATGATAATAATCTCAAAATAAGAAAATTATAATTCCCAGCTGTCTTTGTCCATATTCTTACAACAGACTAGCTTTTTGGAGTTTTAAACTGTAGTCTGGAACTGAATATTTATAAAAAAAAAGGCTTATTTTTGATGCTACTTTATTAGGTAAAAATGTGGACTCTGTAGAAATAGAATAATCCTGTTATTAGGTACCACGAAACAGACACATCATTAACTAGAAAAGATTCTGGTCTTTAACTTCTATTTGTCAATTTTTCCTCAGCGCCGCTAAACAATCAAAGAAATAAAATCACAAAGCCACACTAACATGTTTCCCTATCAGAATGTGTCCATAACTGACCTGAACGAGGTCTCTGGCTATGAGCTCAGTCTCAGTGGACGGGATCAGGTCATCCAGAACCTCCCACCTCTCCCCGAGGCGGAACTCCATGATATATCGGTCGATGGGTGAGGAGTGGTTGGCTGGAGGGAGCCATGTGAGGAGGACACCGTGCTGCGTGCGATTGGCTGTGAGGCACCGTGGTGGAGTAAGAAGCACCAGTGGTTCTGGGGTACCCAGAGGGGAGCCTGCAGACCACAATCATTTTTTTGTGTTTTAGAAAAAACGAATGTGTCCCAAAAAGTTGTGAAATACCCTGAAAAATAAGTTTTGTTAACAGCTCTGTGAGGCTCTAACTCAGCATGCGAGCTGCATCCACGATGCCAACATGCTCACAATGTCTGACGATGCAAACGTAGTGATGCGAAGAAGGTGTAATCTTCATTATGATCACCATATTTGAGAAGTGACCTCATCATGCTAACAATCACTCAATGACGACCGAACACAAAGTACAGCTGATGATGTCATGAGGTCTCATTTTATCTGAAAAAATAAACCAATTCTGACCAGACGATGACACTGGAGGGAAAGTCCAGAGATCACCATAGTCATTGCAGTTCATCCTGAGAAGAACATGAATGTCTGAACCAGATTTCAAACCAATCCATTCAATTACTGTTGAGATATTTCACTTTAAGGGATTTCAGGAATTTCCTCTTATCTTATCTAAAACATCATATATCAGCTTCATTGTAGTACTACAGGAAAAGCAAGGGGATCAACAAAGTTATTCAAATATATTGTCTAGGTGCCATCTGGAAGTTGTTTCACAAGATAACTAAAAATCACAAAGTCAGAGGATTACTGACGTTAATAGGATTTATCCTCTGGGAACCCTCGATGTCTGTACACAGTTTCATGGCAATTTATCCAACAGTTGTTGAGCTATTTCACTGAAAAACAAACAAAATGTCAACCTGTTGGTGACACTCAGGGAAATGTTGGGAGCTCAAAGTTAGTTTGATTCATCCTCAGGGGAAAATAAATGTACAAATATTCATCATCACCATCTATCTGTAGCTGACATGTCCATCTGGATCAAAGTGGTAAACTGAGCTCTAGCATGACTAAAAACAGAAAGGAGTCAATACAGATTCAAGAGTGACTTACTCGCTCATTTGTATCATATAAATGGTGTGTTGAGTCACTGCAGCTGAAATATGTTGTATGTCTTGAGAGACAAGAGCAGTTTAGCGTTAATGTGCGAGCTTACCAGTAAACCACTTGACATCAGACTGAATACCTGCAACCCTCCTGTCTGCCTCAATAAACACACCGGCGAAGTGAAGACACAAATTGCTTTCTGTGTCGTGACTTTGACTGTTTTCTTTTACAAACAGCTTTGAGACCTGACACAGTTTCCTTAATTACCCACTAACAAAAAAATAAAAAGCTTGACAGACTAAAACACAGTCATGTACGCAGAAATATATTAGTCTGCTGTACAAAAACAGGCAAGAAAATGCAATATCTGATGTGAACAAATTGAAAATTCGACAGAAAACAAAGAGAATGTTTAAATGTCCAGTCATGACTATGGGTAAAAAATAATACTGAGCATTAAGACTATGACTGATGGCTATGGGTTGAGGTTGACCTCAGCTGGTTGGTTAATATTTGAATTACGATATTAAGATTGAATAAAAATACGAGTCATGGAACAAGACAATCCACCGCAGAAACCTTATGGTGCATTGCATCCATCTAATGGCTGCCGTCCAAGTGGCTGAATTAGGTCAGAACTTTGCAAGCCTCATTTAACCTTTGTGGGATGAAGGAAAGCGTTCTTTGTTGTAGCAGGATGTGTGATTACACTGCATCTAATGCAGCCATTGTTCTAAAGTCATTACTGTCATCAAGTCCTTGAGATAATGTTTTCTTAAACTTCTCAGGTTGATTTTATGGCCTCTCCTGATCTGTGCACAGTTTTATTCAAAGTCTTCACCCACTTCATTTTGTTATGATGCCAGAGACTGGCCATTTTCTGGCTGAACAACTTATTTTAAACATCACACACCTTTAACTTAAGTTGTGATCGAGCGGTCGAACACGCAGACCGAGCGTCATGAATGCGATTCATATTAAATCAGCAATTTAACAACGGCCACTTTGAGCTGAATTCTCCTACGAGCTGCTCTTAAAGGGATGTTTCTGTTGGCAAACACGCTGACGTGTCAAACGCAGGTGAAACTAACAGCATTAATAACAACTCTAGAATTTCACACGCCGGCTTATTGGCACACCTAAATGGAACAGTGCCAACATTAATGACATTAGTTGCACCTGTTTCTTCTCTGCTGTGACAACTAAAATGTTTGGAATGAGAATTATTTATGGCATTGTTCACGGCTGTCGACTAGTACCAAATATTAGCTTTTACTTTCCTTGTAAATCTGAAGTCAAGCATGCACAACATTCTTTTTTTACGAGGCTAAAGAAAACTCTCACGTACATACGGTAAACTGAAGTTCACATTATGTTTGCTTAGATGTTACATTTTAGTGATTTGCTGTTAGTGGTGAGGATCTTCTGGTCTGATCCATCATGAATGACGAGCAAGTAGATAAAATGACCCTGATTTATATGAGTTTAAGTGTGTATATATTATCTAATGTAAGTCAAATCCCTTTTCTTTGAGGCAGAGCCAATGACAAAGTAGAAAACACCACATATGGAGTTTGTGTACATTTCAAGCTGTCTATTTTTTAATAAAATAACATCTGTAATAATGTATTCATCTTTTTGTAGTTAAAGTTACATCTAAATCAGACTAGAAATTAAACAATGATGAAACCGATTATCTTGCTTTTCATAATAATGTTGGATAACAGAAAAAAATACAATGTCTAAAAACCACATTTCATCTCCTTGATAAAGATAATTGTGCATCTTCAGCACGAGGAGCTCAGCGCTTTACTGCATCATCAGACATATTATATGTTTATTTTTATCCTTACTGTGCTTTTGTATTTCTTATCCTGCTTCTTCGCATGCCTCATTTGTATCCAGCTGCTGTAACATGTAAATTACCCCGGTGAGGGATCGATAAAGTTTATCTTTATCTTTATTAACAGTAAGGTCAGCTGGAATAGGCTCAAGCCGCAGTGTGACCCTCTACAGGATAAAGCATGGTATAAAAAATGGATGAAAATGGATATTAACAGTACAAAATGCAGATTAAATTATCTTTTTTTCAATCTAAAAACATGTAGAGATGCTTGAAAAATGCATGCAGCTGGTCCCTTTAGGCTCCATCGTTGCCAACGAACCACTGAAACAGACTGTCTGAAGCCTGAGAGGTAAAATGTTAGACTTATACAGCCAATGTGACTGCATTTGCTGCTGCTAGTTGCTCTGAGCTACACAGCAGTTATTGAAGGTAACTTAGATGTGCACACAACTGAGATTGTCCCTCAATTTTAATAAAACAATCAACCTTAAACAGTAAAAGTGGGGGTGGGACAAGAATCCAAACACATCATACATGAATTAAAACATCACTAGAGGGCAGTATTTTCCACACCGTGTCTGATGATGTTCTAAAATTATAAATAGTGTCTCAGAGCACCTCAGCGGGTTGATTCTGAAGTCAAGAAGCAGCAAACATGGATGGAACAGCCTTTGATTAGCGGTACCCACCTGCAGTGTTGACTGTCACAACTTCACTGAATGGGCCCGTGCCCAGTTTGTTTTGTGCCAACACACTGAACTGGTACTCCGTCCCAGGCTCCAGCCCTGGCACCACCAACCAGGTCTGAGCACCAGAAACTGGCATCGAATGCCAGTCGTGAGGACCGAAGTCTATTCTCTTTGACCTGAGAACAGAAACGAGACAGGAAAATTATATATAGTATAATTAAGGTAAAACTGTATGATGATAAGAACGTTTTTTTTTATTACAGTTTGCAGTTCATATATAGTTCAGGCATCCAATAGAAAAACAGTATTGCTTTAAAGCACTTCATGGTCTTGGACCAGTCTGACATGTTTGCTGTATGTGAACCAGTGCGGCCCCTCAGGGTTTCACGCTCGAGGCTTTGAGATGTTCCAAAGAGCAGGGGGAAAAAAAAAAAAAAGATTTGGTGAGGCAGTTTTTAATTTTATGCGGTTGGAGCAGTTTGCCAGAGAATCAGAGAGCAGCTCTGAGTGAAAATGTCTTTAAACTCGATTTCTTTAAGCTGATTATGCTGTTTCATGGCCATTTTAAAAAAATATATCTAATCAGGTATATACTTAAATTAATATATTAGTCCTATCAGTTCTATTTGTTAGTATATGTTTTACTACATTTGTAGCATTTGTATTTCCCATGTGCATTAGTTTTAAATTGACTATAAAAGGAAATTAAACCTTGAATTGTCAAATCTCAAGTATGTGCTTCAGAATTCAATATGATAGTTATGTTAAGGCCAGAATTGCAACTATATCTGTTATTTCTGTAGCAACGGTGGCCTGTCATTTATTTAATGTATTTACTGCTAACATTTTTATTATTATTTTTTAACCGTGCTTTATTTTTTAAATCAGTCTAATCTCAGTGTTGCATCATTCATCTTTCCTCTACCTCTGTCTGTGCATGTTTCTTTTTGACATTAGTATTTTAAAGCAAAAATACTTATGTTAAAAATATTAGTTCTGTCATCTGTTCACAGTAAATAGTCAGTTGAGAGCCATCACTGTACATATTGTCAATATCCTTTAAAAACTGGCTATAAGTAGGTTGTACACCCAGACTAAAATGTGGAACTAACGACTCATAACTACCTGAAATGTGCATCAGCTTATTCAAACTACCAGAGTCAATGAGTCAAAACTATGGTTGCCTGATATAAATAGGGAAATCACATTTAGCTTTTCATAACAGAGACCTAATACTAATGATCATATATATACATCTGTGTGTATATGTGTTAAAGCAATGTTTCAGGAGAATATTTAACAAAAAATAAGAATTAAAAAAAATGTAAAGAGAGAAACATTTTGACTGTGAAAATAAACTGAAATAAACTGCCTTGGGTTTGGCAGAAAAAAGAATCTGAATTCAGTGCATTTAAAGCTTCAAACACTTCGTTTACGTCTAACCTTTAATACTACTTCAACTTGAGAAACAAAAAAAACACAGCAGCAAAATTCAACTTTAACTACCTTGTATTTATATTTAGTCAGTGTAAACTGTGTATATGCAGGACAACACAACCACATGAATGTAAATCAGCTTCTTTTATGCATATTTTTCAGGCAATTTTCTTGTTTTTTTTTGTTGTGTTTACATCTACGATATCCTCTCCACTAGGCCATAATGTGTTTGGCTCCACAATGTGAAATGTACTTAGCATATAATTATCTTCTACCGAGGCAATTACAGAGCTTTGACTCACGTATTTGTAATTTTACCTCCATATGTTGGCTTCACTTTCACAATCGACAAATGTGTATGTAGTGCTACAAAGATAATTGATTTACTTTAAGTCCAAAAACATATATTCTCTGTTCTGACCACTGGCTGGTGCATATGTATGACGCTGGCTGAGATGTTACTGCAGTGACGCTCCATTAGGTTCCCAGTACACACCATGAATTATGCAAAAGCACATTTTCTAAATACCCTGAGATATCTGCTGTCAAAACAATTCTGCTGCGAGCTTCTGATTGAATTTCACTTTTTTTTTTATGATCATCAGTGAAGAAGTGCTCCTACTTCATGTCAGACTAGGCTGATAACCTCCAGGTAGTGTTTCCACATCTGCAGACTGCTGCCATTGATTTGAAGTAAACGAAGAGCACTCACACTGGACCGTACCACACAGAGAATGTCTGTTCGAAGCCGCCATCATAACCTGGTTCCCAGGACACATTAGCAGAGGTTGTTGAGGGCAATACATGGATATTGCCAGGAGCGTGTGGGCTGGTGCCTGAGTGGATGACAGAGACAGAGTGGGAATGAATTTATAATACATACATACTAATTTACTGATCAAATATGTAACTACTTACATCTTGGCTTGCAGTGATTAAGCTACAGATATCCTGTTATTATGAATACCGTATGAACGTCACAGTCACATAACTGTTCATTTCATGCTGGTTGGGTTTAAGTCGAATGATGCAAATGATGAGCATTTTGTTGCAGTTTTCATCCCCCCCTCAAATGCTCTCTGTGGATAATGTGATGCTGGCTGAGGAGGCGACCACCGTAAGGTCAAGTTCAAGAGCAGCGCCGCTTTTCTGCAGCTCTGCTCATCCCCACCCACCTAACAGCTGTGCAGCGTGGCCCGGAGCCAGCTACTCCTCACTGGGATAAAAGAGAGAGACCTGAGCGTGGTCTGAGGAGCACAGCTGTCAGCACCACCCTGTGACACCTGTCGGTCGAGGGCTGGTCGCACCGAGGAAGGCTGAGCGCTGCCAGCTGTGCCGACAGTGTAACAGCTCCATAGGCGCCAGGGCAAAGGACCAGCGTGGCAGACGTGCTGACCTCCTCACCTCCTCACTAGCAGACTTAAAGGAACAGTAAGAGTTCCTATATTTGCTTTAAAGACTCTTGAATCCATGCAAAGTGTTAAGCTGCAGCTAAAGATAGTCAGCACAGCATAGCAAGAAACTAACATCAAGTATTTAATTAGGTTTTTATGTAATAAACTAATTTAATACAACATGTTCAGCGATGCGGATTTTTTACCATTTGTACAAAGCCAGCAAAGCTAGTTTCCCATTTTCATTCTTTGCTAAGCTAAGCTAACTTTTTACTAGCCTTTTACAAGCTAGCAGACTTAAAGGAACAATAAGAATTCCCTTATACACTTTTAAGACTCTTGTATATGTTTGCAAAACATTAAGCTAAAGCTAGAAGACAGTTAGCACAGCATAGCAATAAAGTAGCATCAAGTATTTCTATTTGTTTTGAATGTATGAAACTAATTTAATATAACGTGTTCACTAACGAGTTTCAGAGGCGCTAGTCAGCTGATTCTGTACCATTTGGACAGAGCCAGCAAAGCCATTTTCCTGTTTTGTGCCTTAATGCTAAGCTAAGCTAACTAGCTACTAGCGGTAGCTGCAGTATTAGCGTGCCAACTGTTTTGTAAGTTTTTTGGTATCTATGTTTTATGTAATCATCATTTGCTATGATTACATTCAGTTAATTGAGGCTGTTTTAAAACGTATCTACTCAAAGTGGCTTCTACGACATTGTCATAACTTAAGCAAGCAAAGGCTGAGCTAGTGTTACAATATCAGGATGAATAAAAGAATGGCACGATTACAAAAGTTGGTCAAACTTTTCTTAATGTATCAGACAAAAAGCTGATGTTCAAACAATGCAATCTTTGTGCGTCTGGCCTTTGTCAACACTTCACTCAATCATTTTAGGAGTAAAAAGATGTCCTTGGTCCAATGACTCAACAAGACAATGGCTGCAGTAACACTGTTTTAACAGAGGGGTTGCACACTGCACACTGTAGTTATACATTCAAGCTTTGAATTAACTATATAAAGCTATTACAGACAAGATCAAATTAAATTTTAATGATGCCCAAGGGGAAAGTGGGTAGAGGCAAGGAGTTTGAGGGATGAGGGTCACTACTTCTTCATGCAAATCACTCAAACCACACAGCAAAGTACGAAAGGTCAATGATGGAGGAAAGTGAGCAAGCTGAGAGCGCCGTGCAGATTTTTTGTACCGATGACTAGGATACGCGTGCTGGCAGTGATGCTTGTGACCACATTGGTGGCTACACACTCCCATTCTCCATGGTCCTCCTTGCTGAGGGACACAAACTGTAAGCTGCCACTGGGTAGGATGTTGTGCTTACTCCTGCTTGGCTTCCCCACCTTCAATTGACATGAAAATTACAGTGACATGGTTAAGCACGAGGCAAACACAAATTTCAGTACATGGTACATAAAGACAAAAACAAGCACACTATGGTATGTTTTACTTTCAGCTGATTGGTTTTGGTGTGTGTTTAGCACCTTTCTCCAGGTGATGGTTGGTATATCAGGGTCTCCAGAAGCAGCACAGGGGATTACTAGTTCTCTACCAGCCTCCTGACGGTACTCCCCCCCAGGCCTCACATTAAAGTAAGGGGGATCCTTGATAAACACACACATTATGTAGGTTTAGGAATAGAAACATGCATAAAGTGGACAGCAGACACAACAAAACCTGAGCAATAATTTACCTTTAGCACCAAAGTGGCAGGGGGGGACATGCCCATGGTACCCAGGGCGTTGTAAGGCACACAGGTGTAGGTGCCCAGGGAGTCTTCTGTGGCCTCCGCCACCCGGATACTTCCGTCTGGCATCAGGCTCCAACCGGGGTACTACAAGACAAGGGGGCATGCTTGATTTCAGGGCTTTTCCTGAAATCTCAGGGTCCCACCTAAATGTTTTTGAACTGCATGAGAAAACAAAGATCCCCAAAAGGCCTTTAAATCAGATGAATAAGAAGTGAACATTGATTTAACATAGACCTGCCCTTAATAGTGGCAATACATTAGTAGATATACGGTATCTAGGTGGAAGTTTGAAAAGTTTCAAAGTGGCTGAATGCTCTTACACAGACAGAATAATGCTGATTTTAAAAAAAACAACCAACATTTAACATTATTGTATGTCGCTGCTGTGACGGTGATGGCAGTAGTACAAAGATACCATACTAGTTAGTTTATAAAGTCAAAGCACCATTTCAACAATGTCAAAATACTCTCTCAGAAGTAAAAATTCAAATCCCGTGCAAGCAAAAATAAAAAAAACTATTATCTCGCTCGTGGTACTCAAAGTATAAAAAGTAAAATTTGTGGATTGGATTTAACTGGATTACAACTGTCAACATGGTGGCACGCCCACTTAAAAGAGTCAGAGGGTAAATCTGAGGAGTCAAGAAATTAATATTGTAGTAGGAACACAAAAAATAAAGTTCTGCTAAAATCATTTGGACAGAGCAAAGCCATTTCCCCAGTTTTCAGTTTTTATGCTAAGCTAACTAGCTAGTAGCGGTAGCTCCAGCTAGCAAAACTAATTTTTGAACTTTCTGTGAAATATTCAGTACTTTACCTACTGGAGCCTCTGACAGTTATTTAATTTAAACAATCTGTGAGTTTTAGAGGGTGGAAGTGTCTTGGAGCAACTTCTAGTAACTCGACACCTGAAACAAGACATTGCTTTTACCTACACCATCCAAAACTCTTGGGAACATCTAGCTCCCATCCGGTTCTTTAATTTTCATCTATAGTTGTTACACAAACGCCTGTCACATTCAAACTCTTAATTAATTCACACAATGCCCAATAAGCCTACCAGCAGCAGGTAAATCTCTCTTTGCAGTACACTTTCATTTTCCACACTGGCACACTAGTAGTAGTGCATTATACATCAACCTGCAATGACTAATTTGCCTGAGCTGAACGGGGGAGGAAACATAGACTATTTATGAGCCTACTGTGGAAAAAAATCTAGCCAACATCCAAAAAGAGCCTCTGATGCTTCAGTTCAAAAAGAAACGCAGAGGAAGGAATACAGTGGTAGACGGCGAAGCATCCGTTCAAAGTATTCATCAACAGTTTTTGTGTAGTTACTCTCTGACGTGAAATCGAAGCTTCAAATTGTGATATTTAATCAAATCACTTCATTCTGCATGTCTCATTTTAAAAACTTGTCAAAAGCTAAACTATTTGCGCTAACCAGATTCTGCACAAGAAAAAAAAAATAGACTCCTCATTGCAAAAGTGAAGCCACGAGTGTTTGAGCTGCAGCCAGAAGTCATGTGACAGAAGTTCAGGGACTTTTAAGCAAACTGCAGGTTGTGTTTGCACAAAGGAGCCACCAACAGAAACAAATTTAACATGAAAAAGCATAATATCTGTATTATGTACAGTCTCCTCTCTTTTTGTATCGGTAAAACATTTTTTCAAGCGCCCACAATATTACCATTGTTTTCATTTTTTCTAAAATACAGACTCAAAGAAATTCGTCCATTAAAAAAAAAAAGTCTTTTATGATTAATGGCATTATGATTGTTGCACAAAACCCATTTCTAAGTTCTCTCCACTTATAGCCATTGCTGTGCTGTTTCCATAGATGTGCAGGACTTAATATTGCAGCGAAAAAAATTGAGTCCACAGTGAATTAAAATGTGACAAGAGCAAGAACACCCAGACACTGCTTGGGGTTCAGAGGTTTAAAAACATTGCATCTGTAACCTTTAAAGCAGTCTGGTCGTCCAATAATGTAATAATTCCTTAAAGGCAAAGTGTTCATTGCAATAAATCTGCTTTAAATAAGCCTGGCCCTCCTTTTAAAAAGTGGGTCAACAAGTAAAAAATTTAATAAAGCTATCATTCTGAGGCTGCTCTGTGAGTTTCTGTATAATCTGCGGTTTGTGTGTTACAGTAAAAGATAAGGTAATCTCGATGTCGTAAATCAAACTGAACATGTTTTTTGAAATTAGATCATCTTTAAGCAATAAATTCAAAATGAATCAATCAGATACATCAATGCATAATAAAACAGTCGCTTGAAACTGAGACCAATTTGCAACAGACCATATTTTCCTTCAATTTTACACAGAAACATCCTGTATAAAACTCAGAAAATCCAAACTAACACATTCAAAATATATATTTTTTTAAACCCAGAGGCAGACTGACCTTCTCCACTCTGAGTGGATAGCCATCTTTCTCCCACTTCACTGATGTTACAGGTGGGTTGGCGTCCACCGGGCAGCGGATGATGCCTGGCAGTTTCCGTGGGACGTAGATGACCGGGGGCATGTTGATCACTCGGGCAGGGTCTGGACATAAAGGCAGGATCGGGGAAGTTATGTACAGGGATACATTAACATTCATGTGTGAGCAAAATGTTTTAACTAGTGTGGAAAGCAATTCAACAAATACTTGAAGGAAAAGGCAACATAAAACATTTGTGAAGCTTCTCAAAGGAGGAACTCACTCCTGAAGGACCAAAAGTTTTTAGCATGATGCACTTTGTTCCTGCCTTCAGGACTAGAAGTATTATTAGCACTAGCATTATCACTTCTCCTTATATCTTAGCCAAAATTTTGAAATATTTTAGAGATGTCCTAATGTGCTATTTGTTCCCAGGAGATGGCATTTAGTGAGTCACAGGAGAGATTATTTGGAAATGCTAGATGGCAATGAGCTTATTATACTTAAGGTATTTTTCCCAAAAACAGACTCATTTCTGAGGCTTTGCGAAACTACTTCAGAGCAGGAAATGCAATTTTACAACAATAATGTTTTTTTTTTTTATCAGAACCAACATTTCCTCAAAAGGACCTTTAGTCACAATAAGTCACAATTTAACACAGCTGTATCTCCCGCTGTTTTCCTTTTTTTTCATTTCTTTAAAACAACAGCTGTCTAAATATTTCAGAGATATGTTCATATCATTATGGAGCCTTTTTCCAAGACTGCCTGACATTATGGAAATCAATTTTTTTTTTCCCTTGCTATGTAGGGCACATAAAAGGGATGCTGAAAGGGGAATTAGTGGAGGAGAAGATTAGTCGACAGCCAGCAAAGAGAGTGTTTGACAAAACCGCTGCATGTGCCTGACGTGGTGCAGCGTTACAGTCTATTAAAGGTGCTTTATAGCGTTCAGTGCAAATTTCCTAGAGAACAATATAAACCTGAATTTTAAATCGTCATATTTCTGCAGATATAAACTCGGTAAGCTATTTTTCTACAAATGTAAAACCAAGAAATCTATTGCACGTCACAGTAATTGTAATTTCTACGTTGAATGTTTCCACTGAAATAAAGTGTAAGATTCTTAAAATGACTCTCAAGTCCTCCTCTGAGGTCGGAGTGTGTTTAGTCTTTACTGGGATGCTTCATGCATAAAGCCCGGGTTCGTTTTGCATGTAACATCCGACGCTGGTTTCAGCTGTATGTGAGGTGCCTGCAGTGCTGTGAATCCCACAGCCCTCTCTAATACTGTAGCACAATAATCAATGGCCGGCAGCAACTTGGGAGCAAATTAGCTCAACACCGAGAGCTGACGACGAAAACGTGGTAAGGCCAAGAGTGGCGTTCCTCCCTCATCGGTGTGCAGGAACGTCACCATTTCGTGTAAAAAAAAAAAAAAAAAAAGATGGGGCCCAGATTCAAAAGAAATGGAGTCTGAGGACGAGTCTGTCTCCATCTTTGTGCACAGGAATGAGGCTGGAGTAGGAATGGATCATAATGCAATCACTAAAATCCGGTGAGAACGTGAAAAGGAGTCAAAAGAGGCTCAGTCAAAACGACGTGGGGGCGAACTCTGCTGCCTCTCTGTAACGCCCGACCTTGAAATTCAAGAAGGTTACTTTGCATTACAGTCGTGGAGCAGTGCTGCCAAATACTACAGCAGCCTCCGACACGAGCAGCCTCCATACTGCTGCTGCTGCTCCTCGCACAGCTCGCTGTACCGTCTCCCCGCCCCTCCCCCTCCACTTAGTTGCCACGGTAACACTCACACTGAACAGTCAGGTAGGCTGATGCTGAGGGCGAGATACCGAGGCTGTTGCTCGGACTGCAGGTGTATTTCCCGGCATCCTCCGGCTTGACCCGGAAGATGATAAGGGTGCCGTCGATGAGAATGCGCACTCGGAGCTTCAGGTCACTGCAAGAAAGACACAGATGTTTTGTCACACCGTGCTGCTGGGAGGGGGAATAATGTAAAAAAAAGAAAAACACAACGACAGGACAGGGCACACGTCTGTTCTTCCTGTGCTAAATTACATCAAGGTGCCATAAGAGAGCAGCAGAGAGTCAAACAGCAGCCAGCTGAGAGGAATCCAAAGAACACAGAGTACAGAGCAAGAGATTCAAATAAATCTGCTAATTGCAGTAATCGCCAAATGGTACAGCGTCCATGTTTTCCCCCCTGACACCGTTTAAAATTAAACACAGTCACGATGGGGTTCATATTCACTTTGCTATTTATAACTGAGGTGCATTTCAACATTGACCATGCAAAGAAGTTCTTTAAATAAAGCGTTACCGCCCTTTATTAAAGGTTCATATCTTGTAGGTTTAACAACTTTATGGCTTTATTAATGCTAAATTGACCTCTCAGACATCTACAGTTAGGTTATGGAACTTATTGAACTGGCTGGATCAGATTACCATTTCTGGAAAAGGGCTGCACCAAAATCCATCCATCAACACTTTATCAACGTATTTCTAAATGTATTTTTCTCACTTTGGTATCACAAATGGTAGTTAAGATAATGTCACGCGTTTCCTCCTGCTTGTACTACATGTTTAGTTACAGAGCTTCTTTGAGTATCTATATAAATAGGTGCTGCATGATGCACTATCAATAAAATGTCACGTTCGCCTCATTATTGCTATAACGACTAATATATTAGTTTTCAATACTCTGTTGGCTGCAGCGGAAAATATAAGATGGTAGAGCTGCACAGAGACGAGCTGGAATACAACAAATTAGAAAAATCTACACGCAAGATTGAAGTTACTGTAAAGTCAATGTTTTCTGCAAATGTTTGTGGGGAAACTTATGCAGGCATTACATGAGAATTATATATAACGTATGAATATATATGTGAAACAAACACAATGCATAAAGTCCATTCATATTTAAATGCATAGTGCTATATATAATATACTATGTGTGCAGCAAATGCATAATACACAACATTCAGCAGTAATACAATGCTGTGAAATACATGGAGCAAAAGTCCCAAAGAACACCATGACATAGCGCTTAATAAAGTAAAAATGTGACACCAAAAATATAGTAGTAATATAATACGACTGGTCTGTCCGTATGTAAGTAAAATTATACAACACACTATAAAACACTGTGATATATAACACTAGTAATATATTAGAAATATTTGCAAGACTCCAGGGTCTGTATTTTTTTAAAGACATTCACAAAGAATCAAAGCTATTTATCAAATTTCTTACAGCCTACAAACTATTTTGAAATGAAGATGCTGATCGTGAACCAATGTACAGCTCAGAATGGGGCATTTTTAGTCTGTTACATATATTTGATTTGGTATATTTCCATTTTTCAAGGACAGTCACCTTAAATGACTTCCCCAAGAATCTTAGATAAAGGTCGGACCTTTGATAGGACATTAACCCACTTTTTTTTGATATACATACAGAGATATGTGTGTTTGGATGCTTAATATTAAAGACTACAGATTAAATCATAAGTGATTTAGAAGGAAAACTATATCACTAAGTAAAATGTAAAAAAAAAAAAAGTCTGATGTGCCAGTAAAATCCCTTCATTGTAATTGGCTAATTGTGCTCTGAGCACACATGTGATGGATCATGTGATCATCATTAAAGGTTACTCCACCACTGAGCTGGAAGTAGGAGTCGGCTGTTTGATAAATGTGTCTTATTCTTGGCTCTTAGCGCATTTTGTATTTGATAAATGCAGATTCCCCTCGATATATAAACTCTATATAAAGGGGTCTTATTATTATAAAGTGATACCAATTCTCCTCATATAAGGACGGATGCTACAAAAGCTGTTCAAAATTGGTTTGGACGTCCTCTGTGAGAGTCCCTCAGACACTTGTTTTCACCGCCAGTCATTCACTTTTTCTTCCCTCCCACTTGTTCGCTGTAAAACCCTCTCAGACTCTAAAGACCTGCTCCGGGGAGCCTGCAGAGGTCTTGGCTACGCTTCAGATCATCACTGCATGAGAGGCATATGATGACACAGGGCCTGAGTCATGTGTTGTTGTCTTTAGAGCGCACTAACTCGGCTGGCACGCTCCACACGGACCCCCGGCAGGCCCACTCTTACTGCCTCTAGGGCCGCAGCAGGACAGGCCACAAACACCAAATACCCTTGGACAGTCGCTCGAAATACAGCACAGCGGAGGGCTCAGAGACACACAATGTCAATCACAGCACAAAAAAATCGAGGATAAAGGCCTGCTTGGTGGCGATTTAAATGACTGAGTCTCTAAGCAAAAGGCTCTCCAGTCCTAACCTCACCCACGTGCTTCACTGAGACGTTTCCCTGCACACACAGTCGCTGCAGCTAGAAGTGAACTTGATCATAACTTTACTTCTTGAAGTAGACGTTATCCTCTTCCCAAAACCAGGTGTAGGTCAGGTTGCCGGGATACGCCTCCGCTTGGCAGGTGAAGAGTGCATTCTGGGATATGTTTACAGTGACGTTTTCGGGTGGTGAGACGATGTATGGAGGCCCTGGGAGAAACACAGACACGTGTTGTAGTTAGTTGTGCACCAGCATCAGCACTCTTTAACTCCTCAAAGCTGCAATAACAAACTCAAAACTGACATATTATCACCTTATCCACTCCCTAGAGTAATAATATGATTTATTTGTTTATTATTCATGCCAACACATGAATGTCAGTCCAAGTTTAACTCTCTGTTTGCTCGGTTTTTGGTCTCCACCAGCTCTAGAGGATAATATTTAGCTCTTTAGCTACTAAATGTTCCACTATGTTCACCAGATAGTTTTTAGCTTTTTCTGTGTGGTTTTTGGTGATGAGCAGGTTGCGCTCGGTTAGTTTTTTTTAAAGCATGTTTAATGAAAACAGCTGCTGAGAGCTGCAAGAATCGAGCACAACACTAAAGTTGTGAGTCACTAAACCGAAGCAAGCTGAAAGAAGCTAAAAAGCTCAGTAGACATGAGTGCAGCTGCAGTGTAATTATCTGTGTGACCTCTTTTTACGTTACACATAGTCATTTGACTTATTATTATTTCAAAAGAACACCAAAAACCAATAGCTTTTACATAGTTTCTTAGCTATTTGGGGGAAATAACTATACTTTTATTCAACTGGCTACCCAGTTTCTAAAATTTTAAACTCCACCAAATGGCTGAAATGCTCTTTTAAGTTTATTTACTTTGTCTAATAGAAAAGAACAGTGTCCAAACCCAGTAAATAAAACATTTTGTATACAACAGAAGCCTAAGAAAACCATAGCATAAAAGCCAAGCATAAAAAAATAACTATATTTCAAGCAAAAAGTCATAATATGCAGCATATTCTTTGTAAGACTAGTGGTTTTTAACAAACCTTGTTTACCTGTATTTGACCTCCTGTTTATTTCAATCTGAACAAACTGCTCGCACCACCCCAAGCACTCACGGTGAGGCTGTTAATATCCATAGTTTACTACGAAGAATCAGTTTGGCTTATCTCATCACTTCCGTTGAAAAAAAAATCACACAAATACCAAACTAATAATTTTAACAAAAAAAAAAAAAGCCACACACAAGAGGAATAACATTAGATTTTTATCACACTGACACCATTTAAAATTCAAAAAACTTAGAATTGCATGGAAATATTTAACCACATTGTGTCCTGAAATCTTTCAGGTGTCTGATATCATTTAAGACCGCGCTTGAAAATCTCCATCTGGTTGATGTAAGTGTAACTTGTTTCTCGACGTATCACAATATCAAACACGTGTTCTGCTGCAGCAAACAGCAGAAAACAGTTAAAGCAATAAGAAGTATGATTAAAACTAATTCTACAGCTCACGCAGGTCATCACTGCTTTGGAAGTGTCAACTTTTTTTCTTTCAGGAACAGATCAGAGTGAGGAAAAGCACACGCTAAGAAGTATTTACAATATATCACCACAGCCTGATGTAAAACACAGGGAGCAGCCAGCTAGTGTAGCCTTAATAGTAGTCAGCGTTGCAGCTTACGCGTGCTTCACATTGTAACCTCTCCGTCCCCTGAGGTACTTGAGGTTTGCGCTTAACTCTCAATAAAACAGCAGAAGCCATGAAAGGTAAGCTGTCTTTTATGAGAGGGCCCAGATACAAGCCTCCTGGTTATTTTCCCTCTCAGCGTGCGCAGCTTTATACATCAGGTGGGACGGCTGGCGGCGCTGAGAAAAACTGTGCGGGCGTCTCACATAACAATTAAAAACAGATCACCGGAGTGAGAATCATGACTCCTCAGATATCTGCCTGTTATTGCTCTGGGTGTGAGCAGTAATCATAGCTTTTATTTCGCTGCGCTTTTTGTGGCAATATTCAGCCAAACTCCAGTGAAAACATTTTGTTTTTGCGGTTTTCTGCAGTCACTGGTGGAACATGTTTGCAACAATGCTGACATTATTCTAATATTAATATGACAGAGATTAACAAAGGTTACCGTCGTGGCAGTAAGTTAAACACCTAACAGCATAATTTAATCAAAGCAAGTAGCCTGGCAATTAATACAACTTTTATGTTTTCCAAGCTTAAAGAAAAATACATATTTTGTAAATTTTATCCCTCGCGAGCTCAGTTTTGTCATAGATGCTTAACAAGGAACCCTGTTTCTTTCTTTCTCTTTTTTTGTGGTTGTTTGATGCAAGATGTATTTTTCCATTGTATATAAATCGGCCTATCCATCTCCAAAAATGTAGTTTTGGATGTTTAGCTGACATTTTCGTCTCATATACAATCAGCTTTGAGTATGAGAACGCCGCTTGTCAAGAATTATTTCAGATTTTTTTGCATTATTGCTACTACCTGAGGGGAGAAAAAAAAACCCCAAAAAACATTAGAAATGACCTGATTCTGGTGTCTTTGTACTTCTTGTTGGTTTAGTTTGTTGTTGTTTCTAAGCCTGCTGTGTAAGTTGTCATGTTGTTATATTGCTTCAATCTCTCCCTGTTTGTGTTTCAGAGTCCTGACTTTGTATTAAAAGTCTTAAAATAATGACTTTAACTAAACTGATATTAAATATTTCAACATATTTAGACATTTTGTGCCTTAGTTTGAAGTTGCAGCTTGTGGTGACTTTGTACTGAAATGCATTTCAGTAAAAATATATTAGTAATATTGGTAATATAGTGTATATATGAGCTAAACTAAAAACAACAACAAAAAAAACTGTCTCGTTTTCAACTCTGTGACAATGAATTCACAGATAATCCTCTGAGGTTTTAATGGCTGATTTTGCAAAAAAAAAAAAAGGGGGGGGGCTTTTTTCTCAAAGCATAAAGAAGACTTCATCAATCTGAACAAGATGGCCAAAATCCACCTGGCACTGTGGGTGAAGGAATTTAAATCACAAATCAAATGTGTGAAAAGTGAATGGCTGCAGTGTACTGGCACTTAGTGGTGCATTTTGTGTAAAATTATTTTAGAAATATTTATGGGGGAAAAAAAATTATCTAATCAGTCTAAACCAGTAAATGAAATATGAGCTCATTGATTTTTAAATTAAACTCAAATTAACCTGCATCTATTTTGAAGATCAATTATTAACTTTAGTAGTGAAAGTGCACAAAATCTTTTTTAAATGTGAGAATTCTGTCCACAAATATGTCTGTTTCTGCTCTTGTATTTTTATTTATTTTTTATTTTATTTCAAACAAAAAATTTAAAACAAAGTCAACATCTGATACACAAAACCAGAGTTTCAAAGTCAACAGTATTCATTAACTGTTGATCACTGATCGGTTATGGGTTTGGACTCTTAGAAAACATTATAAATCTGCCTCTGTGCAGAAACAAAATGACTAATCGATAAGGTGCGATCGTAAAATCTGCATTATAAAAATTAGCTATCTGGTAGAATTCATGTATTGTGCATTGCCAAATGAACAATAAATAATTAAATGCTGTTAGTTGTTGTTCCTTTGTGTAGTTAAAAAGATGCCGTTTGGATGTGATGGAGGCCTCTGCTGCAGTGTGCTGTGGTGGAAAGCAAAAGGTATCGAATCGGTAGTTCCGCTGGAGGCCTGAAGCCTTAATGCAGTTGCATCACATGCATCACCGGCTTCACTCCTCACTCGGTTACAACACAGCCACTGTTTAAATGTGTGTTTGCGGTGCGTGTACGTACCTACGTTTATTGTGCTGCGAAAGAAAGAAAGAAAGCGAGGAGTAATTCCTCCGCTGTGTTTGCACCTGCAGAAGTCAAGCGTTAAAGCAGACCTTACAGTGAGTCCACCAGAGGAGCAAGATGCTCAGTTGCTTGTTAAATACACACTGTTAACTCCCCCAAGCCCCTGTTGTATCAGGAGACTGAGAGGAACTGGAGGCTGGTATCACAACCATCTATCTGATCTGTGTCTAGCAGAGAGCCTGGTTAATGGACCGGAGACAGACAGTGACGTTCTCGCAGACAGATCCTGTTCTACACACATGGCTGTGCACGAGAGCCAGCGCACATGCACGTAGAGAGAGTCCAGACTGAGCTATTGACTGCTTGTTACAGACCCAGAAGGTATGTTACATACATCAGTACACCAGAGAGCCGCACGCCTTTGCCTGTAAGTATAAATAATGAAACGTAGCTACCGTATTGATGCAAATACAACATCAGGCCGCAGGTAGGGAGCAGGAAACACGTTTTTTCATTTCAGAACCTGGTGATCCGTGCAAATGCATTTGTCAACAGCGTTTATTAATAAAAAGGCTTCTGCGGTTCATAATCTATGGAGACTCTTTACCTTGAACCAACAGACGGGTAGTGTGGAGCACTTCTCCCTGGTCACTGTAGGCTCGGCATGTGTACGCCCCTCTGTCATCTCTGGTGATGCCAAGGATGGTCAGACTGCCATCATGTACCTGCGAATTAGAGTGTAGGAGAAACAGATAAACATCCAGCTTCTGACACAAATACATTGAAGTAATGTGATCAAATAAAAAGACAACAGTGAAACAAGCATTAAATAAGAGCTGCCATGATTCATCAACTGGAAGAAAATTAATTAGGAGCAATTTTGGTTCATCTTCTGAGAAAAAAATACAAAACCTCACCGGTTTCTGCTTCTGAAATGTAAATATTTCCTAATTTTCTGGCTCTTCTATGACAGTGAGCTGAATAATTTTAAGTTGTGGTGTGACATAATAAGGAACTTTAATTCATTTGGCATTTTTTCTGACATCTTATAAGACTCAATATTTCATTAATTGAGAAATTTGCTTCTAAAATTGTTCACAATCAAAAGCAAAAGCACACAGCATAGAGAAAAAGACAATATATTAGCAAAGTTGTTTTGTTCTCACTATTTCAGGTCAACCTCATTTTTGCAACTAATAATTATTTTCAATATTGATTAATCAGCTAATTGTTTAGTCCAAAGAAGCAAACGCCACTGGTAGTTGACTATTGGGTGGTTTAGTCAATAGCACATTTAAAAGCAGTTATGGCTATGAAGGAAATGAATGAATGAAAAATACTCTATTTATCCCAGAAGGGAAATTCAATATATATTTTTTTTAAATTCTATGTGTAAATATGTATCTAAATTTGTCAAATAAATCTTCATTATTGTTATCAAATACAGAAATATAGAGCAGCATAAAAGGAAGCTACTGCAGCTATTACAGTACCCCAAATCAGTCCTTAAGAGCAGCACTTTAGATCATGTTTTCAGGGATATTCCACCACAGATCAAAGGTGGATACCATCCCCACCCTTGAAGCAAGTTTGTGGTGAGAATAGTCTAAAGATAGTCTAAAGAAAGCACATAAAACACTTAGAAGTCATGAAAGTGTCACACTTTAATTAACTCCATGTCTGACTCCTGCATATGGTAACCTTGGAAACGTCCAACCCTATGTTGCTGTGTGCAGGCACTGATGAGAACCAATAAGTGGTGAGGAAACACATTAACCAAACCTAATAGAAATACCCTCATAAATTATGCAACAGGTTGCGAGAGGCTCTGTCCATTCAAGTCACACACAGCTGTAGTCTGTCCATTCACACAGCTGAGGGGAGAATCTGCTTGGCCTGCAGAATTATTCCTATTCATCTGTCTCTCAAACGTTTTATAGCCAAGAGATGCGACCAGCGCACAGACCAAAGCAGCATTCAACTTCTGCAAGTCTGTTGGCAAAACTGTATCGTCATCCATCTATCACAAGATAACACTTTGTGTGTCGCTGCTGTAAACACACAACACGAGTGCGAGGGATGTGACCAGTCATTTGTTGTGAAGCGTCACTTTGAGGTTTGGAAAGTCATTTGCATTGATTAAAAGAGATTAAAGTTGTCTTTATTTCAATAAAGAATTCTCTCTGGATAATTTGGTCTGTTTCTCTATCCTGCTCAGCCCTTCCTTCATGTACCAGTTACTTTCATTGATCTCATTTCATATGATGTTTTTTAGATTTTTTGTTATTTTTTTTTGTAATGTGGACATTTTTTTTCTTAAGATACTGAGTGTGAGTTTGTTTGACAAAAATGATAATGCATCAGAATCAATTTTGTTGCTAATCATTGGCTTAATCCAGACTGTCAGGATCAAAAACATTGAAAGCAGAAAATAATATTCCTATATGACATTTATATGTTTTTTTTTTTTTTTTGGACACATCTTCATCATTAAGTACCTTGGATTGACACACGTTAAAAACATTCTACATGTTGCACCTGAAAACAAATTGCATTACTTGTACGTGCCAGTATCGGAGATATCATCGAGATAGAGATTTAGATTAAGAGTTATAGATACAGTAAAGTGCAGCACATTTGAGGTTCGCCATGCATTGTGGGATTCCAGATGATGTAAGTGTAATGAGTGAAATTAACTTGTGTTGTTCTAAAAATCCATTATGGAAGGAACACAGTACTGGGACACTAGATTCAGTCTATGGAGGAGATGACAAATTTTGTTTTTGTACTTTGCTCTGGACCTCCTGAGGGGTTTACTGCACAGCAAGTTTAACATAACCAGGCTTTCTTTGAGTAAGCCGGTTCAACAAAACCTAAAACCCCTTTTAGAGATCACAGGTATCATGATCTTAGTTATTCACTTTCTTTGTTAACCTAGATTTTATTTAGCAGATTCTTTGAGTGCTTCCTTAAAAGGGGGACGTTTAATGCATGATTTGACTCTTTTGTGGAAAGTGGACCAATGACACACAGCATACTTTAGTCCTGACAAAATTATCACCGAAAATAATGCAAGAGATGAATGCTGGTAGAAAATAGCTAATGGTCGAAGTTATTTTCGCACTCAGTTCACTCTCAGTGCAGCTGCTTGTATCTACAGTAACAGCTGCATGCTTCACTTTCATTTATTTAAACATGATATACAAAAGGTACACTTAGGTCTGACTCTGTCCTATATTTTTGTTTTTTGTTTTTTCCTGTGTCGTATCTGTGTACGTCTGTTGAAAGCTGCTACCAACGATGTGAATTTCTCCACTGTGAGATAAATAAAGGCATATCTTATCTTATCTTATCTTAATGGAGACATAGGGAGATCCCTTCAGTTTTGGGAAAAATCAAAGTGAAATAACTGTTACTGATGGAATATTCTCTTGTAATCTAAACAGCATGTAAACATATACATGCGTTTTCTGCAGCTAATTAAAATCACAGACTCTGAACAGAACCTTTTCCACAACAGGTTAGCTGTGCAGCATCAGTTACCATGGTGATGTAGCAGGTTAAAAATGAGCCACCGTCATGACATTAAGGTTCAACGTATGACATTAATCCATAGATTTTTCTGCGTAGTGCCTCAGGACTAAATATACAAACAACAACAAAGTGCTATGAGGTGCAACATCATGTACAGTTGGATGATGTGCTGGTTGCTTATTTACAGTAAACACAGTTTTCTTGTCAGCAAACTCTGCACTAGCTTGGAACTCACAGCAGTGACCGGAAAGTGACACATATCACACTTTCGATCGAACTTTCACCAGTTTGAACAAAAAGTTTGCAGCTGAACAGATAAACAAAACAAAAAAGAGGCAAGAGAGGGAAGCGAAATAACAACCGCAGTTTCCAGTGAGTTTTAGGTTCAGTCAGAGGCCGAACACACTTCCGCAAATTGTTTTCAGCGAGCTTGTCATTGCAAACATACAGTTTTAGGGGTGAATTGGTGCAGTTTGTTTCCAAATCCTTGGATTTAATGTTGCTCTGAATCTAAAAAAAGTCAAAGAATCAAACTGCCGTTGGACAGAATCCTCACACTCCTACACGAAGCGAATGCGGCAGCGATTGTAACAGACTTGGAGGACAGCAAACGTAACAGGATCTGATGATATGTAATGGTCATCAGTCTGTTCCAATACTGTCTGTGCCACTGCTGAACTCAATCCAAGGTGAGGGAGGGAAGATTAAAGAAAAGAAGGAGGAGGAGGAGGAGGAAGTCTGCAGTAGATAAGGTGAGGCATGAGATGAAGGCAGAATCTCAATTTCTGTCACATGCACTTCACTGGCACATCCAGCCAGAGCGATATTTGGTTCCGAAAGCTGCTGTTGTTTTCCTGCTTACATTTATTGTTTGTGATGTTTGCGAATACCCTTATAATCCCATCTCGCTTTCTGTCCTCTCCTTCTCCACTTTTGTATTTAGTGTCTCTGTTTTAAGTCTTTTTTTTTTCTGTGCGTATAAGAAGAAGAAAAAAAAAAAGTAATGAAGGAAAGTAAAGAGAGGAGGAGGAGGTGGAGGATGAGGATTCCTGCTCCTCTCTAACCCTGTCTGTCACATTCCTCCCTTTCTCCACGACGTCTCCATGGATCCGAGCATGTGGGTGAGCAAATATACCCTCATGCTCGCTCTCTGTCACACGCACAGTTTTTTTCTTCTCGTCGAAAGAAAGAATGAGCTTTTTTTCCCGAATTTTCAGGGGAGCTGCGCCGCAAAACAGGATGAGGGAAGCGGATAAAACGCAAAGCGAAGCAGCTGAAATACGGCGTTTTGGCTCTATTTCCTTTTTCAGTGCGGCATTCATATTAAGACTAATGCAATATTGATGCAGAAAAGGGAAGATTAATAATGCATCAGAATGTTGTCTAATCATTTACCGACGGGATGGTGTTAAAAGGAGGAGACTGGAGGGAGAGATGGTGGAGCAAAGAGGCAAAAAAAAATTTAAAAATCAAAGAAAAAAAAAAAAAAGAGGGGAGAGGGGAGCAGCCCTGAACAGACACTCCTGTATGCTCCTGTCACTTCCTCTACAGTGTATCACACGGGCAGCTGGGAAGAGTTGATAGCGCCTGCAGCAGACTGCAATATCAGTGACATATGAGAATGTGAAGGCATGCAGAAAAGGAAGGCAGCAAAACCACCTTTGAGAAAGTCCCCAGAAAACAATTACAAGCTGGATGAAAAATGCCCTTCACCGTTGTCCTGCACTCGTTAGACGTGATCTGCTGCGTTCCGGCAGCTCTTTTAGCAATAAGCTGCTGTGATTTCATTTTTTTTGCTTCTCCCCTTGTCGACTTTTGTTTTCAACTTTTGCACGGCTAACTCCAGACAATTGGGAACTTGTTGCACAGAGCGAGGCGTGTAGGTGGAGAGCGCGGCTGATTGTATGGCTGGAGCAAGACGAGACATTTGCACCTTTTTGTCAAGACGCAGCATCCCGTGGCTGCAGTGCATCATCGCTTCACGGAGCTTCTTTTTTTTTTTGCTGTTTCTGAGTCATCTATGATGGAACTGCGTCTTTGATTCCACGCAACTAACACCAACAAACCTTGTTGGTTTATGCAGCTGAGACATTTTGCTGCTATCAAACCGCACGGAGGCTGAGCCAGAAATATCTTGTCATGACATCAGACTGTCTACATTTGGGAGTTTATCAACAGGAATAAAAATCAGGCATCACCAGACAACAAAGCGGGCTCAGAAATGTGAGGAGTGCTGCCAGTAGCTGCTCTTAATGTGGTTAGCATATCTCAGGGTGTATTTTTTATTTATTTTTTTATTTTTATTTTTTTACTGAAAGCATTACAAGGAAGAAGAAGCAGCCTGACTGTCAGTCATGATGGGCTGCCGGGATATTTGGGTCCTAATTAAGCAAATATCTGCAACTTTTAACTCCCTGAGCACCAAAACCCACCGGTGGGTTTCCAAGGCATGTTAACTTTAAAAAACTGGCAAGATTACATCATGTATCGGAGCCAGAAACAGTGAGAAAAACAGAAAGAAGTTGTATTTTTAACTGGTCAACAACCCTTGAATGAATCATCTGCTGTTCCATCAGGAAAGTTAACCAAATATAATCTTCAACTTGTCATATTTCTGCTACCAAAATCATTTTATTCTACATGTGTCACTTAAAAATTCACCCAAATCCTGAAAATGTGCTTCTCGGTGCATCTGTGAAGCCATTAGTGACTCAGCTGTAAAATAACAATCACGTGACAAAAATAAAAGACTTTTCAACTGAACTGCAGACTGTTTAGAGACGCAGGTGTGACAAGTGGAAGAAAATTAAAAATGTAAGTCGTAAAATATCTATAGAGTCACTTTGTAACATCTGTGGACACATGAAAAAGTTGTACATGGTTCCATTTTAATTAATTTCTTTCTTTTTACACCATTATAACTTTGTTCCACTGTACCAAATGGATCGTTAAGTTCTCTCTACTTTTAGCCATAGCTGTGCTGTTTCCATAAAGGTGCAGGACTTTATATTATAGTAAAGAGTAGTGAAAAATGCCCAGGGTTAACGTCTCATTCACCAAAAACATACAGAAAGAACTTTGCACAGTCTGTCACACAATACTCTCACTATTCTCACCATATGTAAAGTAACTCACTGCTGGCAGTTTTGTTGTTTTTGGACTCCGATCAACAAATCTCAGCCAGTTTTAAAGACTAAAGCAGGTTTTCTTTAAAAAACCGGATACGACAACAACAGAACAAACTGGTATTAGCGTATTAGAGTGAGATATCGTCCATAACGTACGACCATTACAGATGGGCTCAGTGGATGACACCATCTGTGCACAAACCCTGCTTCTATTCTGGTACACAATCATAAATGGGAGTTATGGTTATTACATTTTTTTTGTTCATTATGTTCTTACCGAGTATTTTGCGTTGGTTGCGAGCTCCTCCCCCTCCCTCAGCCAGCTGATCATTGGTTTTGGATTTCCCTGGGCAGAGCAGCTAAGCAGAGTGCTTCCCCCTTCCTTCGCCTCCACATACTGTGGCGGCGTCGCTGTAAATGAAGGTGGGGCTGCGGAGAAAATAGAAAAAAAAGGAATCATTTTTTTTATATAACAGTAGACTCGAATAGCTCAACGGCTATTAGGTGGATTGCGGTGAAATGTTATAAGGCTGTTGAAAAGGGGGCCTCTTGTTGTGAGTGTAATGATTCCTTTAGCATCATCAGCAGGCCGGTTTTCACTCAACGCGTTCACGATGCATTGGCACAAAAGTTTGCACAGTCATTAATGATTCCCAGATGAGCCTTTTCCTCCGGGGCCACCGTGACATCTAGTCGATGCTGCATCATCAAATCCGCTCCACACATCCATGTCTTGCTTGGAATCAATTGTAGAAACTTCAATGAGCCGCTGACTTTTCCTCTCCTCTCATGCCACAATCATTATCTTATACTTTTTGTTGATGAAATACCTTCAAAACTGATTACTTTGACCCCTTTATTATCTCTGGGGTCAATTTGATTCCATTCAATGTTTAACGTCTCTAAATAAGTGGCGTCATTTTGTTCAGTTTTATTTAAAGGGTTATTCACACATAAACTTGGGAAACAATTTTAATTGTGATCATTTTCTGGAGGTTTAAATTTCTGGGAGTCAAACTGACCCAAGGATAAAAGATGTCATTAAATTTGAAAGGTAGTAGGAAGGTAATATGAGCCTCAGCTGTACATTGGGTTTAATGCTAATTGTTAGCATGCTAAATTGCAAAATTAGTATGTTTTGCTGACATCAGCACAGATTAAAAAAAACTAAGAAACTGCTTCACAAAGCTGCAAACATGTCTGTTGATTCCAGCAAAAGGTTCTTATTTAAAGTAGATCTGTAAGGATGCATTTGTTAATTCATCAGCTGTCAGCTATTAAATGAACTGTTTTTGTAATCGTTAACTGAAAAATTCTCTTATTCCAGCTTCTTAAATGTAAATATGCTTTATATCCTCCTCCATGACATTCAACTTAATATCTTTGGAATGTGTAAAAAAAATGTTTTTTAAAGAGTAATTGAGAAAATAATCAATACATTAATCAACAACTAAAATAATCATCATTTGTAGCCTTTAAACTGCTGAGTCACCTTTATAACCATTTAAAGAACTATAGTTTGTGGTGAATTTTGTTGCATTTTACTAAGAGATGTTTTCAATACGTTGTTCATCTTATTTGTATCAATAAAGGTAAAGCCAACAATTCTAATCCAACAGAGTTTTTGTCAAATTCAGTGTATTCCTCCTCATTCATTGCTCACTACTCCAGAAATGCTGAAATATTATCATAAAAAATAGGAGAAAGAACACTTCTATTCAACAAAAATTCCAACCTCCATACACGTTGTATTCTTTTGCAGGTTTGTTGTGTTGTGGGTACATGTGGGACAACTGTGCATTTTTTAGGATGATGGAGGTATCCAAGTGAAACTACATCCAGCAGATGATGTGCAGCAGTTCTGCAGCAGACACGCTCCAGAGCTGATAACAAACCGGCCCTGCACGCTGCAGCTTTCTTCTTTAAGACCTGCAGAAACCACTTTGCGACATCGCTGCATTTCCACCTGATGTTTCCGAGCTTCGCTAACAGCCACAAGGGAGCTGTTCGCCAACCCCTGTAGGCCAATAAACTGCAGCTTCCTCAGCCAGCTGCTTTCAGGGTTTCAACCTAATATTTAATATTATAAATAGTGGCACTGTGTTTAGTTAAATAGAAAAAAAAAAAAAAAAGGCGCTGCCATACAAGTGGGTCACTGCTTGCCGCTGGGAGGGCTGCCATGCTTCAGACTGCACACAAGCACCTGGCATGGAATAAACAAATTGCCCAATTAGCACATTTAGACATCTGCCCATCCATACTGGCCTCTCACTCCCCAACACTCATTACATTATATGATACAGTAGATTAATGGAGATTCTAATAAAATGCACCACTGATTTATGTATCCCTTTGCTCTTGCAGTTGATGGGTCAACGGCTGCATTAAACGGATCATGATGCATCATTTTGGTTATTAGGAGGCGACCTCGCGCAGTTTGCTTCACAATGAGTTTGTGCTTTTTATTCCAAGACATACTTCGCTGATTCTCATCGGGAGCCGCCACTTGATCATTCCGCTCCGGTTGCAAAATATTACACTTCGCTATGTGTGTTCAACGGCATCAGTCACTCTCACTTAAAGACCATACAAAAAAAACCAAAAACAACTAAACAAATGATAAGCGTATATAAAACAACGCACCCATGCATTCCAACATTTTTGGCTTTCATAAACAAGTAGTGTCTAGTTGAAGCTTAGCTGCAAGTAGTTCTCTCCCGATAAATTAACCCATATTTAACAACAAAAGAAAAAAACAAAGATAAATAGATCAAAGTTCATATAGCAGAACACTGTTGAGTCCTTTTTCCTACCTCATTAATCATCGCGTGACCTCATACATTTGTGTTATGAGACCTTGAAGGAGCCTGACCTGAACAACTACACATGGTTGCTTACAAACTGATGCATCAGTATTATTAATATTGTAAAACAAATATGTCCAATCCATGGGCTAATTTCTGCAAATCGCTCTACTGTTGTTATTAAATGTGTCTGATAATAATATAAGTAGAATTTTACATTTTTATCCTGAATTAATCTCAGAATGATATAAGTGGAATTTAAAATGTTTGTTTTACCTTCACTTGTTTAGTTTTTCTTAGTTGATCCACAAATGTCATGCTCTGATTACTTGTAACATTTTAGGACTATTTTATTATTCTATACAATAAATATATTTTGCTTTTTATTCTCAATGTTTAATTGTTCATTTATGTGCAAGACACTTACTTGTGCTTACGTCTAAAAAAAAATATTCATCTATATTGTAGATAAATCGTATTCCAAGTTTAAAATACAGGTTAAATAAATTCAAATAAAGCACCGAAAATACTGTAATTATTCTGTTATTTTACCTCCAGTTGTTTCTGTTTTAGTTGATCTGCTGATTTTATTTTGGATTTTAATTGCTTTAATTGTTCTTAATGTGCTACGATTAGTATTTTATTATTCATCATGCTTTTTTAATTATTCGATTATTAATGCGATTTAATATTTTTGTTGTTGACTCATATACAACTTTGGTATTCGTGTGCCTACATCTTTATTTCTTACTTAGTGACATTGTAAATGAGAACTCTATAACTCATTGTATTCAGAGTTTAAAATACAGGTCGAATGAATGGGAAAAAAAATAAAAAATCAGGAAATTTAGGTGTAAAAAAAACAAAAAACACCTGGAATACTGTAATTATTTCATATTTTAGGATAATTATTTTATCATTCATTTTTTTATTGTTCGATTAATAATGTTTTTTAATAGTTTCAATGTTTATTCGAGCCCTGCGATGGACTGGCGATCTGTCCAGGGTGTATAGATAATGGATGGATGGATGGATGGATGGATGGATGGATGTTTATTCATATTCAAGCTCCTTATTTGTGTGCCTCCGTGTTCACTTTCTTACTCAGCTATACCTAAATGAAAACTCCATAAGTCATTGTATTCTAAGTTTAAAATAAAGGTTGAATGAATAAAACAAAAAAGCAGGACGTTCAGGTGTAATGGGGTCTTTATACACTGTGGTATTGCTGCTTTCACTTAGGTAAAGTACCTGAGTGCCTCTCCCACCACTGTAAGTGCCGTTATTAATTCTAATCCTATTCCATATTTTTCTCAGGGGACTGAGCGTCAGCTGACAGGAAGTAGGTGGCACACACGGCGGCGCCGGTGACAGCAGCAGGTACATTGGTCAACCTGGGATTTGTTTCACACCGTCAACCGCGGCTCGTCACAGAAGAAGTGTCACTACGGTTGGGAAACCTGGGAGTTGCTCTACAAAAAAAAAGTAAGCTGAGCGTCAAATTCTCGCCCTACTTACTGCGGCTCTTCATCAATTATATACATTAGAAGTTGCTTGAAGATCCCACACTCCCGCTGTTCTTCTCTGAAGACCACACAGCGCATCAGCAGATGGCCTGGATGCGGAGACGCGGGGTTCGGCCCGCTCCTTTGAAGGCTTACATTTACTGCTATTTGCTCGCAAGAGTGTGTCTGCATCGTTTTACTCCCTCGCCTGGTTTTTCTTTTCTTGTCTCTGCTCCGAAGAGAATACGGCTACATAGAGTACACATTTTTCATTGATTTCACATCATCGGCCTCAAATGTTTCAGTGTAAACTGTTACACAGAGAAGAAAGAGGCACTCAAGGACACTTTCCTGCCTCTTCTAATGTCAGCACACTCCAGAATCTCCATTATTATATTGTAATTAAGAGAAGAATAAAAAAGGGACTTAGTTCCTCTCACTGCCATATTCCCATCCGCCTTTTCTCTTAGTGCGGGATGAGATGACGCTTTGACATCAGATAATTATGAAAATACTTAGTAGAGACATATGGCAGATTTCATTTTGGCCTTAGATCTCTAACAATTACCTAACCATGACTTTTTTTTAATATCGCTAGAATCATTTCCATTCACCCGTTGAATCAGCTGAATCCAACTAACAGAAATATCACATTTCCATCACTACTTTCACATTATTTTCCTCGTCTTCTGCTATGGCGAAATGGCACAACTTCCAATATTTGACCAACTGCAGTCTGGTAAGTATCTATTGACACGAACATCACGGATTTAAGTGAAGAGTCAAACACCACAGCACCACCTGGACACAGTTTGGTTTAAATTCAAATTAAACCAAATTAAAAACGAGGTTTGTCAGATTTGCAGCGAAAAGATGGCAGTCGAAAGCACTAATACTGCTAATTTTAAACTATCGCAACGAACAGAAAAAGACAAATCGGAATCACAAATATATGACAAACATCTGTTGACAGCCATAGTTGGCTCACAGACCGACGTCACTGTTCAACTTGACAGCACCAACAACAAATACGTTCATCTCCGCTCGATGGCGAAGGTGCGCTCTGTCTTGTTCCTGCCATGTTCCAGTCCATTTTGTGTGGAAGAAGAGTCGACTGATGCATCAAACGCCTCCTTTTATGAGATGTAGCACAGAGCCTGGTGGAGAAAACCTGCTTAACAAAAGAAGTTGATAACCAGTCTAGAGATACCCATTAACTCTCGCTGGGATTTGAGCTTTTGTCGAGAAAATTTACACAAAGAAATCCTGACTAAGTGGAATTTGCTTCATAGTACAACCTTCTGGTGTCACAGCAATGCAAGAAAAAAAGCTAAATTAGTTTTTTTTATTTCGAAAAAAGTAGCTTCCTATTTAAGAGCCACATGTCTACGTACGACATGCATGCGTTTCTAATGGGATGTTCTTTTTTTTTGTCTTCAAGTGAGCAATTGAAGGAAAAACGCGTAGACAAAAATATCTACCTATTTTTAAATCTGCACATTCGGGTCCCATGTGGTTCTGGAGGATGATTGTTAACATCAGCTCCACTGTGCTGGCCGCCGTAGCCACCGACAAAGACGGATACACATGGGAAATATATACGGCGCTGACATTTGGGCCCCAGTTGACTCGACCAAATGGGACCTAAATGCCACCCCATCACTAACCCAGCAGCACAGTGGCAGGGTCGAATTCTTTCTAAGCTCAAAAATGGGACGAAAATGATGGCGTGAGGTGTTTTGATCTTTTAAAATGTTGCTGATGAGTATAAAGAAGGGAAGAACAAAGGAGATAGGACTGGTGACAGAGAGGAGAGGAGGGAGGAGGGAGATAGAAAGAGAGAGAGAGAGAGAGAGAGAGAGAGAGTGGCCTTAGTGTCTTTTTCGGGCACAAGGCCTTGCCATCTGACACCTGCCACTGAGTGGGCATGAATTCCCTGTCCGCTTGGCAGGAAGTTAAGGCCGAGCAAACAGGAACTCAAAGGAGGAGTGTATGCAAATACCAACGGCCAAAGGAAATGAGTGCCCTTAGTGTCTGTGTCTCGGCCAGACGAAAATGGCACCTGCTCCCATCACAGGCTCCCATTTAGAGGACAACAGTACCATAAAGTCTTCATATGAACTCCCCTGTTAGATGTCTAGACACTGAAACAGCTTTTCATAGCCCAATGAACGTCTTTCTATTATTAACACACCAGAAAAATACCGTTTTTTTTGTACCGGTTAACTACGTTCACCTGCTTAAGGGGGATTTGCAGGGTCACTGCATCTCCCAAATACAAAGTTGAGCAAAATGGCATCATTTAAAACGCCAAATATATATATACAGCATTCAGGGATATTATTAGTCCTGCTGCAGCCCGAAGAGCTCAGTTTCTGTTGAAAGGCCTGTCAGGAGTAGAGAGCATAAGAGGGAGGGAGGGAGCATTTAAGAGTGAATATTGATGAGGCAGCTACAGAGATGCAGTATGCCTGCACAACAAGACATTCATACACACACACACGCCTACAGATTTTTCGCAAACTCCAAACATCACGAGAGCGCGCAGGTGACGCTCGGCGGCGGAGTACGACCGGTTCAACTTCCAACAGAGATCTCATTTAGTCGAACCCACGCGACGAGACGCTTCCACGTCAGCGTCCACGCGCGTAACCTTAATTTGTAAGCGTGCAAACCCCCGCACAAACACATGCGAGAGAAAACGTTATGTTCTGCATTGATAATAACTATTCACACAGATCAGCATCTTTTTTTAAACTCCGAGGTGATTATGCGGTGCAATGGACTTTATAAATGGTTCTTTACACAGTATTTCGAACACAGCGCGTCGTAATCATTATTCAAACACCAGAATTGCATCCATTGTAAAACATATGCATGATCAAATCGAATATGCATGAGTTTCACGCAGCACTCATAAGTTCACAGCCCGAAAATACACATGCGAATGAGCTTGACAGTACTTTGCACCCAAAGTCTCTCTGTAACAACACGGAGGATTAAAGCTTTCTGAAGTTAGAGACCTGTGAAGCTTTAACACAAGAACATCACCACTTTTAGACGGAATATTTCATTTATTAAATGCCTGTTTGGGAACTATTCCACCGCCCCAGAGCCAAATAAGAATTGCAGATGAGGGCAGTAATACTACAGAATTAAGACGTGCTGCTGCAGTTTCTTTACTGCATCTTTGCCGCAAAACATATGCAAAGCATTCCTCGTACGAAACAGATACAAGCCTTGAAAACATGAAACACAAAGGCATCGTTGTCTCTGGTGCTCTGCAACAATACGAACACACACTTCACACAGGATTCTCTGAGCCACTGGGGCATTCCTGGGAAATGCAAAGGTGCAGATTTTTTTTCCGCCTGGTCATCAGTTTGATCGCTCTCAGACTATCACAGACGATCCCAGCCGGAACCGCCTTAAACTAGCCACAATCAATCCTCCTCTAACCAGCCTCTCATCCCTTTTTTACCCGAGGCCTTTTGAAAAGGAGCTGCAGGAGTGATCTGAAACAGAGCCTCATTCAAATGGCCTGATAAAAACTTAAATAACTGGAAATGATGTGTAACAGACAACTGGATCAGGGAGTCGACTGTTTGAGCTGAAGATTCGATGTAATTCAAAGTCTGTTTGTAGGACTGCAACCCATTATTAGTTTTTATTAGCTAGGCAGTTTTTTTGTTTTGTTTTGTTTTTTTTAAATAAATATCAGTAAAAGAAATAAAAAGACTGTGGTCGATAAAAAAGGACAAAGGAGGGAGGAATCAGTGTTCAGCAAGTACACAAGATCAAAGCTGCTTTAAATGAAGTTTAAATATTTAAAGCAAATGAGAGTAAAATAATTAACCAAGGATTGATTTTTCTATATAAAGTGTCAGCAAAGAGAAGGAAAAAGAAGTGTACTGTACTTTCCCAGTGATGTCTTCAAAGGCCTTGTTTTGTCAAAAACCAACAATATCTAATTCATGATAATACCAAAGTTAACAGAGCTACATATTTTCAAATTTAAGAGGCTAGAATCAGTAAATGTTTGCAGTTTTCCTTGAAAATGTACATTAACAATATATTTCCTAAGACTTCAAAGAAAAATTCCACTTCATTCTAAAACACCAGGAAGATGTAAGGACAAAAATCAAGGTTAAAACTGTAATGTAGAATTAAAGCGAGGATAAGAAACCGATAATTAAAGCTTCCATTAATGCACTTGATAAAAAGGATCATTTTAACTTCCTGAAAAAAATACAAAAAGCAGAAGAATATGTGAAAATGATGCTGCATGTCCACTGATCCTCACATGTCAGGTGACATTTCTGTTACCTGCCACTGACTAAAATTAAGTGAACTTAATGTAATGGAAATCAGACTGACACAGAGATGTATAGCTGCTCCTATTTTACAGTTTTCTACTCCACTTCTACACATGACACTTGGTTGGGGACTATGTATTTTACACATGCACACTACTAATCAAATCGAAATGACCCATTTTGGTTTTTTCGGTCTGTGCGTTCAGCTCTCTTGCAGCAAAAAACAGCACAACAAATTGAAGGGTATGTCTTCACAGACTTGAGTGCACCCTTTGATTTTAAAATCAGGTCACTCAGACCGTAGTGGACCTTCATGTACTCTCAGATGCAGGATTTTAAAAAGCTAGCCTTACAAACACTCAGTTATTACGGATGGAGCTTAAGTGTGTGACACACATCCCTTTTTTTTTTTTTTTGTCGTCTTCATTCACACCCACATGTTTCCAGGTCAGAGCTACCGCTTTCCCAGATGACTCACCATTGACTGTGAGGTGCACCCAGCTGCCGTTGTGGAAGGTGTCGTACTGTTGCTCCAGCATCAGGACCCTGCACTCGTACCAGCCCTGGTCCTCGGAGCGCACCGGATCAATCTGCAGGGAGGCCTTCCCATGCAGAGAGGCTCTACCTGCACACAGAGGGGAGGGAAAAGGAGAAAAAAAAACACCACAATTTACCACTTCAACACTGTAAATTTATCTTTTAGGATACCTACAGGCTCTTTTCCAGCACATATCACACCCAAGAGCTTTGCTGGTCACACAAAGATCCATCATAGCAGTCGGGGGTTAAGTGCCTTATTCCAGGGCAGCGACTCTGTCTGGATGTGGGTTATCTTTTTGCATTGACAAATAGTCCACAGGTCACAGAGCGATAACATTTTTAATAGTGGACAAGAAAATAATACACAAAACGACATAGCTCTGCACCGCCCAGTTTCCTTCTCTCTTTCACACAGACTTTGAACTACTAGTTTTTAAAATATGCACAAGCCTATTTTGATGCACAAAGTCCAAGTCGAGCGTGAAAAACAATTTCATTCTTTAGCTCTCTCTCTCTCTTTTTTTTAAGTACGTATTCCTATTCAGGCAGTACAACAGTCTGGAGCCCTTCCAAGCTCTGGATGGAAGGCAAGAAAACACCCGGGACTGGCTGCAGTCTCTCATAGAGCTAACAGAGACAGACAATCCCTAACACTTACTGTACATTCATACCTACAGGCAATTTGGAGCCTTCAATCACCCTGACTTGCAGCTCTTTGGACTGCTGGAGGAAACACGTGCGGATATGAATGGCATGCAAAATCTAGAAACCCCTGGAAACGTAGAGGATTATCAGTGAAAAAAAAAAGTTGATAGATTTAAAAGCAAAATGGTTTTGATACTCAGGCAAATCCATGTACGACATGGTTCTGTCTGAAACAACCAGCCACAACATTAAAACCACCCACAGGTAAAGTGAATGCATCACATCATAATGAAATGTTCTGCTGGGAAACCTCTGGCATTAATGTGGATGTTGCTTTGAGATTACTGAAAACCAAACACACCTTTTCATGGCAGCAGCACTCCTACATGGCAGAGTAATATAGAGTCATTATTTCTTTTCAGTTTTTCGTGTTTTTCCTCTCTCCCATTGTTCTCCTATTGGTCCCTGTTCGTCCTCTTTGTGGCTAAATTCTGATCTCCACACAAACTCTGACTACATGAGGACTCCGATGTGAATGTTTCGATACTATTACATTTCTAAGTGAGTCTAAATATCTGCAGATTTTCTTGAATGACTGGCACATAGTTCATGGTGACAATAGTGGCGCCGCAAACCAAGCATTAATGATGCAGGGGAGGGAAAAAAAAAAACAACTTGTAGGAAGTGACAGCGACTGTGTGTTCACTGCTGTGACTTTTTATTGCACCTTTGTACAGTTTTTTGTATTTGGGTTTACAGATGTTCATGGCTTTCCTCATTTTTTTTTCTAAGCAAACATTTTTAAACACTGTAGAGTCACAAACAGGAAGTGATCAGCTGAGAAACTGACCAAACTGCAAATTAAACAGTCCAATTTTATTTTTTTTTATGCCAATGCATTGCTTCCAACCAACATGTCTGTCCCATTCCTCCTTTTTACACCATTTCACATACCTAAGCAAGTGCCTGCTCCTGGATTTCTGGACCAACATGGCAGCTCATTTTGCAAAAAGTCTGTCATCCAACATATGTTTCTGAAAGCATATTAGTTATTTTAAACGTTTCCAGAGGTGACGGATCACGCTCAACGCTCCTCGTTTGTATAAAGTAGCCGAGACCTCAGCTTTATGTGAATGAGGAGCAGCCAGCACAACCCCCCCCCCTCTCGAAATGCCTCGCCACGCTGCGTACACAAACAATGAATGGGAAGCGCTAAAGTGACGAATCCTGTGGACATGTATCACTGTAAGGATGTATATCCGTGACTTGGCGTGGCCACCTGCTCCTCTCCTGCTGTAGTACCATCAGCCAAACTCTGCTTGTAGCATTTGCTTCCCCCGTGTTTTGTTCCAATTTTAACCTGCAACATCCTTGTGCTTCGGGTTCCTGTCTTCTGCCTCTTCTTTGCCAACTTGCTCATACCGCTGTTTCAGACGCACCGTTCACGCCCCGCTCAGAGCCACCAGGCATCACGTGCCAAGTGCTTCAAGTAACAGCTCTCTCATCTCTGGTTTTTCTTCCGCATTATAGAGCCTCCAGTAAAACCCGTTCAACAGAGTTTGTGTACTGCACTTGGAGCGTAAACCATGAGCCATAACCCTTGACTATCTTGTGGAGCCCGACAAAGAACCCAAGGCATCAACCTGGCCTCCAAACTTCCCACATCCCACCTAAATCAAGCGTCCTGCTGATGCACCAGAACAAGCCCGATCCATGAACGCCCCAAATTACAGCCCCAACGGATCCACTGCCAACACCACATGACCCCCAAGAGGTTTATTGTCCAAGCTCTGATGGGTCAGAGGTGTTTGGTGGCACAAGGGGGACCTACACAGTAATAGCTAAAATATATTTTGCTGATTGGTGCATAATGTTTGATTAATCCAGAAAAAAACTAAAGTCCAGAAAACAGTTGACGTTAGCCTAGCCCAGTCTGAACATAATAAGATATGCAAAGAAGCAGAATTAAACCTCAAAGTGTGGAGATAGATATGCCCAGGACTATTTCTGCAACTTTCGTGTACAAGATGAAACGTGCAACTTAGCGAGCTTCAGAGATGCTGCTACAGGGTCAGAATAACGTTAAACTATCCTCCTCCTGACTGTAGCTTCACATCCAATAGCCCTCATCTGTCGACAGGAAAGTAAATATATTCCCCCAAAATGTTCAACTATTCCTTTAACTGATTAAATGTCACAATATTTAAACATAAATGAACACCCATCCGGCTTGAAGTATTAAGAATTTATGCATGAAACTGCCTGGGAGCCACACCTCGGCTGAATTAAAGCATTTGGTGTCAGTGTGGAAAAAGCCCAGCCTTCGACTTCACAGAAGTCATATTTCTTATAAAACTTCTCCATTCCCCACCTCTTTTTTTCTTCAAGGCTGAGGATAAATTGGAATTCTAAAAGGAGGAAATCACAAGGGATGAGAGACGTTCAGGAAACCAGGCATGGTGAAATCTTCAGCTGCTAAGCTGTCTGTCTTCAAGCCTCCAGCCCGCTGCTCACATGGCTGCCTCTGACAGCCCAACAGACTACAACACTCGCTTCTGCTCTGTCTGACGAGTGTTCGGAGATGGAGCATTTTTCCCAACTTTGATGTGTAGATGTACTGTAAGCACTCTTTCCTGTTACTTCAGACTGAGTGTCAGGCAAATATATTGACGTTGAGGGCGGGCTGAATTGCTCTAGCAGCATAGTTTAATGCAATAGATAGACACCCAACCCCGGGATTGCTGCCGTAGTTTGGGTAGCTAGAAAATCTGACGTTTTTTTTTTTTTTTTTTTTAGCAGAAAATCAATACAGCAAAGAGGAAGCGTGAGGAGTGAGGACTGCAGTCTTGCAGTAAAAAGGTAGCTTGTCTTTAAAAAGTCAGGTCTATTTTTGCCTGGGCATTGAAGTGCTGAGTGGGGCGGGCGGCGGCGTGAAGGGTAGGGATCAGCCTCGGCTCCCATTTGTCAGGGAGTGAGAGGGTGCTGCTGTAAACAGAGTTAACAGCACTGTATCCACGTCAGGACGGGCCTCCTGGGGATAGACCACTTACACAGTACAGGCTTCTGTCTACGGTGGAAGCAGAGGAGCTAACACCTTGTTCAGATCACATCACGGGCTGTGTCAGAAAGGAAAGCTTTGAAAAGTAAACGCTCGAGATCCAAAGTGACAAAGTTTGCAGACACAGCGAGAAAAAAAATGACTTAAACTCAATTAAAAGAGCAAAAGGGGAACGCTCATGTGCTTTGGTTACAAATACAGCAATGCAAAGATATTTTATTTTTGTCTGTATCAACTGAAGAAAATGGCGTTGACATTTGAATTTTTCTTTTACTCCCTATATAATCCACACTCTATATTGTACACTATCATAAACATACTTTTTATAGATATTGGACTCTACATGCATTGTATAGTTGGATTGTTAGCAAAAAGTAGTCTAGAAACGCTTTTTCTTTTTGGCACTGGTTGCTGCTTTACAATTACGATTCCATTTTTCTACTAGGACATGTTAAAATGTCTGAATGGTCTATTGCGGCCAGCGGTGCAAAGCTAACCACTAACCGCAAACATCTTAACTCCGGAGAGGAAAAGCAAATCATTATCAACTCCCTGTTTATTTTAGCATTAAGAAAAAAAAAACAAAACGTGGCATTTTGCATCGAGTCTGCAGCCATCTGCAGACGACGATAATAACATTGCGTACATATCCATATTATTCATGCGCAGGCTGTGGCTAAACTTGGTGGCAAGAGAGATATGATTTAGTTTTCCAACAGCCAAAGCGGGAGGATCTGACACTAAAATTTCACAAGCTGCACATCTGAATTATTGATTGCGTCTTTGCAAGAGTGGGCACAAAAATAGATGTTTTTAAATGTTATAATTTCCATATAGCCGCAGGACAAACTGGCAAAGTGATCTGGGGTAGCAGGGAGATATGGAGCGCTTCTCATTTTGCAGGGAATTAGACGGGGAAAACACACAGCTGTAATGAGGACACGTTTTCTCTTGAATCTGAACAACATGTGAAAATGAAGCGGATGCTGAACACCAGTGATGATCACTGACCCAGACGAGCTGACACACTGAACCCGGATGGATTCCTGGTGTCGGCACAGTGAAAACGTCTGGATACTGTAAGTACAGTCTTCACGGATGATGATCGTCCCTGTTTTGGAAGCAGCCGTGCGATGGAATAATCACACATTTACCCTATTCGTCAGTTTTATTCATACTGAGTGGTAAAAGTTCATGGGAATAGCCCAAATGAGCTCAGAGACCGCATGGACCCATTAAGCGCCCCGACGAGCATCTCATAAACTACAGTCCAGTGTCATTATCACACTGTCACCATGCACATGCAATCCCCAGAATACACTTTAATCTATGTAATGAGACTGGCCATATTCGTGTTGCATCTGTTCGCTGGTAATTCCTCAACAGTGGACTTGACGCCACATGGCAGAGGCCCACCAGCGGAGTCCAAGTGAGCACAGCCGAGTGTTGAAAAGTGCTGCTCGTTCATACCCTGCTGTTAGTCGGGAGGTTAAAGTAAACAATGAAACGCTCCAGCAGCTGCAGCATCTACTGTAGCCACTAAAAGAAAAAAAGAAAAAAAGGAAGACTCCCAAGACAGCAAGTCACTGCCAAAGGGGGTTCTTTGCAGTGAAGAGTTCCCAATGAATTCAATGTTATTCACACACTTCTTTTCTCATAAATAAAAACAATGACAAATGTGTTGCGTCCACATTTAGGGATGCTCACACGTGGAGAAGTACATCCTCCAGCTTTTGCCTTAATTTCACAGCATATTACCAGGTCAGGCAGGAGTTCTGGGGTTGGTAAAGAGGTGGGAACAGGAAGGGACAATTCTGACCTCGTTCTGACAGCTAGACACCTTCGCACAGACACTGAAGCAACATCAGAGGAGCCAATTTCCTGCTTTAAGGGCTCAGAGTAAAGGCAGCTGCAGACAGATTGTCTAAGCCAGGAGATGGTGATTGTACATTTGTGTGATGCTGTAAAGGAAAACGTATGTATCGCCATAATTTTAAAGCTGCCGCAATCAATATTTCTACAGGAAAAGGGCATCAAATGTGAAGAAAAACCTTTGGTGATTCCATTTTAGCTTATTGTTAAGGCCCATAACTTTATCGTTCTGGTTCCTTACGGCTCTCGGAGCCACAACAAGCAGCTGTTTGAAGCAAAAAATCCAACTGTAAGCTCCTGTCCAGCACCACACAGCAAACAAACACAGTCAACAATTAGCTGCTGAAGCTACAGAGTCAGATTATCTCTGGAACCTGAGTGCATGTTAGTTTTGTGTTTACCGCGTGTTTCCTTTGCCATCAGGCCTTCAGTTAATGCAGGTGTAGTAAATCAAAAGTTTTTCAGTTAAAATACAATAATTTGTTGGTTTTGGCCCAATAAAAGCAAAGATTTTCATACTTTATTGCTATTAAATTAGTTTTCTTTATCTCATTTTCTTTCATATGTACAGTATGCATGTTTTTTTTTACAATATGCTCTATTGACTGTATAGTATATATGTGTTCTGTGGTGCATTGTCACTGGAGTGTGTGGGACGGCACGTATGTACAATGCAGTAGTAAGTTGCTGAGACACAGTTATTTCCCTCTATTCACTGAGACGTAGCAGATGCCCCTATGCAGCCATGTTCGAACAGACAGAAGTGCAGTTCAAGAGAACCAGAACGGTCCGTAAAGGCGCCCGGGCCGCTCCCCGGCTGCATAAAGGCCTCAGTGTGCCGCACTCGCCTCCTGCTTGAAGCCCAAACAGCTGAAGCACATTGTGAAGGGAAAACCCTCTGGATCATGCTGAAATTGCAGGTCAGTCTTCTCAATGAAATAGGATTTGCACTGCAATCTATTTAAAACTGGTTGTCAGAAATGGTCCTGCTCTCAGCCAGAAACTAATAATTAGGTCTGCAGCAGCGCAGGAAAATCTATATCCTGTGTAATCATAGAAATGTTTATGAATGATTAGAGTTATGCAGCTAAACTCCTTAATGTTTCTGTAGTAATATATTACTATCGCAGTCATGAGTTTGATGAAGTCACAACGACAGATTTAGCAGCATCTGAGCTCCAAACTACTTCTTATAGATACGTATGGAGGTGCTCACTTGATTGGTTCATCAAAACAACAGAATCCAACTGAAATAACTTTAACAAGAGACAAACTGTGACTGACAGTTTTCAGAAATACACTTATTAAAGGTGACAAAAATCCACCTTCCACCACCTCTAAAGCTCAGTAATTATCACATTTATACAAACTTAAGTGTCAGAAAGACAAAACGTGTTTTTATGAGGGACTATCTGAGGGACCATGTCTTGCAGAAACACAAACACCTTTCTGTTCGTGTGAAGTTTGCAGCATTCCTGCAAAAGGAGCTAAGAAGTTACTGTACCAAGCAAAGAAATACTCGTAATCCGCCAACATATATCTGTTTTATACTTTGGTTTTGGCACAAAAGAGTTGTAATGTGCTATTTAGCCGAATGTATACATAGCAGTAGATGGATTCTTTAGGCCAGACTAGCGGTTTACAACTATTTTTCCATCTTCTAAGCTAGCTGACTGGTTATAACTTTATATCATGCAAACAGTGGTATGAATTGTCCACTAGGGATGTATCCGACTCCGAATTTGGATTTTTGATATTTAATATGAAGAATAGGCCAATTTTCATATCTGTCAGTCAAAAGATCCACTAGCATGGTGGTTTTAATCCCATTAAAACAGTCAAATGCAACAGAGTAATGCTAACGTATTTTAGAGCATTTTAAAGTGCCACTACCAGCTATCCCTGCTAGAATATAAATGTATTTATAATTTATCATCGAAAACATTACCTTTGACTGACCAAAAAACAACAACAAAAGACTGTCTGACTTCAAGAATCCCAGTCGGTCAAATGGTCTCCGACAGATGATCTGACTTTCAGGAAGCAGCCCCTTTTTCCACCTTAACAAGAACGCAAGTTTTACCCAAAATGTCAAACTATGCCTCTGAATCTTCAGAAAAGGTAATGCAGCCTCAGTAAAATCTCCCCACCTTTTTCACATGTGCAGCAAATTCAGTTCAAAACTAGAATCACATGAGGTTTTGAGCAGAGCGTTGGTGTAGCTGTACAGTATGTGGATCACACGTGTTTTAGTCCTTCTTTGTGCCCTTCTACTTGGCTATTGTTTATCAGCATGTAGTGTGAAATTCTGTTGTCAACTTTGTTTCTGCTGCAAGGTCAACAAGACAAAGTCTTGTGGATTTACTGTGCTTGGCAACAGAAAAAATTCATCCTGAGATGCATCCAAGTCCTCATTTATTCAGAAAGTTTTAGACCAAATCCGTTACAGATGTAACAATGTGTCTGTATCCTTTGTGAGACAGATTGTTTGCTTTATATCAGCGTTCATCTTACCAGTGTACTCTGGATCCACATGGGGAGGGTAGAAGCGGAAGTTGATGAAGAAGGGGATAGGCACTCCAAACTTGAACCACTCCACCACATAGGGGGGCTGCTGGCCGTCCAGGGGAGGGGACACGTCACACCCCAGGATCACGCTCTCTCCAGCGCGAGCCGTCACAAACCGGGGCTCCTCTCTCACTCCGTGGGCACCTGAGAGGAGAGAGACGGAGCTTTCAATATAAGCGAAGAAGTTCGGTGGAGTCTGACGAACAAGATGCAGGAAAATTCTCGTGCACGGAATACATGCAGACCAAGCAGGAAAATCTCAAGTCAGCCAAGACTAATTTACAAACAATAATCAGGCAGTAATTAAAGGTGATCGACTGAATGAATGGATTGAAACCACATTTTGTTTAAGGTCTACGATGCTGTACATTAAGATGGCAACGCGCACTCTGAGTGGTCACCGTGCACATGGGTAAACCCTCTCCTTTTCATCAGCCTCCCTCATCCCGTCCGCCGATCGTCATCTGTCACCTGCATCTGTTGGTGAGTGTTTTGTGGCTGTGCCATACTGTACTATAAATGAGCTGCCAAGAGGCTCCATTGATCATAGCTGGCTGCTGCTCAGATGAGCTTTACTATGAGCACCACCAGGCCTGGCGTTTAGCCATGAATGTCCAGGCACGCTGCCGAGCGTTGACCTATCAGATGACTCAAAGGTCGGCATACCTGCCTCAGCAGAACGCTCACTCTGGGAATGGATTTTCTCCAGCTGCCACCCCCGCTTTCATTGAGCTGGCTGTGTCTCCACCGTCAGAGCAAGCATGACTACCCGCCCTCGCCCAGGGGGAAAATCGCTTCAGGGATCAAGAGACATGCTGACGTTTCACTCCAGAGAAACACCAGCTGAATAACTTAACGCTTTCATTAGCAGCACCATTTGCATTATCAGGGATAATTTTTACCGAAGAACAAATACGCGAGGACTTGGAGGTATTATGGGCTCAAGCTGTTACTGTCTGTAATTATGTTCGACCACCATCGCCGTTGTGTAACTGTGACCTGACTTTTTATCTGTGTGTACTGAAATGAACACCCAAATGTTTTCACCCAGTTGTTCTGTCTGAAAAATAAAGCTTTAACTCCGCCCCTACAGGCCATATGCACCACTTAGTGATTGTGTTTACCAGTTTAATCTGCATTATCCTGTGACAGAGTTAATCCACTTTATTCATTTCAGCCAGCACAGATTCTAGACTAAAACAGAGCAGATTTAATCAAATTACACTTTTTTAAAGTGGAGATATGGTCTGCCAGTTACGGGCCACAGTGCTGGAATCTGCTTTGCTATTGTGCCTCCTTAATAAGAGGAGGGAAAACAGCCATGTTGTGCTACCCTGAGCTCTAATGAGCAACACAAAGTAAATGAAACGTGACTCGGTGAACACCACATGACCATTTAACTGCTCCTGTAGGTCTCTGATAGACCAGAACGAGAATACAGGGAGTCTGACCCTGAAGAACAGCGCATTTTAGGTGTAAAAAATCTGACATGGGAGCTGATTGACAAGTACAAGCCACAGAAGCTGTACATCAGAGAAAGAACAAAACCGCATGTCAAAATGCATAAAGATTGCTTAGACTGAGCATGAGGAGAGCTGCTGTGGGCCTGATGCTGCCCTGCAACCTGTGCAAACAGTGACCTTTTAACATGCCTCTGAGGAAACCCGTCCCGTCCAGCTATAAGCACAACTAAATCAGAAATCTGCTCAACTAATCCTTACAGGCTTGCCCAAAGCCTGAAACTCACACCTGAGCACGCTCCATTGCAGCCTCATTTATAACAACTTTAAAAACGATTATAATAACCCCATTTCAACGCCCCATGAGGTGCTTTTGCAGAGACATATGATGCATACTTGTTAAATTCAATTTAGGAAACAAAGAAAAAAACTAATTCCGCATCAGTGAACCCCCAAGTGCCTCAAAGCAACGGTTGGATATTTTGGGAAATGCACTTACAACTACCTTAGCTTAGCATAAAGACTGGAATCAGAGGGAAACTGCTAGCCTGGCTCTGTCCAAAGGTAGGAAAATCCACTTAAGAGCACCGCTAAAGCTCACGAATTAACACATAATATCTTTGCTTTGTTTGTTTAATCCGTACAAAGGTTAAACAACTTTCAGGCGCCGGTAAGGCCAGACTGGTGTTTTCTGAGTGTTTCCAGTTTGAGTTCAGTTCACTGGCTGAATTCATGTTTATTCCACAGACATGAGACTGATATTGATCTTCTCATCTAACTAAAGAAAAAAAAACAAAAAGCAAATTTAGCGTATTTCTCAAAATGCCAGTATTTCTTTACTGGGCACTTTTAGAAGCATTTTATCTAATTAAAAACAAGGCAACATCTACATTAAATACAATTTTATACCATGTTTTCTTTTTTTTTAAAGTAATTAATAAGCAATGTGTTGCAGAAGCTTGAGACTGCTAGCAGCTGTTTTCAGGAGACACCTGATCAGGGGTAGTTGGACGACAGATTATGGTGTCTTTTGTTTTAACTTTTAAGCACTTGAGCTCTTATGGATTCCAGAAGAAAAGAGCGAACAGGCTCCCATCCATAATGAAACACACTGGACACATTGTTTGGTTGGAGTAAGTAGAGTCACTTGACATGAAGCACAAGCTCAAACCCGGTGGCACAACAGTGCATGCTGCTGAAATCCATTGTTTTTCTCTGCAGACAGTTCAGGTTGCAGAAATTTAGCAGCTCAGGTTTCTAGCTGGCATTATTTTTGGATCCTTGTAGCCGAGAGAGCAAGTCTTGGACGCAAAATAGACTTTGGGGACTTGAGATAATATATTACAGGGCTAATAATTCTCCCGTTCTTTTATGAGATCCTCATGAGGGGACAATCAGCATAGGTTTGGTCACCACTTTTCATTTCCTTAATGGAGACACGGTAACCCAGTACGGTTTATGGGAGCTTATTCAGGGGAAATATTTATGCGTTCAACAAGTCATAAATGCAATACAAGGGCCCATGCTTAAGATCTTCATAATAAACAGCACTGTAGATATAAAGGAATCAATGCAGTTGAGAGATGGTTGCAACTCGTGATTGCTTTGGCACTGTAAATGTCAACTGTACCCAAGTTGCAGAGTGAAGAGTGAAACTCACCAAATATACAGAGGAAGAAATCTGTTGAGTAAGATCTGCATAAATCAGACTATCTAATAAATCCTGTGGACCAATATGTTTTATGTATCTATCCTCGGCCTATAGCGGATTTACGGCTATGATCATGAATTCCTGAAGGGTAACAATTCAGTCAACTGCCAGATAAATCACCTATATGGCGAGCAGTTCATGTACAAAAGCAAAATCGAGGAGGAATAATTCCTCTGTGTTTGGCATTGGTTAAACAGGCAGCGTCACAGTGAGTTAAAGCGAGGACAAGAGCCGTAGCTAAGAATTATTTTCTTTATCGATCAATCTGCTAATTACTGTCTCAATTAATCCTTTTGACTATAAAATGTAGTGCAAAAAACACCTGTTAGCTAAAAACCCAAGTTCATAATCAACAATATGCTTTTTAAAGGTCCCATGTGCTGCCCCATTTTGGTAAATTCATTAAAGTCTCTCATGTTCTCAGAATGTGTACTTCAATTTTCAGCTCAAAATACGACAAAGACAATTCATTTTAGCCTGACTGTATAATGCCTGGTCTTAGTCCCATTCTAAACAGGCTGTTTCAGCATATGTGGCTTTAAATGGAGCTGAGCTGCTGTCGTCCACGTCACCTTCAGGAAGAAGACTCCCCCTGACTCTGTGACTGACAGCGTGGACATAAACAGCTGACCACACAGCTGCTGACACAGACATGAGTGATTGTGGGAGACCAGAAATGTCAAGCACAACCGTTTCCTCTAATCACGTGTATGGTGAGTTTGTTGGACAATAGTGTGGTTACAAAATCTGTAGTTTAACAGAGCAAAGCAGCAGCTTGGATATGGCTCTGGAGTGACTTCATACTCTGTGTGTCAGTCACTATTTGATATCTGTTGTCTGAAAACAGAAACAGAAAAATATGTAAGTGAGAACAGATTTTTTTAGGAATGTGGCTTTACTCAAGTGAAACATATGTGAGCACAGAGGGCAGGAGAGAAGCAAACAGATAAACACTGGCTGACTTTTGGTTGCACTGAAGCACAGCATCCAACATGAAAACACAATGACCCACCCAGTCTTTGTTTATAGGCTCCAAATCGGTCTAAGAATTTTTACCATGTCTGGATGTCCCTCCATTTTACAGTTTCTGCAGAGCTCTGACCTGCCAGCACAGGATCAAAACTAATGGGAACGTTAGCCACACAAATGCTAACAGTTAGGATTTTCCTATTGTTGTGGTGGGATTGCCATCTAATAATGAAGATGCTGGGAGTGCATGAAGACTCTTGTGTTCACTCTTGCAGCCAACAGGACAGCATTTGGTGCACTTTGTGTGTAGCTAAGACAAGAAAGTAAATAAACATGGTGGACTGTGAGGCAGCAGCTCATTCTCAATAGCTCACCTCGCGAGAAGCTGACAGTGAGCAAGTAGGATTATACAAAATTTGAGCTGGATGTAGCAGCTCAGTAAAGTTTCCTACTAGCTTGTAAAGCTGGGAGGCCGTCTAATGGATTTTTACCATATGGGACCTTGGTGTAAAGCAATGCGACTCATCCTCAGCATACACCTGTCATCTAAATTTCTCAGATTGCCTTATTTGAATACATTTTGAAGCGCAAAGAGGTTAAACTATCAGATACTACAGAAGCACAAATGGCAGAAAAGTCAAATGTGTGTAAAGCAGAACTCATCCCTCAGATTGAACTTGTGACCCTTTAATGGTGCCTCAAACCCCATGTTGGGAAACACTGATGAGAGTGAAGACAAGCTGGAAATCCTCACAAAATTAACCAGTAATATCTGAAAAATGACTCAAATGATGAACCAATTATCAAACTAGTGGCTAGATCAATATTTTCTGTTGTTTGACTGATTGATTAATCAACTAACTGCTGCAGTTCTAGTTGGAGTGTTGCTCAGTGACTTATAGCAACCATTATTTACAGAGTGCTTATCGAATCAGTGTGTTACAGAGCTTTATGAGATAAACAGTAAAAACAATATTAAGAACCAAGTGAAGCAGCCAAAGAGA